GGGAATTTCCCCCCCCCCCCCCCCCCCCCCCCCCGGCGGTCAGCCATAAAAGAGAATTGAGTGAAATTTGACATGTGCAGGTGGATGCGGGCCAGGGGCCCGGAAGCGCTTCTCGGCTCCGCATTTTTGGTGATGATATTTGCCGCATAGCGCCCGGGACAAGCCTACCCACCGCCAAAACAGGCCGCTGCCAGGAAAAGCTTAATTTGATATGCGGGATATTTGGTTTGCTGGTAATTCGCCAGGTACCGGCCCCATCCTGCTCGCCTCCTCCTTTTCTCGTCATGGTCACAGCAACTTGTCTAACGTTCCCTCTGGGCCGTGGCCAACAGATCCCCAAAAGGGAAAAGGTTGACGTAAAAGAATCCTAGCCGATCTTTGGGAGGCCTCTCCCGTACCCGGTTCGCATGGCTATCATCAAGGGGAATCATATGAGGGATTTGTCCTGGCGCCTACGTAGTTTGTCCGCTCCCCACAACACCAGTGATGCGTGGTATTCTGCCCTCAGAGCATCATTTTTCAGTCTAACCAGATACTCGGCATAAGGAAATGGCACGGGTTGCAGGCATTCTCATCATGGCAACTCGCGGGGCCTGTGACCACGAAAGACTTAAAGAATGCGCGTTCGTGGACGTAGATTGTAGCAAGTCCCTTTTCTGTGCCGAAAGTAGGGACGATACTACGCAGGATACTTGTGCTCGTTCCATTCCAGAGCACTCAAACCTCACCACACAGCTATCCTCCATCAAGTACATCTCTTCGGGCTTGACTTTGCAAACTGTAAGTCGCTTCTACCAAGGGAAAGCCAATATCCTCTGTGTTGCGTCTTGGCCTTGCCGCCCCTTTTGATCGCCCCTATCCCAGGCTTCCTTTCACACCATTATCTCAAAAACCCTCGTGCAGTGTATGAACATCCAGGCATCGACCACTCTTACTTACTAACCATTGCCCTTGCCCGTCCAGTCACGGTTCCCCCCAGTCACAGAAAAAGCCTCTGAGAAATGGCCGCCGACGACGCTCCCACGGGCAGTGACGCGGACCCCGACCCGGAGAGCAACAAGGACTTGCGCATCACCTTCCAGCAGGGCATACATGGCGCAAGCACTGCTCAGGATGTTACCACCCAGGACGGCAGCCGAGGACGCACCTCGCGCTCCATATCCCGCAGGCGATCCATGAGCCGTGACTCGTCCACCCGTCCTCCAGCGTCCCCTTACACTGGTGTGCAGATCGAGTACCGCACCCTCTCCATCCACGTGTCGGAGAGCCGCAACGTTGTTGCCGCAGACGAGCCCAAGACCGATAAGATCAAGGGAGACGACAAGGAATACTTTGCCAACCTCACTTTTCATGAACTGGGTATCGACCAGATATGCCAGCAGCTCAACGTTTCGCAGGCCCAAGGCCTGTCCGACTCGTCGGCTGCAAATCGCATACAGCGAGACGGCAGGAACACCCTTCCAAAACCAAAGACCAACTATACCAAGAAGCTTGTGGGATACGTATTTGGCGGATTCTGCTCGGTCCTCTGGGTCGGCGTCATTATCTTCTTCCTCTGCTGGCGGCCCCTGAGCGACCCTCCCTCCGTCACCAACCTCGCCCTTGCCATCCTGGTCATCATTGTCATTATTCTCCAAGCCGGATTCTCTGCCTTTCAAGACTGGTCGACCCAGCGCACCATGAAGTCTATCACAGACCTGCTACCTGCAGATGCTTTGGTCGTTCGGGAGGGCCAGCTGATCAAGATACCCTCTACCGAGCTCGTCAGCGGTGACATTGTTCACTTGACCATAGGCAACAAGGTCCCAGCCGACATGCGTCTCTTGTCCCACTCTGGCGACATTCGCTTCGACAGGTCTGTATTAACGGGCGAGTCGGACGAGATTGAAGGTTCGGTCGACGCCACGGACGCAAACTTGTTGGAGAGTCGTAACATTGCGCTAATGGGCACGCTCGTGGTCAACGGGAGCGGCGTCGGCGTCGTCATCCTCACCGGCTCGCGAAGCGTCATGGGCCGCATTGCGCAGGCCGCTGTCGGCACAAAAGAGCGGGCTACCCTGATCCAAAAGGAGATCTGGCGGTTTGTCCGCATCATCGTCTGCCTCACAGTGCTCCTGGCTCTCCTCATCCTTCTCACCTGGGTTGGATGGCTGAGGCGCGATCATTTCGCGTACATGAACGTCGTCGCCATGCTCAACAACGTCATGGGCTGCGTCGTAGCCTTTATCCCGGAGGGTATGCCCGTCGCTGTTGCTCTGACCATGATGATGGTGGCGCGCCGCATGAAGGCCACCAACGTCCTCCCCAAGGGTCTGTCGACCGTTGAGACTCTGGGCTGCGTCAACGTCATCTGCTCTGACAAGACTGGGACGCTGACTGAGAACAAAATGCACGTCAACTCGGTCGCCTTCCTTGATAAGCCAGTGGATCCGGACGAGGCCCGGCGAGTGCTCAATGGGACAGGGGCAGGGCCAAACTATCGCAAGCTCCACCAAGCCGCAGCCTTGTGCAACGACGCGACATTCGATCCGACCACGATACACCTGCCCATCGCGGACCGTCAGGTCCAAGGGAACGCCACGGATGCCGCCATTCTCCGCTTGGCTGCCGAGTGCGGGGACCACAGTGCTGTGGTCGCCTCGATGCCTCGTGCCTTTGAGATTCCTTTCAACTCGAAGAACAAGTGGATGCTCACGATGCATGAGATGCCGCTCACCTCTACTTCTCTCGCCAACGGTAAAGCGGCACGGTATCAGGTCTTCATCAAGGGAGCTCCCGATGTTTTGCTCGAGTCTTGCTCGAGCTACTGGTCTGACGAATACAACACCGTACGCCCGCTCGACTCCGGCGCCCGGTCGACGCTCAAGTCATACCAGGACCAGCTGTCCCGCAATGCCGAGAGGGTCATCCTGCTTTGTGAAAAGACGACGAGCCCCGTGAGCAAGCCAGGGACCAACGCCTTCAGCGACGAGGTCACGGCCTCGGCGCTGGACGACTTGACCATCGTTGGCATTCTCGGCATCACAGACCCGCCGCGCGCAGAGACCGCTGCCACTGTGGCACAGTGTCGGCGGGCCGGTGCCCGCTTCTTCATGGTGACGGGCGACTACGGCATGACGGCCGCGGCGATCGCGCGCAATGTCGGGATTCTCACCGGCTGCGCCGACCCAGATACCATCGAGACCATCCGGCAGGGCATCGTGCAGCCGGACGAGCTGCGCCAGGCTCGCGAAGCCGGCGACGGGCGCAGCCTGGTGCTCGAGGGCCGCTCCATGAGCGCGCTGACCTCGGACCACTGGGATGCCATCTGCGAGTACGAGGAGGTTGTGTTTGCGCGGACGACGCCCGAGCAGAAGCTGCGCATCGTCAACGAGTTCCGGGATCGCGACAATGTCGTGGCTGTGACAGGGGACGGCGTCAATGACGCGCCCGCCCTTCGCGCTGCTGACGTGGGCGTAGCCATAGTCACTGGGAGCGATGTTGCGATCGAGGCTGCGGATCTCGTTCTGCTGGACCGTTTCGACTCGATCGTCGATGCCATCCGCCTGGGTCGCCTCGTTTTTCAGAACCTGCAAAAGGTCATCTCCTATCTACTGCCGGCCGGCAGCTGGTCCGAGATCTGGCCCGTGCTGGTCAACGTCTTCTTCGGCGTGCCCCTCCCGCTGAGCTCGTTCCTGATGATCATCATCTGTGTCTTCACCGATCTCTTCATGTCGCTGTCCCTCATCATGGAGCGCGAGGAATTCGACCTCATGTCTCTACCTCCCCGCCGCGCCAAGAAGGACCACCTAATCACCTCCAAGATTTACATTCAGGCCTACCTCTTTACAGGCTTCATGGAGACGTGCACGGCACACGCCATGTTCTTCCTCTACATGTGGCAACATGCGGGCATTCCCATCAGCGAGCTGTTCTTTCTATTTGAGGGCTACGATGAGGGATTCCACGGCTACAGCAAGGACCAGCTGACGCAGTTCAACGCCACGGGTCAGTGTGTCTACTTTGTCACACTCGTGATCCTGCAGTGGGGCAACATCCTGTCGGTGCGAAGCAGACGGGTGAGCATAGTGCAGGCCGATCCGTTTACGAAGAAGCGGCGCAACCCGTGGTTGATTGCCAGCATCCTGATCAGCCTTGCCATTGCCATCTTCGTCACCGAAGTGCCTGGCATTCAGAATCTCTTCGGCACGGCATCTGTACCTATCAACTTTTGGCTGATTCCGCTTCCGTTGGCTTTGGGTATCCTGGTCATGGACGAGATTCGTAAGCTGGTTGTCAGACTGTTCCCCAAAGGTCCAATCGCCAAGATTGCATGGTGACAAGCAGTTTGGCCATTGGCAGGTGACAGGAGGCCATCGGATCTTGAAGTTAGTCTCGACGCAGCTGCTGCCTCCAGACGGAAGTAATTGAGATGCGCGCGAGCTTTTATGGTTACACTTGGACGATTTGTATTGAGTCTATTCTATAGCAGCCGGCGCCATCTTGATTGGCAGTTTTGATCAAAAAGGACATCAGTAATGGCCGTACCGAAAGAACCTGAACAACCAGAAGCAAAAAAGCAAGAAGAACAAAAAAAAAAAAAAACACCAGCCGTTTAAGAGTTAAACCAAAAGGGCTAGTTGTTCTCTCCTCCAAAGAATATCGATTCAGCCACGAACAAAGCGTTCTTTCCTGGTCTTGGGCTCAGATAGGAGATACAATAATAGTCTAATAGCAGCATTCCCGAAACCTTGGTCTTCGTCATGAAAGGGTATTGTGCACCTGGGAGCCCTCTAGAACGATAAGACTAGGATTTGCAAACCATGAGGCAGTATAGAACAACCAGCTATTCGAATGCCGCGATAGTCTTTCGCTCGTCAGAATACCGACCCGGGACCAACTTGGAGCGGTCAAATCAGAAAACAGGATATGCATCGATGAAAGGGCCGGCCCGCCGTGCCACAGCTACGCATCGCTTGGACGCGAAGATTCGACGACCTGCAGTAGCGCGCTGCCGTAGCCCACTTACGAAAGGGAGAATTGCCACTGAAACTTCCTACCTTTACTCATCAGAGGGCAAAGGAGACGAAAACTGTCGGTGATGGGACGAAATCCGTGCGCGAGACTTGATAAGGTCTTCTGATTCGGTTGGTCATAACCTGGGACCTAGGTCTGTCGAAACGCTCCATCCTCCAGGATACCCGACACGATCATCGGTCTCGGGGTTTACGGCAAGCCACGAGGACAGTTCATTGCGAGGCCACGCCGAACATGTCCCCTTCAACAGCCCCAGTGCCGCTGCCGCCCTCCATCACAATCGATCTCATCACCTTCCAGATCGGGACACACCCGTTGCATCGCTAGAAAATGCTCCATGTGCCAATCAGGTGCGGTGAGTAGCCGACACCGGCACTAACACACCCATGCTGACAGGGATCCTCCAGGTGCATCGTCATGGACCGAAGAGGTGTCCCTACATCTAAGTACTTGTACGTGTCACTTCTGGCACTTTTTACTTGCAGGTCGCGCGAACTCCCCTCTTTGATGAGTACGGTGTACCCCTCGCGGCTGTTGGCGCAACCAAACAGCATATCATCTCACATGCACTGGCGTAGATCAGTTGCAAGCTGCGAAACGGTATTCAGTTCAGCCGGAACGAAGGTCATTGGATTAGCAGATTGCTTACCAGACTTCCGGATTTCAAGTTCCATTCTCTCAGCCAGAGTAGGATCACTGCTGTGGGTCGTAGATGTAGTGACGGAAACCCAATCTGTAGCGCGATTGCATGGACTGTCGGACGAAGCGAACCCCAGCCAAGCTGTGAGCCAAGACCGCAAAAGGCTTGATTTGACGTGTTGGCCCAGCCTGAGACACCGGCACAGGCATCAATGGCCTTGGTGGCAGGGACAGGGTCGCATTCTACTCCCAGATGCCCCCCTGCGCCTTATCTTGGCATGGTTTGCACACATTCCCCCCCGTGCTCGGTCTTGTCAGGTCTCCCGCCATCTAACTGACTGGAATGTCACCTTCCAGAACTGCCAAGCCTCATGGCACGTTTCCTGCGCATGTGGTTCTGGTGTGCTCACTCGACGGGAGCGCCTCGATTCGGTCCTGTTTCTTCTTTCGGCCCAAGCTCCTGCAATATTCAGAAGCGCCGATGTTGACCAGGAACAAGGCTTGCAGTATTTGATCTAGAAGGACTGATCGCCACAAGCACTTCCGTAATCGGCCGTCTCGTGCAGGTCATGACTAGGCAATCCTCGTCCATGAGACCACCAGCACGTCGCGCCCTGAGTGCGCCTCGCGGTGATAGAGGCAAGATCAGGAAGGTATTTCTGTCTAGGACGTGGCCATCTGCTACGGGGCTCGCTACGTAATCAGTGCTCAACCTGGAAGGAGGGAGGTTTGGATGTCTCTTGATATGACTTGTCCAGTCTTGCACCCAAAGTCGTTGCACCTCGCGAACGGGGGCGAAATCTCGGATTGTCTATAAGATCAAGTGTAGATCTCGACTTGAAATTTCGTGAGATAGAGCCAATAGGCAACACACACAAACTTGACCTCGACAATCGCCGTGCTTCTTTTAGACGTCGAAATCTCTGCATTGTAACGCACTGTGCCAACACTTCTCCAGCCAGCCAAGATGAAGCTGACCTCTGTCCTTCTCGCCCTCTTTGGTGCCGAGGCCGTTCTCGCCAACCCAGTGGTTCTTGTCCCGCGCGATTCCCGCGCCGCCAAGCGTGCGTTCCAGCGCAAGACAAGCCCTCCCATCCCCATTGCCGACGGCAACGTCTCCCTTGACAGCGTCGAAGGCAATGACACGGCGCAGGTGTCCTACTCCAGCAACTGGGCAGGTGCTGTTCTCATCGGCTCGGGCTACAAGTCTGTTGTCGGTACCATCAAGGTGCCCACGCCCAAGACCCCTAGTGGCGGCTCTAGTAGTACGACCTACTCGGCGTCGGCCTGGGTCGGCATCGACGGCGACACCTGCCAGACTGCCATCCTCCAGACGGGCATCGACTTCAACGTGAGGGGGTCCTCTGTCTCCTTTGACGCCTGGTACGAGTGGTACCCGGACTACGCCTACACCTTCTCTGGTTTCGCCGTCAGTGCCGGCGATAGCATCCGCATGACCGCCACGGCGACTAGCACCTCGGCCGGCAGCGTTAAGATAGAGAATCTGACCACTGGCAAGAGCGTGTCGCACTCGTTTAGCGGCGAGTCGGACATGCTGTGCGAGACCAACGCCGAGTGGATCGTCGAGGACTTTTCGAGTGGTGGCAGTCTCGTGCCCTTTGCCAACTTTGGCACTGTTACTTTTACCGGCGCCAGCGCGACAACCGGCAGCGGAACAGTTGGCGTGAGTGGCGCCCAGATCTTTGACATCAAGCAGGGCAACACTGTCCATACCGACTGCTCCGTGTCGGGCTCATCGACTGTGACCTGCAAGTACGTCTAAGCCTAGGAGATAGATTGAAGTTTGTTCTCTAGAGATCCAGATTAGGTCAACAATGCATGCCTCTCTCAGTTTGGCGCCTTCCGCCAACGACAAATCACCAAAAACACAGTTCGACAAAATCTACAGAGACTATGCAGATCGTCGAGGTTGAGATGATATTGTATACCGAGCTTCATTCAATTTTTTATTTTTATTTTTTATTACTACTATTTGATTGTTATGAGACCATGGACTTCTAGACAATTCTCAAGGGGAGAGTTTGAACATAGAACACATCCGGATAGGCTTTTCGAGTTATAGTGTCATTTGTATTCAATCTAAATGTTCATGGTCCAAAAACGACGAACTACTCTGCTTCCATCGTGGGCGCATGTAGGCTATAGCAGCTGGAAACGCCATCGTGCCCAGAGTTTATCTCCAAAGTCGGGCCTCCGGGGTGCACATCCTCATCGCTACCTTCCACAACTCATTCGGGTCCTCCAACTTTTCCGCTGGGGCTAGATCAGTTCAACTGGTATTTCTGATGTGAATCCTATCAGAGCGTACTCACATTTGATAAATACCCATTGAATTGTTTTGTTGTATCAGTCTGACCTTGAGTGTGCAACACACTGGTGCATTGCGTTCCTCCGTGAGAAAATCTGAAGCCCATAATGGCAATTGTCTGAACCTTGGAGACGAGCGAACCTGGGTCCTTGAGGGCGTCGTCAACCTTATCGCCGGCAAAACTGAACTGGACCTGACCATTGGCATGGGCAAGCAGCCTGACACCGCAAGATCTCAGAACCTCAACCGTCTTGCCAGCATTGATGCGGCGGGTGCCTACGGTTCGGGCCTTGCAATCCATGGCCTCCTCACATTCATTAAGGTGTGAGTGCGCAGTTAGGTTCTGGGTCAGTTACCATGATGAAACGGATCATTGGTGGTGAGTTTACAAGGATTTGATAAACATAAAGACGTAGGATTCTATTCAACGGTGTAAAAGAATGCTGAAAGGGCAACTGGCATTTCTGATTCAGAGCAGTGACACTTGTGAGTAGGCTGCAAAGGGAAGATGGCTTTTCTGTAAGTAAAGTGTGATTCACGATGTTGATAGTTGTTGACCGTGTTGATGACGAGACTGCAGATACCTCCGTGCGTCAATCTTTGATGTGCGATAATGCTTCGACCTAGGCTCTTTGCAGATTTTCAATCATTAACTTAGGTAGTAAACCACAGGCCACCGGTGTGCAGTGGCGACTTTGCTTGAATCACATCCGATGCTTACATACTTGTTTGGACTATTGTTGCACAAGGAAGAGTAAGAACAGCACGTAGGTAGTCGACATCAGAGGTTGACTGATTAGAGGCCCAAGCGTGTGGCCAAGCTCCAAGTATGTCAGAAGTCTTCGATAGGTGATTGGAGCCGATTGTTGTTATTCAATAAATATCACAAGAACACAGACCGTAATTGTTCTGCGTAATAGATTCAGATTTGCTCAGTGGAACGTAACTCTCAAGTCAATAGATACACGAAGATACGACAGCAGCGCACACTGCCTAACAGAGCAGCGCGCCTGCGAAGCTCGCACGTGGGGCCCATGTGAAGATGGCAGCTTTGTCTCTAAAAGGATGCCCTTGGTACAGCAAATCCAGCCCAGGGCTCGACTTGAGATGTACTATACGCGAGCTTGGTTCATCTACTGGACCACGCACGCGCGCTTCAGAAGTCCGCTTATTTGACGGTGGAACCGATAGGGCCGAAGCGGATGTTGGACCAGACGACCTTGCTGCGGCAGTGTTAGCGGCAAAATAGCAAGAGAAGCATACGGAGAGAGAGCGTAGCTTTGCGGGCACGTACGCATTGGGGATAGAGGCCTCGACGTCGGAGGGGACACCAGAGTCCTGGGCGCAAGGGCCACGGTCGCCGCCGGGGGTGCCGGCCTTCTCGGGAGGGTAGCTGGAGTCGAGCCAGAGCATGTTGGCGTAGTGCTGGCAGGTGACGGTTAGTATAAAGTGGAGCAGCTGGCCAGCTCGGAGAAGAACTTACGTCGTCCCAGATAGACATGACCAGTACCATGGGGACAGAGAGGGCCTTGTTGAGCTGGGGGAAGCCGCCGACCTCGGAGAAGCGGTCCTTGTCACCAAAGACCTGGAATTGCGTGCCGCAAAAGTCAGGGGTGATGCTGCTGCTCTTGGGAAGGCCGTCAAAGGTCGGGGCGGGGATCTCGATCTTCTGGCCGCCCTGAACGAAGAACTGGGTGAGCTTGTCGGTCTCGAACTGGGTGACGACGCTGTGCGGGTATCAAGTTAGCAGTGCCACTGGACCTCTCTGCTGCTCACAAGGCCAGACAGTCGAGACTTACGTGAACTTCTTGCTGGTGTCGACGGTCATGCCCTTGCCGTAGAAGTCCTTGTTGCCCATGCGGTAGGGGTTGTAGTCGCAGCCGTTGGCGTCGCACTTGCCGGCGAAGCGGTCCTCGGAGTATGTACCACCGCAGGTGTCGTTCTCGCAGACGTGGTACTCGTTGGTGGTGCAGGCGTGGGGGGTGAGAGCAAAGGCATGGGCGTTGGACTCCCATACGTCGATCTCGGCACAGCAGGCACCATAGGGGCCGACGCCGGCGTTGGCGTCGTTGGAAGACGGCTTCCATCCCTCAACGTTGGCCTTGCCACCGACGAACTTTAGATCGCGGGCGCACTGGGCGTCGCAGTAGCCGGTACCATACTTGGCGCCGGCCTTGTTGGACGAGTAGCTCTTCATACCACCGTCCGCCTCCATGGCGACAAAGTACAGGGCAGCGTTGAGGCCGCAGTCGACTGTGGACAGGTCGACATCAAAGGTGAACTCGTTGTTCATCAAGGTGAACATCTGATACTTGGAAGAGCTCTCCATGAGGTAGAAACGGGAGCCGATGTTGGTGCCGTATTCGTGCTTGGTGACAAAGGTCAGCGACAGAGAGTCGCCGCTGGCCTTGGCGCCGTAGGTCTTGCTGTAGTCGGCACCCTCGAGCTGGCACTTGGAAGCACAGTCGGTGGCGGTCTTGCACTCCGAGGTCCACTTGTTGCCATCGTAGCAGTTGGTGCCGGAGGATCCGTGTAGCCAGCGCCAGTTAGCATCAATGACGACCTCGCCGTTGACGGTCTGGCAGTTGCCGCCGCTGCTACACTTCTTCCAGGTCATCTTGGGATGGGTCTCGGTCTGCGAGGTGCCGACGCCCTGGGCGTTGACGGCGGCCAGCATGGTGGCCAGAAAGGCGCCGGTGCGGAGGAGCTGCATGGCTACGGCTGGGTGACAAAACACAATATTCACGTGGAGGAGCTGACACAAGGAGCGGAAGCCTTTGGAGGTGGCCGGACGGGTACAGATCGAAGATGGTGATGCTGGTGAGGATCAGATGCCAGGGGCTGGGAGAAAGGTACGGGCTTTGGCGGGCTTTTATAGCAATGCCTAGATCAGATGTCCGTTGACTGTTGAGCGTACCGGTGTTTGAGCGTCCCATCGGCCGTGGCCTCCGTCGTCCGGAATGGGTAACCCCATCTCTAAAGAGCAGTATCGGCAGAAACCATGGCCTGTTCCTGGGAGTGTGGGGCCCTATCCCCGGGTGATAGATTAAGAGATCGCCAGGCCAAAAAGCCTTCCATCAGATCTTCTGCACGGCGGTAGTACGCGCCCGGTGGCGTAGAGCTGTTGGTGGAATGGGGCCCCAAGCTCCCTGACCTACACGGCGCAATTGTTTCGGATCACTTCCATATTACACGTCTTGGCGCCAATTTGTCCGCCAATCTTTTCGTAGAAACCTCAAAGGGAGAGTGAAGGCGAGGTGCCAGCCTGTGCCGGCCCGTCTCCTATACAAGCCAGGCGAAGCGGTACATACTGAGCAGCCCCGTACGGTTGATCAAATCGGCAGTGAACAGCCGGTGCAGCTGAGAGGACATAACTACATCTGAAGCGGCCCAGATCCCCATGGGGTCAGTCAAGATCAGGCTAGATCCAAGACTGTCAAGAATCTCGCGCCGGAGAAGAGGGTGTATACGTGCGGGGATCGTTGATGGCAGTCTTTGGGGCTTGCCGTGGGGTGAAGCACCTTGCAAACGGTGCACGCAGGCGCGCGTGCCTGAGGTCCCACCAGAGGAATAGACTCCCAAGTTGGAGAAGCATAAGCACACAAGCTGCAGACCTACCGTATCGACGTGTCACGCCGGTAACAGCCAGGCTGGACGGGCCGCAATGTCATCTATATGGTGAATAACGCCGCGGACAACCTAGACCGGCCGGGTGCGATATTTGGCAGGTCGGGACAGCCACTGGGGTTGTATCCGGATCAATTGTGGCCAGAGTGAGTTGTTTACCGAGGCCTTGGCATCGAGCAGAGGCCATGAGGTCTGTCGACAGCCCGTTATGCGGTCGTTTGGAGCGCCGTTTGACCCACTGATTCGCCAGAGAGCCGGCACTCTCGGCCGGGGCCCGACGCCGAGCGAGCGGACCACGGCCGGCCAGGCGTCAAATTTATCGCGACAGATGTGCCCAGCGAGGAAAGTAAACAGAGAGAAAGCGCAAAAAACCGCCACGATGAGCCTCCAGTTCGATGCCCTATCACTGGTGAGCTGCCGTCTCACCCTGAGGGTGGCATTGGAGCCAGGTGATTGGAAGCCGGCTGCCAGCCAAGGGAGGACAAGACTCTGCAAGAGATTGCACGTTATTCGCTCCGGTTGAATCTACAATGAATCGCGGTCAGCAGCGAATGAAAAGCCGGATGCGGCGCTGCCCAGCACGAAGTGCCGGGATGCTGTTACAATGCCAAGACGAGGGGTAGTCTGGTGAATATCAGGCAATTAAGATACATTGGCCTCCGGATTCATACTTGGGTCGAGAAGCACAACCCTGGTTGGCTGCCTGTGGAGAAACGCCAAGGCAACCGAGCATGAAAGACCAGAAAGGAGGCCCTTGCTCTCTGTCATCAAGTCGCTCGGAGAAACAAAGGCCGTTGTCATTCATGCTCGACGCACTTGCTTCAGTGAGTGAGTGGCGCTGGCCATGACGATGCCGTAGCACCTGTAGATTAAGCGACAATAGACGTCAATCAGCGGTTAATTTGAGCCTCACATCGTGGGATCAGGGCTGGCTGGGCAACTATCTCCTTGGGCTTTGGGCTCCTTGCTCCCCGAAACAATGACCCCCTTATGCCTTTGGTTGCCCTCTGAGAATTCCCATGCTCTCAGGTGGCCAAGCTTCCAATCCACCTTCCACAAGGCTAGTTGGGTCTTGGCCACTGCGCTCGTGCTCGCCGCCTTTTGCCTGTACCAAGAAGCTCGACGTCGATCAGCGACAGCAGCCGCCCCTCCGCGCCCGGTGACTTCTCCCGTGCAGTCGCTGGCGTTTTGTGCGTTTTGGCCTGTCGAGAGTGCAACCCTGGGACCGAAAACCCCCCTGACCGGGTACAACGTCTTGGCGCTTTAGATGAAGATCTCGCAAGTCGCTCCCCGAAAGCCCAGACGAGCGAGCGAGCGACGGCGCGCAACGCACACTAGGTAGCGAGCGAAGTGTGATCGGCTCGGTAGGCCAGCCGTACAGCTCAGAAACCCGGGGACGGGGCTCTTTTGGGGCATTTTAGGTATGCAGAGCCAGAGACCCTGCCGCAGGACACGGCTCGGTTCCCGACAAACCCTGTTGCAAATGAAAGAGTTGGCGGGAAGAGATTAGAAGCCTTGGGGTCCTTGTGGAGATGCTCTGCATAGCCATGCGCTCATTCAGGACTCTTCCAAAGTTGCCTGTCTGGGACACAGCGCAGCACTTGCACCAGCGACCGCAAGCCGGGAGCATAGCCCACTCAGTCACTCAATCGATGCGGGACACGGGTCCGCTTTCATGGCTGGGCTCTGGATGGATGAGATGGATGAGCTCAAGCGATAGTGGCTGCAAAGGACGAAGGACTCCTCCCTTGGATCAGACACATCGCTGGAGCTTCCGCCGTGGGCCCTCTGAGAAAGTGACCAGGTATGGCTGGGACATATCTTGGGTTTTTGACGGATGGAACATCCGCCTGAGGCACACTGGCAAAAGAGAAATCTCTAATACCAGGGTGGTCGTTGTACTTTATAAGCCCTATACCGCTGACAGTTTTGCACTGCTGAAGTCTGGTCGATCATCAAGAGGGATGATGTAGACCACGACATGGGTCGGTCATGATTGCCCAAGACAAGGGTAGGCAGGCATAGTTGGGCAAAACGACGCAAATGCCAAGTTTGTTTGAAGTGCACCACCACAGGCATCTGGGCCTACGAGGCATTCTATCTGCTGTGCAGCCGCCATTATTTGGTCTTGCAGGAGGCCAGGGAGTGGAACGACACGCATGCTGAGGTCGCCAAGTTGCAAGGCTCTTCTCTGGGCTTGGTCAGTGGTCAGATTGGTCCCAAAAAGAACCCGTGAAGAAAAAGGTCGACTGACATGTAGGTGTTGGTTGTATATTACCAAGTAGGTAAGATTGTAATAATTAGGGCAAGCTCCAATGCCTACACGGTCAAATCTTCAAACGCGAAAGCGGACAGGGCGCTATATCAGACCGGCAAGCGGGTACACGCTTGCCATTGGGCCTTTTCTAGGTCTTTGATTTAGTGAAGATGGATGGCTGGCCGGTGGCGATGGGGATGGCGATGGAAATGGATGAGAGTGATTGAGTGATGAAGGGTGATGAAGGGTGATGAAGGGTGATGATGGGTGATGATGGGTGATCGATGACGGAGGGTTGTCAGACCAGCGAACCAAGCCCTGCAGCTGGGGAAGGCCACGTTGTCCTGTAGGCATTTTCTCAGGGACTGCATTTGACTTTGCTGACAAGCACAATCGTGAAATGGGCTGGAGTCCATTGTGTTCATTTCACATTCATGTTTCGATGAGAGTCTATGTACTATCCCTTTAGGAGCCGTAACTGCACTCATGTGTACTACGTGCCCTCTTCAGTAATCAAGATCCCTGTCAATCCCTGTCTGTGCCACTGTCATTAGCTGGAGATAACCTGGAATCATGTGACTGCAGTTACGGCTCTTCAAGGGATAGTTACGAGGTAACTACCTCGGTGATTGTAGATAATTAGGACTTTACGGTGCCAGGAGGAGGGCGGCGGCTCCTGGATTATTAGCACTGGAACACGTCCGATGGATGGCTAGCCTAATGTAGTGGAGCTGGAGGCTCCAAGGGCTCCCGCTGGGCTCTTTTATAGTGGGTGTGCTAGTGGACCGTGCCGAGAGTGTAGTGGGGACTGTCAACTGAAACCGCCCGCCCTGAGTCTCCAGTCCAGGGCAGTTGAGGCCTGGGCTTAACATCCACAGTTGAAATTGCACGATGGCCACTGGCTCGGACAAAGCTATTCCCACTCCGGGCGATGCCAAGTTCAATCAAATGTTCAATTCACATCAATTCAATGATCAAGTCGCAGCCAATTTGACGACATCACATGCCATCCCCTGCCGAAGCACCCATCCATCCTCACCCACCCACCCATCCACGGCTTACGGCAAAGGGCATAGGGCATCCGTCCACCTCTGCCCAACGACCCAGGAGCTTGCCTGCCCATCCCGCCATGCTCCGTCGTCGGCGATGTGGAGACAGTCCCTGAACAATGTCGACCCCGTCGCGGGCTCGGCCGGTGCCGCCGCTGTGTGCGCCCTCGTGTCGCAGCACCTGCACTCGAGGCAAGCTGAGCTCAGCTCCGAGCTGATCTGCTGGGCCGCGCTGCCTTTCATCTTCGCCTTTGCAAAGCAGTCCGGGCTCGCCGCCAGCGGCACTCGCGCGACGCTGTCTGGCAGCTTCCGGCCCCAGGCCACGACGACATCCCTGGGGTCGGTATGGATCGTGGCCCTGTGCGTCGTTCTTGTCAGCGTCTATAGGCAGGAGATCGGCGCTATCGCCTCCTTGCCCGCCTTGGTGCCGCTCCTGCTCATGGCCGAGAAGCGTTTCCGGTCCGTCGCGCAGTTTTCCCGCATGCTCGATTCCTGGTCGCCGTCGCCCTTGGTGCAGAGCGTCGGCGCATCGGCCGTCATCGGCCTGCTCGCCAGCCTCACCCTGGCCGAGTGGTGCCTTCGGCCGCTCTTCTACTCGGCCGCTCCCGCTGCCGCTCTCTACATCCTCTACGCTGCCCTCATCCCCAGGGATCCGGATTTGCCCTCCCTCTTTCCGCATCTCGACCTCGAAGATGCCGTCATCCCCCTCTCCGCACACACCGTCGTCATCTCGATCGCCGCCATGATTCTGCGCACCATCGTGCTCGGCTTCCCCAGCAGTGGCGTCATGTCTACACTATTCCTAGGCCTTGCCAAGGCCCTTTCTTGGTACTTTACCACCCAGACGGTAGGTCCGCTTGACCAATCGCCAAACTCAGCAAACACGTGTGCTTCACCTTGTCTAACCGCGCCCCTCAGACCCGCTACACTTCATGGACCATTGCTGCCGCTGTGTCCACATACGCCTTGTTCTCATCTGCCGATCTGGCGCTGTTGCCTTCGGATGGACAAGCGTTGACTTTCTCCATCATCTCCTTTCTCTCACTCAGCCAAGTGATCCATATGCTGCCTAGACAGTCCAAAGCAAGGGTCTTTTTGTGGCTTCTATGTCTGGCGTCACTAATACCATATCTGTCGAACCTGTCTGCCATTCGTCACGCCCGCACTTCGGCGCCTACAAATTTTGGCACCCATGCGCACCCCGTCGATGCCTTGATCCAGCGAGCCAGAGCAGACTTCGGTGCCGTTCTGCGCAACCAGTCCACGTCCCTCTCAGCCGCCCAGGATGAATACCGGCGACGCTATCGCAGGGATCCCCCGCCGGGCTTTGATGCCTGGTACGACTTCGCAGTGGCGCACCAGTCGCCCATCATCGACGAATTCGACACCATTCACCACTCTATTTCACCCTTTCTGCGATCCCTGAGTGGTGCCGAGTTCCGCGACACCATAAACGATGCCTACGACTTTGTTGGCAGCGAGCTGTGGCTCTGCTCCTTCTCGGGCAAGAGTGCCAAGACCGAATGTGGCCACTCCTACCGGACTTTTGACAGGCACATCAGCCTCTTGGTCAACAAACTCTTTGGGGACCTGCCAGGAGCGATACCGGATGTCAAGTTTCTATTCAACCACCTCGACGAACCCAGGGTGCTGCTTCCGGCCAAAATCGGAAAGGTGTATGGCAAGAGGCAATTCAGGATCACCGACCTGACTCACCAATCCAATTTCGACACGCTCACTCGATTCTGTGCCTCGCACAAGAAAGACAAGCCGTCCCGCAAAGGATACCAGGTCGAGCCCTTCGGCCTCCCGTTCGTGACGGACCGCGACGCGGCGATGGATCTCTGTCAGCACCCCGAGTATGCGAACATGCATGGACTCTTCATGAGCCCCTCGTCCTTACCCCTGATTGAAGGCCTCGTGCCTGTCCTGTCAACGGGAGCCCCTTCGACCATGGGCGATATCCTGTTCCCCACTCCGGCCTACATGGAGTCTGAGTTCCTGTTTGACGAGTCCCGCGACGTCGACTGGGACTCCAAGAACAACATCGTATACTGGGCTGGCTCAACCACTGGCGGCTTCGCCGACAAGCCCGGTCAATGGCGGTTCTTCCAAAGACAGCGGTTTGTCGAATTTGTGCAAAAGCTCAAGGGGCGCACGTACATGTACCTACGGGGGCAGGGCGGCGCCATCAAGAGCGTGGCCTCGTCGTTCCTCAATGGCCGACTATATGATGTTGCCTTTACGAGGTTCCTGCACTGTGACAGGAAGTATTGCCACGAGCAGAGCCTGTACTTTCGCACCAAGTCCTGGGCGGATAAGGACGCGCCGCTGAAATCAAAGCTCGTCTTTGATCTGGACGGCAACGGCATCAGCGGGCGCTACTACAAGCTGGTCGCGTCCAAGTCGGCGCCGTTGAAGCAGACGCTGCTTCGGGAGTGGCACGACGACCGCCTCATCCCCTGGGTGCACTTCATCCCGGTCAGCCAGAGCATGGAGGAGCTGCCCGAGCTGGTCTTCTATCTGACGTCGACAGACGCCGGGCAGAAACAGGCCAAGGAGATAGCCGATCAGGGAAGGGAGTGGTACAGAAAGGCATTCCGCGAGATCGACATGACCATCTACACCTATCGGCTGCTGCTGGAGCTGGCGAGACTGCAGGATCCGATGAGGGAAGCCGACCTGTAACATTAGGTTAACCGTCCCTGGCGCGCATCCGGACCGATACCCACTGTAGGATTTCTAGGAGCACGAATAGCAAGATCCATCCGCGTTCTGATATTCTGGCCCTGCCGTGCTGGTGAGGGTGAGAGACTGTTGAGCGGGAGCTTGAGTTTCGGCCCCCACGGACACACACACACCCAGTCAATACTGAAATCCTGTGTCGGATTCAATCCCTGCTAACGTGGTTGATTGCTCATCGTTTGCGCAACCCCTGACTAGCGCTTACTTTTAGTCCCCTGATAACTGGTCCGTGGTCAGTCCGCCAAGTGCGAGCGTTGGGCACACTCGGTCCAATCCTGCGCACGGCAAGTCGTTGGGGGAAATGAAGGCTTGGGGAGGAAAAACCTGGCTTGAGGCTGAACGCCAAAAGCGGTGTGAGGGGGCAGGCCTGCAAGTACTCCGTACGCAATCTTTCTGATCTCATCTCACGTCGGCCACCCGGAGCACAAAAAGGGCAGCGAGCTCCCGTGGTAGAATTGCACTTGTCCTGCCTCCATTCGTGACACTGACGCTATTTCTGCGCGACGCTGTCCGGCCGAACCCGACACGCGCACGACTCATTCGGACGACCATGGTCTCCACAAGCACGGCCACCTGGTCCCTCGGCGCCGTGGCCTGGGCGCTCTGGGCCCGGGACTGCTCCGGACTATCGAGCTATCTCGCGCGGGGATTAGCCGTCTACGCAGCCTGTTGCGGATGGCTGCTGCTCTACCACACTGTGCTTTATCCCATCTACCTCAGCCCCCTGCGGCATCTCCCGAGCCCCGAGCAGGGTCCTCTTTACCGCCGCTTGTTGACGGGCGACCCGAGCTTCGAGACGCTGATCAAGTGGATCAATGAGATCCCCAATGACGGCCTGATCCGCTACCAAGGTTTCTTCAACGCGGAGCGGATACTGGTCACGACGTCGCAGGGGTGCAAGGAGGTGCTGCAGAGCCAGGCCTACAACTACATCAAGCTCCCCTTTGCCCTCGAGGTGATGGGCCAGTTTGGTCCGCAGGGTATCCTCGTGTCGCCGCCTGTGAGGCATAGGGTATGTCGGTCTGCGGGATTGGTCGATGGAAACCACTGGAGTCCATCTCACTGACACCGCACAATAGGTCGACCGGAAGCTGCTCCAGCCGGCCTTCAAGTTCAAGTACATCAAGGGCTTATCGCCAACCTTTTGGACCGAGGGCGCCAAGTTTCTCTCCGTCATCGAGAAGCAGCTGCGCGACGCCGGGGCTGGCTTCCTCGACATTGGCGAGCGCCTGCACCACGTCACGCTCGACATCATCACGCTGACGGCTTTTGGCGCGTCCATCGGCGCTGTCAACGACCCGGCTTCGTCGCGAGTCAGGCACTTCCGCAACTTGTTCGCCACCAAGAGCCACCACATCAAGTACCGACGCCTTGCCTTTCTCCTACCCTATTTCGTCTACCGTCGCCTGCCCGTCCGCGCCCGGAGGGAGATCATGACGGCGCGCGATGTGATTGCCGACTTCATCCGGCCACTGATCCAGCAGCGGCGTGGCAACGCCGAGGACGGCGGGGCGGCAGGCCAAGCAAAGCAGTACGCGCAGGGCGACATCATCGCCACGCTGCTGCGGTCCGGCGAGACCTTTACCGACGACTACCTCATCGACCAGTCCATGGACTTTATGGTCGCAGGCCAGGAGACCACGGCCACCTCGGTCGCCTTCACCCTGTACGCCATGTCGCAGCACCCCGAGATGCAGGCCCGCCTGCGCGACGAGATCCGCGCCCGCCTGCCCTCACCCTCGGACAACGCCATGGTCGACGCCGAGCTGCTCGAGTCCCTGCCCTACCTGACGGCCGTCTGCAACGAGGTCCTGCGTCTATTCTCCCCCGTGCCTTACGCGCACCGCCAGACCGCGGCGCCCGACACGACCGTCGGCGGCGTGCACATGCCGCGCGACACGGTCGTCGTGGTCGCGCCGGGAGTGATCCACGAGAGCCGCGAGGTGTGGGGGGCCCGCGCCGGCGAGTTCGACCCGGAGCGGTGGTTGGTCCGCGCCGAGGGCGGCGAGATCGTCAAGGTCGACCCCCTGGGCGGGACGGGCGACACCTGGGCCGTCATGCCCTTCACGTACGGGCCGAGGATGTGCATCGGCGAGCGCTTTGCCAGGGGCGAGATGCTCTCGCTCGTGGCGCAGCTCGTGGGACGGTTCGAGTGGAAATTTAAGGGCATCGGGCGCAACGGGGACAAGCCCATGAAGATTGTGCAAAGCGTTGTCGCCGGCCCTGCCGGAGGCGGTATGACCATGTTTGCTACGCGCGTTGGCGGGTGGTAATTCCAAGTTTTTGGGATGGGTGCTTTTATACTCGACAGATATCTGGAGCCATGGAAGGCCCGAGGGGGGGGATTTTAGACTACTTGTATTAGACTATGTTGAAGATTTAGATTCATTGCCCATGACAACTAGATGTCAAGGCCCAGTGCATACTTGCCATATCTCTGACAGTCTAAGTACATCACTGCCGAACGAACCTATCAGCATGAGACTTGTACAGCACTGAAGTGTCCAACACATCACCGGTCGACGACCGGATAAAGTCGACTTGCAGGTGTGTCCTATCGGTGAATGTAATCTTTGCAAAGCTAAAATCCTCGGCATACGCAAACGCGTTGAACGACACGTTGCTGCCGACGCTGCTCAGGCCCTCGATGTTGCCCGCGCCGCCAGCCACAATGTACATGGGCGCCTTGGGGTCACTCATGCCCGCCGCATCGGCCTTGCCGTTGTAGGCGGGCTGGAATCGTTGGGAGTTGTGCACGTGGCCAAAGATGCCCAGGTCGACACCGTACTTGTAAAAGAGCGGCTCAAAGGCGGCCTGGCAGGGCTTGCAACCTCCGCCGCCGGTCGTATACCACGGCCTGTGGCCCGCGACGACGACCCAGGGCGTCACCGTGCGATCGACCGAGGCCAGGTCGGCCTCGAGGAACGCCAGCTGCTGGCCGTTGGCGCCAAAGGGACCGCCGTCGAGGTGTGCTGAGCCGCCGGGCTGGTCGGGCGCGTCGGGGAAGTCGGTCTCGGTGTTGAACATGACGACGTGCGCCATGCCGTAGTCAAACGAGTACCAGAACGGCGGGTTCGCGAGCGCCTGCGCCTTCTTGGCCTGGCTGGCGGCAGTGCAGTTGGTCGAGTTCGACGCAAATGCCGTGGGCATGGTGCTGCTGAATCGATGCATGAAGTCGGTAAAGTTCTTCTGGCCCTCTGGGCACAGGCCTGCCGTGAAGGGGATCTCCTCACAGGCTGCCTCGTGGTTCCCGGGGCTGGCCATGTAAGGCTTGCGGGCAGCGATGGGCGCCAACTGGGCGTAGAACTGCTCGAGGATGGCCTGGAAGGCGGCCTCGCCGTGCAGCAGGTTCTTGGGGGAGAGGAACCAATCGTCGGCGTACGCAAAGTCGCCAGGGTGGATGACAAACTCGTAGTCGTTGACTGTGCGCGCAAGCCGGTCGATGGTGGTGTGATTGAGGGCAGGGTCGATGAGCGGAATGTCGTCGCGCTTGGCGTGATCGCCCTTGAGGGTGAAGCCGTCGGCACCGTAGACGCCCAGGTCAATGACGACGTCCATGGAGAAGGGGGTGGTGTCGCCCGGTACGCGCGGGCTCATGAAGTGCTCTACCGTCGAGTTTGTCGAGACGATCTGGTAGTAGTAGGTGGTGGCAGGCCGGAGGCCGCCGAGAACGACCACGTTGGACCAGGTGCGTGAGCTGGCGTAAGTAGTGGACTGGTCCGAGCAGGACTGCAGAGTGAGAGCGTCCCTGGAGAGGCCATACTTGACGCAGGGCTGTTCCAACTGCTTGTAGGTGTTCCAGCCGATGGAGATGGCTTCATGATGCAAGAGCGGTGTCAGCTTGGTCTCTACAGCCACTTGAAGGCTGTCTGCACACATGAAACCCACCATTGAGACCTTTGATGGCAATGCGTTGCTGAACGGGCGTGGTCAGGTCGGCGGGAATGGGGGGTAAGCTAGCGGCTGCCGAGACATACGCCGCAGCTAGCACCGGGAGCGCCTTGATGGCCGTCAAGACGTGCATCTTGATCTTGGACGAGCTACGATGTCGACGGGATGATCCAGAAAGGGTTGAACAGCATTGGTGAGGACTGGCCACAAGGAGATGCAACACTGGACCTTGTACGCCGAGAGAACCGGCTTTGAGTATCACGATCGACACCCATCACGGTATTTATCTCGCAGCAAGTCCAGAAGTCCGCGTTGATGATCGGCGGCCCCAGGACACACGTGCGAAACGGGAGCTGGGCCCCCTGCCAGCTCCCCTGGCACTTACACGCAAAGTCGAACAGCTGAGCGGCGCCTCGCTTCGGATGCATCTGCCATTTCGTCACCTTCCATCAACAAAGTGCATTACATCGCGCGCCGTTAGCTTGCCGATAGGGGACACGTGCAACGCTTGGTCACCAGTGGTTGGCCCGGATCGACTGGAGCCCCCGACTGGAGCCTCCGGGGCAGCGGGGCGGTGCCTCGGTAAGTGCGCATTAGTGAACGGCCCAGACAAGCTTTCACGGGCAAATCTTGTTCGACCAATCACTCGGAAGCCATTTACGATGGCCGGCCGAGCTTGGGCGTCCTAACGTCACTGCTACAAATGACGATATTGATTGATCTCGTTCTATACCTATACGGGAATGATGTAGAGGCGCATCAGAAGCTAATCACTTTCCCGGGATTCAGAAGCCAGTCAGGATCGAGACTCCGTTTCAGTGTTCTCATGATTTCGATTGTGTCCGGTCCAAGTTCCTTTTCCAAACAGTGCCGTTTCCCGAGCCCAATGCCGTGCTCTCCCGAGACGGTGCCTTCCATGTCCAAGGCCGTCATGATCATGGTGTCGACGCAGTCCTTGACGCCTCGTACCTGTTCCGGCTTGTTGGGGTTGTACATGACGGACTGGTGGAAGTTGCCGTCGCCCACATGGCCGAGCACGCTCGAAAACAGACCCAGTTTCGACGCGTTGCTCTTGGACTGGTCGACAATGTCTGCCAGGTGCGACAGCGGGACAGCAACATCTGTCGACCATATTTGCGTCCCTTCCGGTCGTACGGCAAGCATAGCCCACAGCGCCTGTTTCCTGGCCGACCATAAATCGTCGATAGCCTTTTCATCCTTGGCCACCGTGAAGTCGGTACCGCCGTTTGCCGTAGACACATGCCGGGCCGCCTCGATGCTGTCCTGTACGATACCGGCGGCACCGCCAGAAAACTTGATGAAAAGCGTCGACTTCTCGGGCCAGGTCCGGCCTCCCGCTCCGCCGGTCTGGTTGATGACTCGCATCTGAACGTCATCCATGAGTTCCAGTGCCGCAAGGGAGATCCCGCGTCGCATCATGGACGTAGCAGCTTTGCATGCATCCTTGACCGTCGGGAAGGACGTCGTGGCTACGCCGAAGTGCGTTGGTATGATCCCCAGCTTTAGCGTAGCCTCGGTGATGATGCCGAGTGTGCCTTCAGAGCCCGTGAACAAGGAGTTCAGATTGTAGCCCGCTGATGTCTTGCGCGGTCGTCGGCGTGTCTTGATGACTCTTCCGTCTGCGAGCACAACCGTGAGGTTAACAACCCAGTCCTTCATGGTGCCATACCTCATGGCATTCGTCCCGCTACAGTTAGTCGCAATCATGCCGCCAATCTGAGCAGTCGGGCTCGGGTCTAGCGGGAGGAACAGCCCCAAAGGTCGCAGCATCTCATTGAGGTTGACCCAGTTGACACCAGCCTGCACCACAACATCCATGTCGTCCTCGTGGATAGCTACCACCGTGTCCATTCTAGACAAGTCGATGCTGAATCCGGAATATGGTGCGCAGATGTTGCCCTCGACGCTCGAACCTGCACCAAAGGGGATCATAGGTACTTTGTATTTGCTACAGATTTGTGCAACCTTCGACACGCTTTCGGTCGAAGTGGGCAGGATGACGGCGAAAGGGCGGGCGGCAGTGTTGGAGGTCGAGCATTCCGAGTAGCCGTGGCTTTCGATAACGTCAGAGTCCATGCTGACCGCGTCGTGCCCGAGCGCTTCTCGAATCTCCTCAACGGCCTAATTATTTTGTTATTGGGTCCCGGGTCGACTCCTCAGGGTAGGGGACCGTAATCCGGAATCTTGCTTACTAGCAGCATTGCCGACTTGTCTGCGTATTGCGGCGGCCCCGTGACAGCTTCTGGCATTCCGGCAGGATTATCTGCTTTCCCACTGATGGACAACGTCACTGCGGTAGCAAGAAATCCCATAGCCAGCCCGCCCAGCCCGTAGACAAGACCGGGGACATTGAGAGGGCGCTGTGCTTGCGTAGATGAGTGCCGCCGCGGAGACTTGAGTGAATGTGGCTCGCATCGGAGGCTCGGTCCCAGCCTAGGGAACTGCGGCCTCAGTCTTGTAGGTGCGCCAAGCACAACACGCAGTGCTGTCTTCATATTATCTTTCCCTTCTGTGGATCTGCCTTCGGAGACACGGATGACGATTGACCTCGGTCTTGTTTTGGTCCTTGGCAACGAGGGCGAGCCTGAATGCTAGCTGCATACCAGCCGCCCCAGGGATGATGACAAATGAGATTGGCTCAAGGGTGATCATGTACCTGGACTCCAGCCTCAAAGCGGATTTCAAGACCATGCGGGTGAAAGACTGCGTACCTTTCATCAATGACAGTGCAGTGTTGACAAAATCGCAACGGCTCTCGGCTCAGATGGGAGGCGCGTAGCTTAGCGGACACGCGCGCGACAGCTCGGATACGCCAGAAACGGTATAGGCTGTGACAGCTTTCTTCAACCGACACTTATAGCTCTGAGTCTGAACCAATAGCCGAAATCTTGTATCTATAGCAAAATCACTTGACGATGTCAGTACGTCTCTTGAGTATGATGAGGTCAAATGTAATTACTGTGTCCTGCCGCTGCCTATGCCTTTTCTTGTCCCAAATGCTGTGTCCCTGGCCGTGCCAACTGGATTTTGAAACACGGGCACTTACGACTATTCCCAGCGACAGCCTTGGATATGGCGGACCTTGCTATCAGTTGAATTTGAAAAAGAAAAGGAAAAAAAAAGGGAAAAAAAAAAAAAAAACTTGAGGGATTTTTAGCAGTATTCTAAAGTGTTTAGTTTGCACACCTTTGAGTCTTCGATACCCCAGAGTATACGACTTTCCGTGAGCTGACTAAACTGTGTAAATACTGGAGGCTTCCCAGCCAGGCGATCCGGGTTTAATATCATTTAGATAATGTCTTGCTCAGGCCTGTGAAGATGCGGTAATTAAACCCTCTCGCCTTCTCCATCCCCAAGGTCTTTCAACATCGTAATCTTTGCACATAAGGGGCCGGACAATCTCTCTACCCATGTCTTCATCACTCAATGCTGGTCTCTGCCGGGTTGTAGCCATCTCTGAAAGATATTATTCGACAGCACCTTCTGGGAAAGTATCGAGACATGAACGGAACAATCAAAACCCGCATAACGGGCAACTTCATGTTATCTCGGGTACAAAGCCGTAGCGCTCTCACAACCACAGAATGAGGGGATGGTCGCGTTGACTGTGGGGCCGGCTACCATGCCGACCACGCTGCGCCGCCACGCTATATGAGGATTGTCCGCGCTGGCAGAGACGCTGAGGATAAGGTTAATGTACATCCTCTACACTTGATCAGGCAGTTTTAGGAAGGTGTCATGGTTGTGATCGCCACGCCCAATGGGCCGTTCTCCCCCGTCCATTGCGGGTTTGCATCTTCTCATTCGGCTGGAGTTGAGCATCGCAATCATGGAAGCGTCTGAAGTTTTCAGGTGGCTGGCTCTGACTGGGTCGGAGGACTCCGCGCTTGAAAATAGATACTCATCTGATTGATCACGAGTTTAGTATAGACGACTAGTATCATAATCATGTTGTAAAGGTACGCCACGACCATGTTAACAACTACAAACATTCGGATAATTGCAATCTACTCACTCAAATCAACGATCGACGATAAAGAATAACAGTCGTTTCTAGATCGCCCTGTCTAGTATTTCTCATCTCAGACATTAGCAAAGAGGGACTTTCTCGCCAGTGTATGCACAGAGTCGAGCTCCACGTGCCGAATATATCGGATGACCCGGTAGATCAAGATGTCCTTGATTGACAGGCGAGGGCATTGGATCTTCGCCATGCGGGGATGCAGTCGGCTTTGCGGGGAAGGTCACTCCCGCCAGTAACACGGGTATCTCGCCAAGCCTGAATACATCATCCGCACCAATCGGCCGGCAGAAGGAGTCTTATCGAACGCTTTCCGGCCCGTGGGTTTCTGATATATAAAGAGGATTGCAGTGCAGCGCCTTCGTCACGTCAATATGAGGCATGGCAGTGTTACATCGTTCCTGCATCCGGACAACTTGCAGGAATTTCAAGCAATGGCTCGCCTTAACATCCGATGGCTCCTTCGGAGCGCTTTCTTTGGAATCGCCACAGTTGTCGGCAGTGAAGCCATGTTTGCTTCGCTGGCGGAAGCGTCGTCCGAGGTCCCTCCCGATGTTGGGCCGGGCGCCACGGCACCGGTGCGGCCCTTTCGTCTCGACCAGGTCCGGCTCGGCGGCGGCCTGATGCAGGAGAAGCGCGATAGGATGAAGGCATACCTCCGTCAGTACGACCAACGGAGATTCTTGGTGCTTTTCAACAACCAGGCTGGCCGGCCAAATCCGGAAGGAGTCGCAGTGCCGGGTGGGTGGGAAGACGGAGGCCTGTTAAGCGGACATTGGACGGGCCACTTTATGACGGCCCTTTCGCAAGCGTACGCTGACCAGGGGGAAGAGATTTTCAAGACCAAGCTCGACTGGATGGTCAATGAACTGGCCACATGCCAAGATGCAATCACTGCTCGATTCGAGGGCAAAGGCCAAGGCTCCGGCGCCGCGTCCTGGATCCCCACGTACCCCGGCTACCTAGGGGCGCTCCCGGAGGATACCGTACTTAGGCTGGGACCACCTCGATTCGCCGTGTACGGGAGCGACCTCAACAAGAACACGTGGGCACCCTGGTACACGCAGCACAAGATCCTGAGAGGTCTGCTGGATGCCTACTACAATACCAACAACACGCAAGCGCTCGAGGTCGTCACCAAGATGGCCGACTGGGCACATCTCGCACTGACTGTTGGAGACAAGAACCACCCCAACTACAGAGGGAACATTACCCGCGATGACCTGAACTACATGTGGGACGTTTACATTGCTGGCGAGTTTGGTGGTGCCAACGAAGTCTTTCCGGAAATCTATGAGCTGACCGGGGACGCGAAGCATCTCGAGACGGCCAAGTGCTTTGACAACCGGGAGTCTCTCTTCGGTGCTGCTGTCGAAGATAAAGATATCCTGGTCGTGCTTCCCCAAAACATTCCAGGCCGCCGCCGCCGCGAGCGTCTTCACGCAAACACACACGTTCCTCAATTCCTTGGATACATGCGGGTCTACGAACAGAGTGGAGAGCGGGATTACCTCGACGCCGCGCGAAACTTCTACCACTGGGTCTTCCCACACCGCGAGTTCGCCACCGGAGGCACGGGAGGCAACTACCCAGGGCACGAGGATAACAACGAGCTGTTTCAGAACCGGGACGACATTGCTTACGCCCTCAACAAGAGCGGCGGGGCGGAGACGTGCACCACCTACAATATGCTGAAGCTAGCCCGGAATCTATTTATGCACGAGCACAACGCGACTTACATGGACAGCTACGAGCGCGGTCTGTTCAATATGATCACCGGCTCGCGCGCCGACACAAACAGCGTCGATGGCCCACAAGTCACCTACTTCCAGCCCCTCGGCCCCGGCGCCGCCCGTGATTATGATAACATTGGCACCTGCTGCGGTGGGACGGGGATGGAGAGCCACACCAAGTACCAGGAGACTGTGTACCTGCGCTCAGCTGATGGGTCCACGTTGTGGATCAACCTCTATGTCCCGGCCACCTTGGACTGGGAGGAAAAGGGCTTCACAGTTAAGCAGGAGACAACGTTCCCGCGCGAGGGCTCCTCCAAGTTCACAATCACTGGCGACGGCCCTCTAGATGTCAAGCTCCGCGTCCCTGCCTGGGTCCGCAAGGGTTTCCGGGTGGCTGTCAACGGAGAGACTCAGGGCCAACAAGAGCCGCAACCCGGCACGTACCTGACGCTGAGCCGGCTCTGGAAGACGGGTGACGTGATCGAAGTCAAGATGCCGCTCAGTATTCGCGTTGAGCGCGCCAGAGACCGACCAGACACCCAGGTCATTATGTGGGGGCCTGTGGTTCTGCAAACTGTCGGCCAGCCGACCGGCGCCGACGGCTTCTGGGACCTGTCTCTCTACCGGTACCTTAAGCGGGACGGCGACTACGCGCAGGGGGCGATCAAGCGGACCGGCAGCACCGTGGGAGGGGACCCGCTCTTCACCGCGGCCGGCAGCGACGTCGCTGTGCGGCCGTACTATGTGAGCGATCTGCAGCCAGTTTCGTCTTATTTTCGCCGCGTCGAACCCGCCGTCGTCTTTGGCTCCATAGACACCGGCGTCGCGAACCGCAAGCGTAATGACCGATTGCCCGAGTACGACGTGCCCGTGACTGGCATTGAGTCTCCGGGCTCGGATGGACCTACATTCCTTGACGTGCTCTGGGACCAAGCACCATTTGTCACACATGCTGACTTTGTCAAGGCGGTTACCTCTACCGCCGACTCTTTTGTAGCTGCTGGTGTGTACACGACCGACGAGCGTGATGTAATTGTGGTCAAGGCTAGTGAGGCTGAGAAGGAGCTCAACCCGGGGTGCACACCACGGGAGAGGAGAATGTGAGTGTCTGGATTGGCCGACCTATCAAAACCGTTGTTGAATGGAATTTCTGAGTCGTATTCATAGTTGGAGTAGTGATGATAATGCCATGATTGTGATTGAGCATGCGAATTGGGGTTTCAACTAGCCCTGAGCATGGAAGGGACCTAAGGGTGGGCTATGAAGGCATTCGCATTTCACATCAACTCTAATGGATGACAATATTGTGTTAGAAGTATCAAACACAGCCAGTCTGACTACACTGACCCTTCTTCCTCCGCTAACCGCGGCCCTTCAGCCGTTAAGAAGTCAAAGTCGCAGCCCAAATGTGCCTGATTAACATGCCTCTCATACAAACCCCTATAGCCACGCTCATTTCTTCTTGTATGCCATGGATCCCGCTCTACGTCCGCCGCGAGCTTTCCTCCACGTATAACCTTTCGTCTTGAGGCCTTCATTTCCTCCCTCTCAGCTATCCTCATCTTGATCTCCTCTTGCTCTATCTCCAAGTGCAGCATCCTTGCCTCGACATCGCAACTGATGTAGTCTCCGTCCTGCACAATACCTAGGACGGACTCCGGGTCCGCAGACTCGGGCGAGACATGCAGGACAATCGTTCCTCCAGCCGTACCGCTCATCCGGCCATCGCTGATGCGCAGCATGTCGGTGACACCGGACCTGCCGAGCTTCCGAGGGATTGGGATGAGACCCGCTTCGGGCATACCCGGGTTGCCAACAGGGCCAATGCCTTGCAGCACCAAGATAGAGTCTGCCGTTACGTCAAGGTCATCCGAGTCGATGCGCGCACTCAGGTCTCTACTATTCTTGAACACACAGGCCCGGCCTCGGTGCTTGAGCAATCGCCTGTCCTTCGAGGCGCTCGCCTTCATCACCGCTCCGTCCGGTGCAAGGTTGCCGTACAGGACGGCCAAGCTGGAGCTCGGGTGGAGGGGATCATCTAGTGAGCGGACGATGCGCTTCGAGTAGTCAAAGGTCTGAAAGGGCGTTGAGTCGAGCATCTCATCCAGCGTCTGGCCGGTGAAGGTCCGCGCATTCAGGTGGAGCAGCGGTCGCAGGGTGTGCATCAGAGCCAGCATGCCCCCAGCGTTGTGGAAATCGGTCATGTAATTGTCGCCGCTGGGCTTGAGGTCGACAAGTAACGGCGTCTTCCTCCCTATCTCGTCAAAGGTCTTGAGTGTGATGCGACCTCGGACATCGGGGTGTCGGTTGATGATGGCCATGAGGTGCACGATGGCGTTGGTACTTCCGCCGATGGCCTGCAGGACGATAATCGCGTTGATAAAATTCTCGTAAGCAAGGAGTTTCTGTGGCCTGAAGCCTTCTTTGTCTCGGAGGATGGCCACTGCGGTTTTCCCAGTGTTTTCGGCCACGCGCAGTCTCGTCGACGAGACTGCGGGACTCGTGGCTCCGGATTTGAGGTCTATCAGGCCCAGGCCAGCCGTGATGCACGCCATAGTACTGGCGGTGCCCATCACACCGCAGGTCCCTGCCGTGGGCGCAAGCTCCTCGTTGACGTCCATGATGTCCTCGATGTCAATTGCGCCAGCGCGATACTTGGCCCAGCTGTTCCTGCAATCCGTGCACGCTCCGACGCGGACGCCCTTCACCGAACCAGGCATCATTGGGCCAGTGATCAAGGGCAAGAAGGGCTTGTTTGCAGAGATCCCTCCCATGAGCTGCGCTGGGACAGTCTTGTCGCAACCGCCGATCATGACCACGGCGTCCACGGGCTGCGATTTCACCATCTCCTCAGTGTCCATGCTCATGAGATTTCGCAGGTACATGCTGGTCGGATTGGAGAAACTCTCGTGGACGCTGATGGTCGGGAACTCCATGGGCAGGCCGCCGGCCAGCAGAATGCCACGCTTGGCGGCTTCGAGGAGCCGGGGCACTTGAGCATGGCAGGGATTGAACGAAGAAAATGTGTTGATGATGCCAATAATCGGCTTGCTGAGGGACTCGTCCGTGTACCCCAGGGCCTTGATGAAAACCTTCCGGAGGAACAAACTGAAATGTGTGTCTCCATAGCCAGGCAGATTGGATCTCAGCCCTCCTTGCTCGCTGGAAATGGGAATATTGAGATCATAATCGGACACGGCAGCGGCTTTGGCGCTGGAGCCGTCGCTGGAATTCGACGTTGACATGTTTGACTTCCTTCAAGGTTGGAAACGTGCAAATGGCCGCCTGCCAGACACAGTGGCTCGAGTACCGGATAAGGACGACCAGACACCCAATTCACGACCGGTACCACACGACACAAGAGGGGACCGAAGGCGTGAGATGATGTACTACGTCGCGAGGGAGGGGGTCCCTTTGTGAATGGAGAATCTTAATAAGTCGACGATCATTGGCTCCTGAATCGTGCTGTGCTCTCTCTAATCCACCTCCTAGCTAGGTAGGTGCTGATGGAAGAGTCTCGCCGGGTGGGAGGTTTCCGAAGGACGGACTCCGCCCGAAGAGGTACCCGCTGGGCTGCCAGTGACGACGGGCACGCGGAGTCCGTCTCCCGCACCTCTCCCCTTCATCTTTCAGCTCCCGGACTCTTGCGACAACGAAAGAGAAAGTGTGCTGCAAGTTCTATCGATTAATCAAATGCTGGATCAACTATCTCGTCTCTAACCTCTCTACAGTTTCCCCAAATTGTGGCAACGGACCTTTCCCCCCGCGCCCGCGCCCGCGCCCGCGCCGGTGAGTGCGCCCGGCCAAGTCCCTAGCCCGCCTCCTCCCATCTCAAAGACCCTGGCGGCCTGCAACACGCCCAAGTCATCCCAACGCCTGCCGACGAGCTGCATTCCGACTGGCAACTTGCTCTGGCCGTCGCTGGCGGTGGCCCAGCCACACGGCACGCTCAGCGCCGGGTGGCCCGTCGCGTTGAACTGGCAGGTGTTGTTCATGGCACCCAGCGCCAACTTGGCCTTGTCGAGCACCGTGCTGCCGCCCTCGGTCGCAGGACTCATGTCTGGGTGCGGCGGCGCAACGGTTGGCGCCGTCGGCGTGACCAGCACGTCGTAATCTGCAAAGACTTCATCGTAGGCCTTGCGCAGCTGCAAGACGTGCCTATGCACTTTGGCCTGCACCTCCGGGCCGAAGCGCTGGCTAAGCATCGTCTCGTCAAAGATGACGTGCATGACGGCTGGGTTGAAACGTGTGAGAATGTCAAACATGTCTTGGTGTGGCGGCCAGTGCGGTGCCTACTGCGGTAGGCCGTATGTGAGGATGTCTGGAACGCGGCCACCCGCTCCGAGCAGACCGAGATTGTTCCGGCAAGACGCCGTCCAGATCTGGGGGCCGATGAGGTGCATCGGCACTGATAGCTCTGACACCTCCGCGCCGGCGACCGAGAAGTGCGCAAACGCCGCCTCGCGTACCACGGCTGCAAACTAGGGGGATGTGTAGGGCGCTGTCAGAGATTCGCTGATTAGGTTTCCAATCCTGGCCGTCATGGCCTGCTTGGTATGACGCCGTGAAGATCTGTAGCTCGTCAAAGTATTGCTGCACGTTCCGTCGTAGTGGTGCCTCCGGGGTCATACGCCCGTCCATTCCGTCGTAGCCCGAAATTGACTGCAACAGTAGCGCAATGTCGTCGAGACTCAGGGCCATGGGGCCTGCGTGGTCGATCATAGGGTGCAGGCCGGCGATGCCGGTGTGGGCTTCATGCCAAACACGCCACAGTACGCTGCCGGGCACCGGATTGAGCCAGCTTGGTCACCGCCAAGAGCCATCTCGATGTCCTCACCAGCATGCTCAAGGTCTGAAGCACCCGCTTGCCTCGCCAGCCGCAGGCCCAAGAGGCAAGCCGCGCCACTGCTGCTGCCTCCCGCGTTGTAGTTCCGTAGCCAGGGGTTGTGTACGGGTCCGTTGACAGACGTGTAGGACATGGGTGTCAGTGAATAGTTCTCGCATGTCGCTGTTCCCGCGATCGTGACTCCTTGATCGAGCAACCGCTGTACGACTGTCGCGTCAATCGAGGAAATCGGGTGCCTGTTGTTGCAGCTCGCCGAGTTCAACTCGGGGAATGTGCCGCATGTGAAAGGAACACCCCCAAGGGACATGTTGTCCTTGATCAGGATCTTTCGGCCTTTGAGCCGATGCGAGGATGGATTAACCGCCACCAGGTTCGTCTTGTGGCTCCACGCGTTCATGTCGTTGTCTTGAGGGTGAAAGGCCTCGCGAGTGCCACCGCAGGTTGGCGTCGGGAGGAGACGCTCGTCGACGTAGTCGGGAAGGGCGTCGACTGTCGCCGCAGTCAGCTCTGCAGATTGTAGAACCGCCAGGTAGCCATCTATATCATGCTCGGGAATTGCGATGTGGTTCTTTGCAGCCACGTCGCGCAACACGTCTACAGTGATGCTCGTGCTGCGCTTCGTGTTAATTTCTAGGAATCACTGGGGTGACGATTTCGACATACCTAGCGTTCTCTTCCAGCGCCACAAGAGACTTCTTCGCTAGCCCACAAAGGACCTCGGCGTATCTTTCACTCCAGCAGAGAAATGGTCAAATCTTTAGGGGTTGTGAAGTCGTGATCAAACCAAGATCCCCTGTCTGGAGCCGTGGAACTCTGTCTGTCAATCTTCACAGCGCCCTTTCACACGACTATACATCGCCTAATTCACTACTACAACCTGTCAGAATGATCCAGGTTGTTCCCTAGAGTGGTGCTATCGAGGGGATGACCGTAATCCCGGACTGGCCTCGGCTTCCCCGGTTTATCCCATGTGCGGACCATGCAATCCCGATGGCCCAGTCTGCCACGGACAAGATGTCCCCGCGAGAGCGGAGATCAAAATAGGGAGCAGATGTTCATCAGGAGATATGCCTGAGATGGAGCGATCCAGACTGGTAATTTCTTTATTCGGTGCTTTATCTGTGGAGCCTTTTTACACATGATCTAGCCTCGTGCCTGCGGGAATTACATGCGGAACTCGTTCCCTTAAATCAAACAGTGGCTGGTAGTCACTAAACATGCCTTCCATTGTGAGCGAGGGGTCCGCCGTAAGCGGGTTCGGCGCCCGGAAGAGCGTTGCCAAGTCCTCTCCGTTAATGTACGTATCAACCCACGGCAGAGTCGAAGTGAATGGCCGCCCATCTAGCCTCTCGGCACTGCCAGCAAAGAGTTGTTGTTGTTGTGGGTAGTGGTGGTCGGTAACGGTGTTCTCGACGGCGGTGGGCGCATGTGAAAACGAGTCCGAGTGGGGTCCGCCATCAGTGGCAATTCTGGCTCGCGAGAGTGTCAGACTTGAGCGCAGGTTGATCAGCCACCAGACCGTAGCGGCAGTCAGGTTGTCAAGCGAGTCCCGACAGCGTCGCGCGTCTACCCAGTGCTCTCCAGCGGCACTGAGTAGATTGGACGCTGTCGACATGGTCCCTGCCAGAGTATCGATCTCAGTGCTGTTCGTGAGCCCTCGGACCATCCAAGTGCAGTACAGTATGATGATGGCGCTCAAGGTTATGGAGTGAATACTGGTCCAAGAATATGACATCCTATCACAGTTGTAGAGTTCCTTCCACAGCCGGATCGTATCCTCAGCACTTTGGTAGCAACTCGTTAGAGAGTCGTTGCTCGGTGCTCGAATCCTCGGAGTTGGAAGAGGAGCATCACGATTTCGTGGTACCGGATCTCGCAGAGGGTGAGCAGGTGTTCAGGCCCCTCTCCAAACGTCGGGAATTCCCGCTGTACCACCATCAGTCGCTCGTATAGTCCGAGTTGCCAGGCATCGACGTCAGGTATTCGCAGGAATGTGTGCGGAGGTGCATTCGGCGAGACGCTGTGGAGAGTGTGCATGATCTCCGAGTTTGGAAGCGCCAGCTTGAAGTGGACAATGGAACATTCTATCGGACCTGGAGTGTCTGTCGGACTTGTCGGGATTGCCTCTCGAGTTTGATAGCGTCTAGCTGCAAATCTTCGAGGCCTTGTGGCAGCTGGAGTAACATGGATGAAGTAAGTGAATTGTCCATCTACAGTTCATCAAGGCAATCATACCCTGAGGTCACACGCTTCCTCTCGCAGTTCTACCGGCCTAGAAGAACCCGTACGCGGCATGGGCATCGGCGTTCCTGACGGCACTTGCGTGCTCGGTACGGCAGCTCCATTGGGATAGCTGACAGGGAGCTGTGTGTCTCCGGTGGAGTTGGCGATGACATCCGGACATCGATCATGTATGATTTCTAGCAAACGGCGATTTTGCTCTTGAAGCCGTGCAACCTCTCTATCACGTCGTACTTAGCACAGCAAGATCAAGTCTCTCACTCCTCAGTGCCAGGTGGTTACCAACCTCCTCGAGATGCTGGGGCCCTGCCATGTCGTTTTGCCATCGACGCATTCAGCACGGGCCCGGGTGCACGAGGAGCTCTTGTTGCTGATGGGATAAAAATTTAAGGAACGGCGTCCGGCTTCAGCCCCAGAGCTCATGACGAGAAGATATCTCACCATGCATGAGCTTTCTAGACATCTCGATCACGAAACCGGAATTCTGGAGGCTTCATCGAAAACTCTGAATAGCATTAGGAAGTAGCACGAGAAAAATTGTAGCACAAGCTATCCTGACGGAAGCTGTCTACCCAACTTTACCAAAGCTTCATGGAAAACTTGCAGTTACGCGCATCCGCCTTCGAGAGCCGACTACAGAAAGAGATCAAGCTGGTGAGTTTTCAGAAACCCGGATACTATTACTTGTAAGGGAGATATGGGACTGCTGACAAGCCACCAAGGCTTTTAATTCATCTGGAGCAGATGATAATACTACGCTCAAGAGGATACTGGACGAGAGTCGGAATGACGGCAGGGAACTAACGCAATTGGTCTCTACTGTGACTTTACTATTTCTGCCAGGATCTTTTATTTCTGTGAGTCGTAAAACGCTGGGCTGGCCATGCCTTTCAACAGCTGTTCAAGGTCTGGGTCTAACCTTTACAGAGCTTTTTTGGAACTAACTTCTTCAATTACGGAGAGGAAGCAGTCGGGACCTCTAAGCAGATTTGGTTTTTCGTTCTTGTTACGGTTGTTGTCACCATCGCTAGTTTCCTCGTCTAGCGAGTGACAGACAAATCACGGAAGGATGGGGATGAAGGGGCGAAACAATCACAGGCCTAAGCAGGGATGGCCGCACTGCAACCGAGGCTTGTGAATTGGCAAACATTCCCGGCATCGTGAAGTATCTTACGCAAGTCTTCTTTAGAAATGGCGGGCCACGATGGAGGTGTGGGGGTAGGGGGAGTGTATCTCAGTCTGCATAGTGCTGCTCGAGCTGAATTGGCACGGCGACCATGACATGATCCAGCTTGGTACTTCCACGCTCTGTGAAAGGCAAAGTATCCTGGAGGCCACGCCTGCAAACATCGACCGATAACCGCCGTGGCTTCCAATCCCTGTTTCGTGGCGTGTTGCTGATCTAAACTCTAGACCATATAGAGAAACGAGAGTTGCAAGCCGAACCGGGCAGCCAGCCACCGTGGCACAATGTCATTCGCTTCCCAACACGCGCTACGATTTTCACTGACACAGTCGCCATCTGCCGCATTTTCTATCTGTCTATTTCATCAGCCCACGGGATAGCCTCCTGAGCACCGAGCCGCCCAATGGTCCGAGCTGCCGCCTTACACGCCCGGGCGATGGCTTTGCTGATATCGCACTCGCCCAGCTGCCTTTGTCTTGTGCACTCCGCAGCATAGTTGCCCACGAATGTGTCTCTATTTTTCAGATAATCGTCAGAACTGCGAGGACCGGGCTGCGATGTGACGATGTTGAGGTTGTGCAAAACAAAACTTACCCTGCCCCCGTCGTGTCCACAACACTGATGCTTTCCTCGGCCTTCACCAGGCCTCTTTCTCCACCAATTGTAGAGTAGTAAGCCCCCCTTGCGCCCAGCGTGAGAACCACGTTTGTGACGCCTGACCGAATAAAGTCTTGTGCTACCTCCTGCCAGCCAGTAGGGCTGTGCAGTCTGTCCCGATCACGTCCAGATAACAGAGCGGCTTCGGTCTCGTTCAAGACAAGGTGAGTGACGTTCTGATACGTCGAGCGGTCCAAAGACGTGGCCGGGGCGGGGTTCAAAAGAGTGTCGACGCCGTTCTGTCTTGCAAGGGCCAACACTCGTCCTACTTCTTCGCGTCGCACGCCGAGGTGAGCCACGACGAGATCGGGCCTCGCCCCTCCTGCGAGGCATCCCACCGAGTTCGGATCAGGCAGCGCCCACTTCAAATTAGCTCCCTCGTATCCTATGTTTCGGCTGTCACCAAGCTCCGTCTCGACAATAACAACACATGTCCCGCTCCTCTCGTTATCGATGGTGCTCACGCCAGAGATATCGATACCTTCACCCTTGAGCTTGGCTTTCAGCAGCCCACCAAAGCTGTCTGATCCCACGGCGCCGTTCATAAACACACGAATGCTGCCTTCATCGCTGCCGCCCTTTGTGTCGCCTCGTGGTTTCGAGTGGCTCGCTCGATGGGCCGCAATGGCAGTATTCGCACCCTTTCCGCCTGGGAACATCGATAAGGATCTGCTGTCCACAGACTCGCCGATACCGGGCATGCGATCCGTCTCCATGAACAGGTCCATGTTCAGGCCGCCCACCACGGAGATGATTGGTCCAGCCATCTTGGCTGAGGGATCTGCTGCAAAGAGGGCCGGTACCTCGTCTGCAGGCTGTCAGCGCCTTGAGATTGACAGTCGAGAAGGGCTGCTCAGGAAAAATGAGACAGACTGAGCATCAAAGAGAGTGGGGTAGGCCCGCATGCCTTAGTGCTTGGCTGGTCCAACTTCGAGAATCCGAACTACACGTACATGTACTAATTAGGTCGCCCGTTGGATCGGATTCAAGCATCAGCAGCAGAGTACATGTGGCATCTCATCAATATTGCCAACGCCTACACTTCCCTTGTCATGACGCGCTGGCCCACTCTACAGTCGGAGGCCCGGCTTATACTGCTTGTGGTCAATACGTCAGCAGCGTTGCTCGAGGGCAGGCGGTTGCGCAGCTGCGTACCGAGTATCGGCCAGGCAGGCCACCATATGATGCCCGAGACAATGCACGAGACAAGCCACCCGGCTAGCGGGAGCCACTAGGGTGTCGAGGCACGGCACGAAGCGAGTGTTCTTCCTGTTTTGATCGTGTTCTCGGTCGGTGGGCTGGCATAAGGCTCGCCGCCTTAGAGTCTGCCTTAGCTGCATGCGACCGATGGTCGGCTTGGTCTGGTAGTGATCGCGCGCTCGGAGGGCATCGGCAAACGCGCAAATGCGAGATGTCTGCGCGTCTTCATCATTCGCAATTGCGAGGGCGGTCTTGTTGCTCCCCAGTTGGAAGACTATTTCAATTGACGTCGTCCTTGCCAGCCGAGCCAGATATCTCCTCCCTCCATCATCCTGGCTTCAGGTATTGCAGCCGGTGTCGCCACATCTTCCTTTCCACACAGTGCAAGATCTACCCAAGTGCGGCATCGACCCAGCAACACGTTTACCGGCCAGCTATCACACCAGTGTATGACCTAGAACGCTCTCTCTCCCTCCAGATCACACGTTACAAGCTAACAGAAAGCCCGCACTTCTGCACTTCAGCCGAAGTCTTCATCCAAAAAAGAAATTGAGGAAAGAAACTGTGTAAGTGCCTCAAACAAACGAACACACATCGCGGTACGTACCAATACCAATATTCGTAAGTAGTCCGCCTTAGAAGCACAAGAGCTGGAAAGGGCCAACGTCTCATGGATAGAACTTCCATCTACGAGCCCTTGTCGGACGCTCGTCAAATCAGATTACTCCGGCTGTCTCCAGGCCGCTCCTTCACCGACCCCCTGGACTGCCGTCTCCATGTGGAAGTCCTCGACCAGGGCGAAGGCGATGAGATTCTCCCCTACATTGCCCTTTCATACGTCTGGGGTGCGCAGAAGATCAAAGTGTCCAAGTCGAAGCCACCGCCGCCGACGCCGCCGCAACAGCAGCAGCATCAGCAGCAGCAGCAGCAGCACATCAACTGTGAAGGGGTTTACATACCCATCACTTGGAATCTTGACCTCGCTCTGCGGAGCCTTCGAGAGAACCGACTGGCAGAGGAGCACTACCTCTGGGTCGACTCCATCTGCATCAACCAGTCCGACCTGCGCGAGAGATCGCTGCAGATCTCTCTGATATCCGACATCTACCGGCGGGCGCAGTACACCGTCATCTGGCTGGGTCCTGGAGAGGCTCCTGATGTGCCGCCCCTGCTGAAGTGGAAGCGCCCTCAGCTCCGTGCAGCCGCAGCCGCAGCAGCACCAGCGACAGCGACAGCGGTCTGCAGTGGTAGTGGTGGCAAGTCCTTCCAGCGCAAGGAGGTCTTTAGTTGGAAAGGCCTCGACTTTTCCAACAACCCCTTATTTACAAGACTGTGGGTCTTTCAGGAACTCTTGTTCTCAAGCCGCATTGTCGCCTTCCAGCGAAACACCGTTCTCGAGTGGGGCTCGCTGGGAGAGATACTCCAGATGACCGCCATCAACAAGGCCCGTGATGGAGCTTTCGACAGCGATATCATGCGCGCTTCCATGTTCCACAACCTGACGAGCAACAAGAAGTTCACAGACCTCCTACTTGCTGCCGACTCTGGCTCGTTTATGGGACGCATCGAGACCAACCGCAGCCTTGCCAAAGAGCTTAGTCTCGAGATCAAGAAGATTCTTGGCTTTTCCCAGAGCTTGAGATGTTCCGACCCAAGAGATCGGATTTATATCCTTCTGGGATTCTTGCGTCGTGTTGGCATCGACCTGAAGCCGGATTACTCCCTTTCGAGCACCGAGGTGTTTGCTCGAGCATACAATGCGACGCTGCGTTTCTCCGGCTATTATCGCGATGAAATACCGCGAGCGCCTTCCGAGTACGATCCTGTCACAGACGACACGGAATCACAAGACGACGAATGCAAGCCTGAGGAGGTTCTGAATTGGGCATGCAGTGTCGGAGAGTCCCGCCCAGACAGCCCTGGGCTGTATTCTCCGCTGGTGGACAAGAAACATGCTTTAGTTCCCTTCGTCGCCGACTATCGCGCGACCATCAAGTCGATCCTGGACAACAAGAACCAAAAGCTCAAACGCAGAGCATGGAGAATGCTCTGCAATGAGTTAACGACCCTCTTTCAAGGAAGGGGCCCTCATACAACCACCGGCGTGGGAGTAAGTGGCTGTGGCGTCAGTCTGAGCGGTTCAACACCCGTCGGCAGCGAGATAGCCAATAACCACATAGATCTATCTCACGCGTCTAAGCTTTCCAAAAAGCGCACTATCAAGGGCGATGATAGTGACGATGAGGACAAAGAACACCACCCAAAGAAAAGTCGACGACCGAGCGATCCGATGGACAATCACCGCCTGCTTGCTTGCCCCTATTATCAACGAGATTCCATGGGACCGGGCATCAAGCAGGCCTGTCGCGGACCTGGATTCAGAGACGTGTCTAGACTAAAGTGAGGAGACTTTCGTCCCGGAGGACTGGGACAAGAAACCCCGCTGATTCAAATCAAACTACAGGGAGCATCTCTACCGGTCGCACTATCAGCATCGATGCCAGAGGTGCGGAGAGGTCTGCGCCAATGCCCGTGCCTTGGACCAGCACCATCAGCAAGTCGTGTCCTGCGAGCTACGGCTCTGGCAGCAGGAGACCGACCCTTCTGAGGGATTTGGCCGTGAGAAGCGGGACGAGATTAAGCGGCGATGCACGAGCTCGTGGGCTCAGATATACCGCATCTTGTTCCCCTGCGATTCGACTATTGCCATGCCATCTCCATGTGAGTCTGATCGACACGCCGCGAATCTCCCCAAGTACCCTGTGCACTGACTACAAGCTGTAGACTATGACTGCAACGTGACTTTTATCAGCGTGATCAGCCAGCTTGAACGCCATTACGAGCGTGAAACAACACGCCTCCTCGCAGAAAGATTGCAGCCTATCCTCGGTACTCTGTCCGACCGACTCGGGACTGCCATCTGGCAGGAAATCACGCAAGCCGTCAACATGGCTAGTGCCGCTGCTATCCAGTCGTTCCAGCAGACACTTCCCGGTGCGGTAGCTTCCCCTGCTGCCACAGTCGAGTCGAGGCCGACCGCCGTCAATGAAGCGGGTACTGGAGATATCGGGGCGCCGGGGCTTATGCCAGACGAGATGCAGAGCTTCCAGGCCGAGATCGGATCGATGCTCCTTGAGTATGTGGAGGACGCCTCCATTGCCTCAGCTCAAAGGGACTCTGGCCTGCCCTGGCGCGAGATGATGAATGGCCATGAAGGCATGGTCAGCCCGTCCGGCATGTTTGATTGGGGAGCTATTCCCATGCCTGAGGACGTGGGCGCCGTAAGCTCGGATAATGATGATACTTTCGTTATCCTGGGTAGACCGCGTCCTGGCGCCTCTGGCAGGGAGTCGTAGATGAGCTAGGAAAGAAATCTTGCGTGGAAGGGTTATCGGTCCAGGGACTTTTCTCACTCAAGGTAAGTAGTACTAGCAATTCATCCCACTAGCAATAGTTCTCTATTCGATCTGTCAGTTGGCTTTGTAACGGTTCAGCTCAGCTTGACCCTCTCTCCCCCTTCTCTCTCTGTGTATTTGTGTGTATGTGTGTATGACTACCCAAAAAAGTCTCTGGACAACATCACAGCTCGATAATGACAAGCCAATCGACGATTGAGTCAAAGAGGCAATCCATACTCCAGACATTTTGCCATGCAGTGACCAACGGCCCCCAAGCCCTACTAATGCATGTCTGAGGTGACAAGGACGGTTGGTTGTGAAATAGGTACCCATCAAATACCTTCCACAAGCGTACAAGCTCAGCCGGCCCCTGCGCGATTTTGTGGCAGTGTTTTGCAATAACAATGACATGGACACGCAACAATGATAGGCGCTAGATAAGCCCAGGGCGCCCTACATGTATCCAGCCAGCCGCATTTTCTTACTCTTTTCTTATCTTGGACCCAGGGCGTCCAGCCCGAGACCATGTCAGAAAGCTGGTGATCGGCATCCGTTCATCGAGTCCCTCTAGCAACCTTGCTGATCCGAGGGATGGCAAGATGTCCGGAGGGCGTCACCGGGATGGCTGCCTCGAAAACCTGGCGCATCTCGCCATTGTGGATTGTGGGACAATCGAACCCGTCTTTTACCCTATTCGTCTTTATTCGTCATGGGTCCCGGTACATGTACCCTAATGGGTCAGGGCAAGCTTTCCTCTAGCAGTCTAGCCGGTCTACAAGTAGACATTGATGATACAAGCTTCGTAGTTCTCCAGTTCTCCAGTGTCTCGATTGGCCCCCAGCCGGCTTCCACATGCCAACTGCCAACCAAGCTAGCTATATTTACTTCGTATACATGTTCACCGCGTACACCTTTTCTCCGGCACTAGGTACCTAATTGTTGCCTTCGTATAGCGAGCGGTCCACCATCATCCTGCTGGTCCAATGGTGTCTTCTGAGGCGCCTGAAATGCTCGCATACCCAGTGGCATGCACCTGGTGATGTGCCATATGCTCTGTAAACCTCTAAGCCCAGGATGTCGGATCTGGATCCGTGATTCCTCTGAATCATGCATTCATTCCGCTGCGCTTATCTCGCAGGTCTAGCAGTAGCGAGTGATGGATTAGAGTTCAACCTCCCCAAGTACCTACCTACCTACATACAGGGCTGTGTCTCTCATCCCACGCGCTCGGTGACCAGGAGTGACCACCCTCGCAGTTAGTCTGCCTAGCTTGCATTCCAAGGTCTCCCGCGGTCTAGACCCATGCTTTGTCGGCTTTCCATGTTAAAGGGCGGGTGCAGAGCCCCAGATTAAGATAGGTGCTACTTGTACGGGTACTCGACTCGCTGTCGCCCCCCCGGATGGAGACGATGTCATGGACCAGCTAGTGGGAGCCCTCCTTGCGCCAACGTGCTTCTTTTTTTTTTTTCTCTTTGCCTTTCTCTGGAGATATTAATTGCGATTCCCCAGCGGTTCGCTTCTCAACCGGTTCCCTGTGACCACTGTGACCCTGCTTCTGTGACCTCTCGTGTCGCGGCTGACTGCGCGCCACTGGACCGAGCCTGTCAACAACCCTGACACACGCAGCGCATACCGGCGATGGCCGCACCACAGCAGCCCACCACCATCAAGATCGCGGAAGACTTACAGCCCGCACGGTCTTATTCGACGGCATACCAACCCCGGGGGAGGACAGAGACAGAAATACTACCCGGCGTTGTCCACTCGCGCACACTCTCACGCACGTCGACCAGGCGACTCCAGCGATGGCCGTCCAACGATCCACGCGGTCGCACCAACTCTGTAGGCGGTGACGGCGACGATGGGAACGAATGGCTTGGCAACGAGAAGAAGACAAAGCAAGTCTTTCGTGGGACGACTTTGCTCTGGTATGCAACGATGATATCGGCTTATATCTAGATTGCTTGGCGTGGCTAACACGCACGACCCCAGGCTCGCGTATCAGTCCGTCGGTGTCATCTATGGGGATATCGGAACGAGGTATGTGTTGGCGCTCTGTCTTGCCATCTGCCGTACCGAAGCTGATCTGCATCAACCAGTCCCCTTTACGTCTTCTCCTCGACCTTCTCTCAGAATCCTACCTATGATGAAGTGGTGCAAGTCCTCTCCGTCATTCTCTGGTCGATCACACTCGTGGTGACGGTCAAATATGTCTTTATCATCCTGAGGGCCGACAATGAGGGCGAAGGAGGGACATTCAGCTGCTATTCCTTGCTCACGCGCTTTGTGAGTCTGATGTCATATCGAATTTCCGGGGCCGCCGCTTGTGTGACTGACGGGGCTACATCTAGGCAAACATCACGGACCGCGATCCGAAAGAACAGGGTTTGGTGCGCATCGAACGCCACCGCACCGAAGATTTGCAGCCTGTCAACCGAACCATCCGCTCGACCATCGAACAAAGCAAGTTCTTCCACGGGCTCCTCAAGGCGATCGGCGTCCTCGCTGTATCTATGGTCATGGCCGATGGGGTGCTCACCCCCGCGCAGTCTGTACTGGGCGCCGTCCAGGGCCTCCAGGTGGTGAAACCGGACATCTCCCAGCCCACCATCGTCGGGACGTCCTGCGGCATCCTCATTCTCCTCTTCCTGCTTCAACCGTTAGGGACGAGCAAGCTCGCTTCTGCCTTTGCGCCCATCGTCATCCTCTGGCTCGGCTTCAACGGCGGTTTTGGCATCTACAACCTGGTCAAGTTCGATTACACTGTGCTCAAGGCCTTCAACCCCTACTGGGCGTTTCAGTTCTTCATACAGCACAAGACCGAGGCATGGAAGAAACTCGGCGGCGTCTTGCTGGCGTTTACCGGCGTCGAGGCGCTCTTTGCCGACCTGGGTGCGTTTAGTCTGAGGGCTATCCAGCTCAGCTGGATGTGCTACACTTTCCCTTGCCTCCTTCTGGCATATTTGGGTCAGGCATCGTATATCAGCGTCCATCCAGAGGCGTACGACAACCCTTTCTACAATGCGGCACCACCAGGGATGCTCTACCCGAGTTTGATTGTGGCCATTCTGGCGGCTATTGTTGCGTCGCAAGCCATCATCACGGCAACCTTCCAGGTATGTTGTCGATCCACGCGTGAAGACTAGGAGGGGGAAACCCCGCTGACATTTGCACAGCTCATCAGCCAGATCATGAAGCTCTCCTATTGCCCGCAGGTCAAGGTAGTCCACACCTCAAAGACCTTCCACGGGCAGCTCTACGTGCCCTTCCTTAACTGGCTGCTCATGCTGGGCACGATCCTCGTAACAGCGGTGTACAGCAACACGACGCGTCTCGGTAACGCGTACGGCGTCTGCGTCATGTTTGTCACCTTCTTCGACACGTGCATGACCACGCTGGTTGCGCTTATTGTTTGGCGCCTCTCGCCCCTTGTCATCTTCCTGCCCTGGCTCTTCTTCGCCTGCATTGACGGTCTCTACCTGTCGTCCGCGCTGACAAAGGTCCCCGACGGCGCCTGGCTCACGTTGACCATCTCGGGCATCCTAGCTTGTCTCTTCCTCCTTTGGCGCTTCGGCAAGGAGAACCAGTGGCGCGCCGAAGCCGAGGACCGCTTCCGGCCCAGCAGCCTCGTCACCAGAGACTTGTCCGACGATGATGGCGACAACGACGACTCGAAGCTCCGCCTCACCTCCAAATGGGGCGGTGACCCGCTGGCCAGGCTGCGTGGCCTGGGCATCTTCTTCGACAAGACGGGCGTCATGACGCCCATGGTGTTTACACAGTTTGTCTGGAAGTTCATCGCCGTCCCCGACGTTATCGTCTTCTTTCACCTGCACCCCGTCGAGACGCCCACAGTGGCCGAGGCGGAGCGCTACGCTGTCGTGCGATTCCGCGATATCCCGGGCTGCTATCGGCTGGTCGTGAAGCACGGCTTCATGGACGAGGTAGTCACACCGGATCTGGCGGCCCTCATCTACGCGCAGGTGCGCGAGTCCATCGTCAGGCTTGCGCACGAGCATGATGAGCGGAGGCCGGGCCCGGGACCCGTGGCGAGCTGTAGCGATGGGGAGAGCGGACAGCAAAAGGTAGAGGGCCAAGGTGCTGAGCAACAAATAGGTAGCGACAAAGCGGTACCGGAGCTGCGGGACGAAAAGATCGCGGCAGAGCTGGCCAGGCTGGACCGGGCATACGCGGCCAAGGTGATGTATATTGTGGGCAAGGAGCAGATGCATATCAAACAGACATCACCACTTTGGCGCAAGGCTATATTGGGGGCGTTCTTATGGATTAGAGACAACACGAGGACAAAGGTGGCGAATCTACGTCTGGCAATGGACAGAGTGGTCGAGGTAGGGTTTGTCAAGGACGTATGACATTGCTGGTCTCGCCTCTCTCGAGTGAGGGACCTATTGCGAGAATAGAGCTCGATGATATCTAGACTTTGGAAGCCGTTTCTTGAGTGGTTCTTGGATAGAAATTTCTCTTGCCTTGTGGTCCAAAACCCATGTTTATGTTTGTCCCGTGCGCGGCCGGCCAAAGAAGATCAATTCTTCGGCTGGGTCTCCTGCTGCTGAGGGCCGATCTCCTCTAGCTCGACCGTCCCGGCGATCTTGCTGGGAGATATGCCCTGCTCCATGGCCGAAACGTCGTGGGTGAGACCAGTAGTTTCGTAGTCGGTAAATTTCCACGCCGGGATATTGGCCTCAAACAGCTGGTCGACCTCCTCTAGGTTACGGCCCTACCAAGGAACGGTTTGTCAGTACATCGCAAAGCAAAAGATTCTTACGGGCCCAAAAAACAAACAAAACATACCTTGAGCTCAGGCATAGAGAACCATACCCACACGGAACCGGCGAAGGAAAAGGCCATCCACAGGTAGGCGAGCTTCGCGCCGAGGTCTTTGAGGAGGTATGGCGTTGTGAAGACAACGACGAAGCTGACAATGACATTGACAGCAGTCGACACAGCCATGGTCTTCTCCCGAAGCGCCCCGGTTCCGACCTCGGCGGCAGTGATGTACGCAGCGGGCCCCAATGAAGCGTGCAGGATAGCGGCGTAGATGATGAACGACGCAACCATGCCGCCCGTGTCGCTCGTGGAGGGGTTGGCCTTGGACCCGAGCACGCCAATCAGCAGCAGGAAAACCCCCTGCGTCCAGCAACCATGTAGCGTAACGCTGCGACGCCCAAAGAGATCGAGGATGACCATGGCGATAAGGGCAGTGACCACCGAGACACCGTTGTTGATGGCCGCGTAGGCGAAAGCCATGTTGCCAAGGCCGACAGACTTGTAGAAAGTAGGGCCGTACGAGCTGGAGAAGGTCACGCCGGTAAGCTGCTGCAGACTCATGATGGAGCAGGCAATGTTTGTCCGGCGGCGGTTGTTGCCCTTGATGAGATCCTTCCAGGGGCCCTTGACAGTGGTAGCGCCGGCATCCTCACGCATGGCAGCGATCTCCAGCTCGCAGACACCGGCCTCCACGTCTTGCCGGCGGCGGACCCTGCGTAGGACCTTCAGGGCGTCGTCACTGCGGTCCTTGAAGACAAGCCACCTGGGCGAGTCCGGCGTCCAGTAGAGGCTGAGGAGGATGAGAATAGGGGGAACAACCTGAATCGATGTGGCAATCTGCCAGCCGGTGCTGTCGGTTCTCTTGGCCATTACGTTGTTGACGATGCCGGCAATCAAAGAGCCAAAGGTCAGACAGAGCTGGATGGAGCCGACAAAGAACCCACGGAGGGCAGCAGGCGCGATCTCGGACTGGTAAGTTGGGACGACCTGGTGACTCGTATTAGTACTGAGGAATTGGATCGCACAATTCAAGTATCGATTTACATTCTCGACGAGACCAACGGCAAGGTAGACAAGGAGACGTCCCACAATAAACTGAGGAGCAACATGGCTGGTCACCTGGACTGTAGAGTCGATGCTAATTAGTCATTGCTCATCTCTTATACACGGGTCGCGGCAGTGTACAACATACTGACGGCGCCAATGATCTGGATGAGGCAGGTCAGGGCCATGGTATAGCGATGGCCAAACCTCTCGGTCAGAGGGCCGACGACGATGGTACCAAGGAACTTGCCAAGGAGCGGCAGACTGTTCATCAGAGAAGTCGTGGGCGCGGGGAGGGCGTACTTCTTGGTCGTCGCATTGTACGAGCCAAACTCTCTGATGAAAGGCGAGAAGGCTTGAACACCGCCGAAGGAGGCGCTATCACTGTAGGGGTGTAAGTCAAGCAACCTGATGGGAGGGACCATCTGCCACACTTACTATCCGAAGAAGACACTACCAAGAGAATAGACGATACAGATCATCATCAATTGAGGTGTGGCCGTCTTGAAGGCGGCCTTGCCGACAAAGACGGTACCTCGACCGCCAGCCATGTGTAAGTGACGACGAATGTTCTTGTCAAAGATTAGCTCACTCAGCGTGAATCTTCGCCTTTCCAAATCTCTATGCGCACAATACTGATTACAATGCGAATAGGGGGGAGATACGGGTAGGAGAATGAAATCCGGTGCGATGTCAGATTCTGGCAGGTTTTTGTATCTTATTGGGAATACCTAGTCTAGCGCCGCCGGTGTCAGAGTCCCAGCCGCGGGGATCACAAGTGGAGTAAAGCTGGAGGTATCCCCCAGTCTGGTTGGGGATACACTCTCCAGCGCCGGTCCCGGGGAGAAGCTCCGGAACTCAGCCGTGGAGAACTCGGAGGCATGAACGGGGAAGACTAAGGCAATAATTGGTATTTCTTTTCCGCGATCTCTGCCTGTCACTTCGCCTATGAGCTTTAGAAGAAATATTGTGGATAGCAGCCTGAAAAATGCTTTTCCAAAGCACCAGCGGGCTTCAGAATACCTGGTGATCGCCTCAACTTGAAGGAGCTTGACCGCTAGCGACAGAGATGCCTCTCTCTTTGGCTCGGTCTAGCGCGATAGCAGGAAGGTTAGACAGCCTTTGCGTCGCTGTTTTCCCCGATCGCTAGAGAGCGACACCGGCCTTTCGCCCTGTTGAGCTCCACCACCACAGGAGGAATTTTTTCGTGGAGCGGACTAAGTGCCGACATCCGCCGCTGAGCAGCTTCTTTCTAAGGCATACGCCATTAGAGAACCAGTGACGGAACACTAGAGGTTCCGGGCTGGAGACAGATTATTTTTCAACCGTAATGACCATACGAGACAGCCATCATCAAGTACCAAGCAAGACTCCTCAAACGCCAAGGCGGCCGAACGTTCAGTAGCGCGCCATTGGTGCGCAAGCCACAGGCTTGCTTGAACGTTGAATAACGCTTCCTTATTAGCTAGTCATTCACCCTGATTTACAGAGCCGATTCCGACTAGTCTCGTCAACTATCCCTGTGAATTCTTAAGCCTAGCCGGAGCCACGATTGGACGCAACACGATTGGGAAGCATGGCACCCCAGGAGTTTGACTTGGTTGTCTACGGCTCAACGTCTGCTGCCGTAGCAGCATCCATCCAGGCGGCAAGGCTTGGGCGAAGTGTGGCACTGGTCTCGCCCCATGAACATATAGGTATGAATAAGAATCTTATCACTAACTCAGAGCTCAAGAGTGACCTTTTGTTGGTATAGGAGGTATTCAAATTGAGGGTCTGGGAGGTTCTGATATCGACAACCAGCCCGAATTCCAGAACAGCACTACCCTGGGAGGTCTCAACCTGGAACTACACGAACGTATAAGTAAGCACTATGGCCGACTCGACAGGCTCAGAGAAGTCAGGTCGAAGAGGCTGAGAGACCCGGATGTTTGGAGATTCGAGTCTCGTGTTGCCGAGCAAATCATTGAAGGCTGGCTGGCTGAGCACTCTGCTATCAATATTATCAAGGTAAATCTTCAAAGCTCCATTCCAGCCAGATCTTCGTGGGTTGACTGGATTCTGATTCTCTTCCATAGTCTTCACTTGCAGAGGAGAACGGTGTCCAGAAAGATGATTCTACAGTTAAGGCTATTACCCTGGAGAATGGGCAAACGATATTTGGACAAGTAAGTCCCACCTCGGACCCCATCTCTATGCAAAGAATGACTAAAGCCAAGCCAGGCCTTCCTGGAAGCATCCTACGAAGGCGACCTGCTGGCAGCTGTTGGGGTTACCACCACAAGTGGTCGCGAATCTCGATGTACCTTCAACGAGTCGCTAGCAGGCATTCGCGACGAGACTCCATATCGTCAACTAGACCTCCCCGTTGATCCTTATGTTTGTATCGGCGACCCATCAAGTGGCCTATTGTACGGTATCTCTCCAGAACCATTTGGCCACCCGGGCGATGGAGATCTTCATCTGCAGTCTTTCTCTTACCGGCTTCCCATCACCGATGATCCTGCCAACAGGATTCCTTTCGAGAAGCCAGAGGGTTATGATCCTGGGCATTTTGAGTTGCACAGACGCTTCTTGAGAGCCGGTGGCTACATGTACAAGCCGACAATCAAGATTCCTAACAGAAAGACAGACCTGATCGGCTCCGAGGCCCCACTGGCCACTGACCTGGTCGGTATGAACGACGACTGGCCTGTGGCATCTTACGCACGTCGAAGGGAGATCCTGGAGGAGACGACGAGGTTCACGAAAGGACTCATGTGGTTCTTTGCCAACGACGAGGCTGTGCCGGTAAGGGCCCACCCATAACCTTATCTGTTGTATGGAACACGTGTTCTAACTAATTGACTTTCTGCAGGAGAAGTACCGCAGAGAGTGGGCACGCTTCGGTTACTGCCGTGACGAGTTTCCCGACAACGACGGCTTCCCTAGACAGCTCTACGTCCGCGACGCTCGACGCATGGTATCAGACTACATCATCACCGAGCATACGGCCTCTAGGGACGGGGGCGAGCCGCAGGTCTCCGATCCCGTTGCCGTCGCGTATTGGCCCACCGACACTCATAGCGTTCGGCGAGTGCTTCGAGACGGCCAACCGCACAACGAAGGATTCATCTTCAAGGATGGACACAAGTGGCGACCTTTTGGGATTGCATACCGGGCGCTGGTACCGAGGCGGCCAGAGGCCATCAATGTCCTGTCAGCGACTTGCCCAAGCTCATCGCATGTTGGATATGGTAAGTTGTAATTAGACATCATGTCGGGGTGAGCAAAACTAACACAAAGACTAGGCGCTGTGCGACTTGAGCACCAGTTCTACGCGATCGGACAGGCATGTGCAAATGCTATAGACATTGCTCTGAAAGAGAATACCGATGTCCAAGATGTTCCTTATGATGAGTTGCGGAGGCATCTTGAGGAGCAAGGGGTTGTCATTGATGTTGAGACAGTTGGAATGCCAAGCTTTCCCGACGAGCAGTAGATCTAAACAAGCCGAACCAATGAAGTCTGTGCTCTCTCTTTCTTGATCTAATGCTGTTGCTCATGTCTTATAGTTATGGGAGAGAGCTCGGTTGGTTCTCTGCACTAGATTTCAGTACGCTGTGACTTCTTCTATCTACTGTTTGACAACAAGATCATAAGCTGGGAGTTGTTTGCTCTCATGGCGCTGTAGAAAGGGGACTTTAAGGCTCTATTGCCGATGATTGTTGATGCTCATGAAGGGTGAGGGAAATACAGCGGCTTCTGCAGCCGTTGCCGTCATCTGTAGCTCCTCAGCTTCGTGGGAAGGCATATGAAGAGGGGGGCTGTAGTAAAGTTATTGTCACAGAATGGATTACTACCACTATAATATTTCTGTGAATAAGTGAGCTACACTATCTGGCGGACCCATGGATCTCAACGAAAAAAAGAAATAGAAAAATAGACACTTATGTTGGTTGATGCGAGGTAAAAGTAGCCACCCGATCAAGCTTTCACGCTCGCTTACTTCTTACAAAGACGCTGAAATACGTACGGGCTCTGAAGTTCTGGTCTGCAGCTTCATGTCCTGCACGAGCTTCTTCCAGGATACTGCCCCGCGCCTGGCAAGTTCTTCCGGGATTTCCGAACCCTCTTCGGACATTCTCCGGTTGAACAGCTCCAGGCTGACCCAACCTTGAAATTTGAGCCCGTGGAAGATGGTGTCCGCCACTTTCTTGACGGGAAGGTACGCACCACGGTCCTCCTCGCCATAAAATAGCCTGCAGCTACGAGACCAGCTCATTCTTGCCGGCTGATCCGCATCGTAGAGCTTGTGGCCAGCCACGAGCGGTTCTTGCAGTTGCTCAGCGTCGACGATCTGCACATAAAAGACCTTGCTCACGTCGACAGTCTTGACCAGCCGCGCCATGGACTTCTCTACCGCGGCATCAGCGTCAGGTGTGCGTCCTGTCGGTAACGTGGGGTCTGCATATATCCTCCCGGCGATATTGAAGCTGTCTAGGCAGATTCCAAAGTTAGGCCTGTCAACACGCCGCACGACATCCCAGCACTTCTCCCAGGTGTCCACTCGTGTACCCCAGCAGAGACTCTCATATACGAGACGGATGGGCGGCGAGGCTCTCAGGCCAATATCAGCTGCATGCTGCAAGTCTGACACGATGAGGTCCAAGTCTGTTGTGACCTGGCTCGCGGGAAGGAAGTTGGAAGGAACCTGAATGATGTCGGTCTCTAAGATGTGGGCAAGGCGTATAAAAAGTTCGAACTTTCGCAGCATGCGGCCGTGTTGTTCTCGGTTCACAAGGCCCTCGTAATGCATGAAAGGCTGTAGACATACGATCTCGAGGCCTCTGGACTGGCATATACGCTGGACTTCTCGGGCGGCGGCCATCTGGGAACCTTCGGAAGGACCATCTGATGAAAAGGGTTCATTGCACTTCTTCTGGGCGATATCGACGAGATCTTCGTAAAATAGCTCGATGCCCTGATATCCGTACTTCTGGGCCATGTCGAGCTTGTTCTCGAAGGAGTGGCCAGCGAAGCACCGACCCAGGGACATGGAGCTTATCGCGAGTTTGCAAGGCATGTTTGGTGGATATTCGGTGAATTGTGAGAGTACGGGATGAGTTAAAGAAGATATCAGTTTGTTCAAGGAAAACAGATTCGAAGGAACTTCTGGTACTTGGCCATGACCGGCGACAGTTTCAAGGGAATATCTAAAGAGATAAAGTCCATGAGGGATCTATTAACCACATGACCTTACTTATCCCAGGGTAGCTTGGGCATGCCCGAATATGCCATGTTCCCTGACGTATTCTCAGAGGATGGAATACGTTCCGGGTGTATTCCGCGTCAGGAGACCGAAGATAAGCGGCAGAGCCCTCGAGTGCCAGAAGTGATTATCTCGCATAAGCCGGAAGACAGATTATCCAAGGATGTAGCTGCAGTTTTTGGTGGTGTGGATTGGCGAAGGGAGTGCCGGATAAACGCTTAGAGCAGCAACAGGGCGTGGGCAACCGGACCCCGCAAGCCCATCCTCGATTGATGGGTTAGGGTCGGGGTGTCGGACAGGCGCCGCAGACCTGCCGACTTAGTCAGAGAATGAATGCTTTTCCTCGACAGGAGGCCTGTCCTCCTCATACTGTAAATGCCCAGCTAGCCGGAACGATGGGGCCCGGGCGGTGCTTCCGAAAACACAGTTGTGGACGCCTAACCTATGATCTCAATCTGTGGAGGATCTCATAATTATTACTTGGGTTTCGTTCTTTTCAAACGATCGCCAAAGAGACCATCAACACCGGTTGCGCTTTGCGAACAGCACCCTGCTAGCCATCCATCCCATTCTCATCCAGTGACGGAGCGCAAACCATGTCAGCGGCCATGTCGATCACCGAGACGACGTCGATTATTCCGGCCAAGGAAATCGAGCAATTAGACAAACACGGCTACCTATTTGGCCAGAAGCTCGCGGCTTCAATGTCCCCCATGCTTCACCAGACAATCTACGGTGCGCTCAGCCTGCGGTGGGAGCAGCTCCGGCTGGACTCGACGGACATGCCCTTGTTCCTCGAGGCGATCAAGCACCCTGACTTTTATGGTAGGGTGTCCAAGGCGATTTCCCTTTTGAACACGGTGGACGACGGGTGCTAACGGTTAGCAGGAGCTTCGGTCACTATGCCGCACAAGGTTGCCATCATCCCACACCTTGACGAGGTGACGGACGAGTGCAGAGAGGTGGGCGCCTGCAACACAATCTTTGTCCGCGAGTCCAGTGATGGCCGCCGGATCTTCTGCGGCGCAAACACAGACACTGTCGGCGTGAGAGATGCCTTCCTGAAGAATGTCCCCTCTCCAGAAGCCCTACGTGGGCGTCCGGGAATGGTCATCGGCGGCGGCGGCGCTGCGCGTTCGGCCGTCTACGCCCTGCGCAAGTGGCTGGGCGTCACCGACATCTACATCATCAACCGTGAAAAGTCCGAAGTCGATGCCGTGATTGCCGAGTGTGCGAATCGCGGCTACGGACAGGGCCTGATCCACGTCGAATCCGTCGAGCAGGCTGAGGCTCTTGAAGGACCTGGCGCATCCGTCGCTTGCGTGCCGGACTTTCCGCCCAGGACAGAGGCTGAGAAGCTGGCACGGAGTATCCTCGAGGCCATGCTGCGGAAGGAGAAGAAGGGCGTACTGTTGGAGATGTGCTACAACCCCACTCCGTACACCGAGATCTGGGCTCTTGCCCAAAACGAGGGGTGGGAGGTCATTCTTGGGACCGAAGCCCTGATCTGGCAGGGCCTAGAGCAGGATAAGTACTGGACTGGCCTGGATACAAGCCAGCTGCCCACCGAACTGGTACGGGAGGCGGTAGCCAAGGAACTGGCCCGGAAATCACGGCTTTAAAGCCCTGGGCCCTAGGCTGGAGAAGCGGGTGGTCAGCATTGTGCACTTCATAATTATCACGTTTAGACCGCTTTCATATTCGTCGATAGGGTGACGATCTATTCATTTGCAGCGTTCTGTTACATTCAAGCATATGTATACACGGATTTGTATAGAAATGGTTAGAGCTACTGCGAAATACCTAGCTAGATAGTTTCGCTTGAAAGGCCTTCGATTGTCGCGATAGCAAGAGCCAACTATGAGTATAGTACTTCACAGCACAACATGATCACATCCCTCGGACAGGAAGACCTATATGTATTGAACTGGATATCTCTATGTTATTGAGTATTATGGCCACCCTGGGACGTGGGCCATATCACGACGCGCCATTATGATGCTTGCTTCCCATGCCCTGAATCCAATGCTCTACTATCAAGAGTCGCTTGCAAGTTGCAGTTGCGCAAAGTTAGACCGCCCTTGGTCACCACCCGTTGCTTTGAGAATCGCCCGACGCATCACGCTGCGTGGAGCTCGCCGACCAGTGAACAGTTCGAATTGAGCAAAGCCCTGCTCTGGTAACGTGTCCAGGCCATCCATGGCTACCCAACCGCGATGTGCGTTGTCTCTGATTTGACTCAATAAAGGTGTGCGCACAACTTCGTAGGCTAGCTCGATTACAACTCCACCAGTAGGGTTGCTCAGCCAGTCCTCGGGAAGGATGAGGTCGGGTGGCGGATTCTCGTCGTTGCTCTTTGTAGGTATGCAAGACATGATGATCGTCGGGTGTCTAAAGTCGGCCGGCCACGGATGGCTTAGGGATTCAATGACATGGAACTTGGTGTCGCCATCCACAGTTTCACCCGAGAGAGGTATGGCCTTTTCCAAAAGCAATTTCTGGAAGTGTGCGACAAAAGCCTGTGCTTTATCGATGGACCGGTTCAGAACTGCAATGTTCTTGACGCCAAGCTGTAGCATGGCGTATGCCGCAGCTCTCGCCATGCCTCCAGCTCCTATGATCAGCCCAGAAGTGCTGGGCCTTACAGCGTTTGCTGGCGACAAGCCTCGCCGGATGCACGCTCGCATCCCGATCCAATCGGTATTCTCACCGTAGAGGCCCTTTACAGGACCTGATCGATTCTGGTATTTGAATAGCAAAGGGGTTTTGGGTACGCTCCCGTCTTCGTTGATGTAGCGCATGGGGATCAGAGTGTTCGCGGCTCCGATGGCCCTCGCGTGGATACTCATGGACTTTAGCAAGTGCATCACCTCGACCTTGTATGGCAAACCAAGTGAGGCACCGGCAAAATGTGGATCTTGAGCCATCTCTAGGAGAACGTTGACGGAGTTGGTGGAGCGTGGGTGGTATGTGCAAGGTATCCCCAACGCTTGAAGAGCGTCACCGTGCATGGCGGGAGATAGACTGTAGTCCACATTTGCTCCGATGACGAACAAGTTCATGGGGTCATAGACAAAGGACGAGTAGAGCGCCTGCGTCTTCTGCACTGCCGTAATCGAGGGCGGCATGTATTCCGTGAGCTCGTTTCCGCTCGACTTGTCCTGCGCGTGAGGTTCTGGTGCCACAGACGTGAGTATCTGATTGAAGCATGCAGATGTTCTTCCGAGAAACCCGGTATTGTAGATAATCAAAGGCAGTTTGGGACCGTCTTCTGCGTCCACGGCAGCTTGGACGTGTCGAATGTCGAAATTGTCCGTGATCTCCGACGCCGGCCGCGTGAAGCGAACTAGGTCACAGCCTATCCTCTGCGCCGTGCGGTAGTAAGAGACCCAAGAGGATGACTTCCAGCCAGGGCTATCCGCTCTCATTTCTTGGACGTCGCCTATGATTTTTGAGTTGCCCTTCATGCGGCAGACGTGCGCAAGAATAGTTTCGTCAAGACGGAGGTCCACAGAGATGTATTCAGGAGCCAGCCTAAATCCATGACAGACATAAGAGAGGTAGAGTGCCCTCAGAACCTCGTTTGATAGTATGGCTTCGGTGACGGCGACGTGATAAAGGACGGGTATGAGAGTAGATCTCCTGATTTGGCCGAGGACATGGCTGATCTCAACCGCGTTCGGGGGGCTTGTTTGGCCCAAGTCGCGCGATTGTGGCAGGTTCTTGCGTATCAGGTCGTCGATCACGATTTCTATGGCGTCGGAGCCAGTCTCGATCTCCTCCGTATTCACGCCTTGGGAAATGAGTGACGAGAACGGGACAGAGACCGCAGATGTGAATAGACGATCTTCGGTGAGGATTCCCGCGAGTGGGAAGGCAGACTCGAAGAAGGGTATCGTTCCAGAAGGGAAAATGAGAGACAGAAACCGGAGGAAATGTCGTTCGGCTCGCTTGAGTGCCAGATATGGTGGAGGAGCCCGGCTTCCAAACTGCTCTGCTGTAGCTGCGTTTTGGGCCGCGTGCGATGGTCTCGCCTGTGTCATCTCGGAGACGTTGAAGAATTCAAACTGCGTGCATCTCCTAAAGACATAGCCACTGGCCGCGAGTAGGTCGCGGAACTTGGAGTCGTCGGGCACCTTCAAGTGCTCGTGGATGGCCTGCGGGTCGCGCACAATGAGGAGGACCGGGCTGTTGGCAGTGGCCTCCCGGAGGACGGCCTGCACTTCTCTTTCCATCCAGGAACACACAATGATGGCGTTCTTCCGATGTGCCACCATGATCTCCCGTAGCACAGAAGTCTTGCGCCGACTGCACTGGACCCCGCCATGTTGTTTCTTGTATGCAGAGCTTGACAAGCCCGTCGCCTCTTGGAATACTTTCTCAGAGTCGATCACCTTCCGGTTCATTGCAGTGGAGGCGATGATGGCGAGTGTGGACTTGCCCGCTCCACGAATGCCGGTAAGGACAATCGAGACATCGGGCTCGAAGATGTGCGCAGCGTCAATCGACGTGGGTATCGCCAGAGGAGGGGATGAGTTTGGGGTCGCCAGCTTCACTACACCGGAACGGAATTAGACGCAGCTTGTGCACGCGCGGCATGCACGGGGTCGTGGGGTTCACGCGCACCTTTTTCTACAGGCCTTGCTCGGGGGCTCTTGGAGAGATCCTGCTGCGAAGTATTCCTCCGAGGAGGGCTCGTTCGCGAAGTGCCGGGTGTCGCGTGCCGTCCGTCCAGTTCGGCCACGGCCATCGCCGCAAATGGCCTCTTGACACCAGCGACAGCGGACGTCATTGCTAGAGCATGCTGTTGTTGCAGCGCAGAGATGCTACCGAGAAAAAGAGGTCGGGATCCTTCGTCGCATAAACATAGTTATCAACCGTGATTGCTGACTTCACAGCGCGCGCTCAAAGTCTGGCATCATGTCGAGCCATCCAAACTGGGGGTTGGTTTATTCGACGACAAAGTGTTTGCGACTCCCGCCAGCTCCCTCCTCCCTCCACATATCCACACAACATACCGAGACCTCGGGAGGTGGGGGATCGCACTGGATAAGTGTTTATCCCCTTTCATACCCCATTCCGGGCGTGATACTCCACTAGGCCAAAGCATCGTGTGGGGGAAGATGAGCAAAACCCACGCTCTGACTCGGCGACAATGGCAAGTGTCCAATTACTAAGGGACACTAGGTCCGTCCCAGTCCACTTTTGCGGCCATGGTCTAGCCCTTGATGAATTGGAGAGATGCAAAAGCTGATGCTGCTCGAGCTGGAGATAGCGAGGGCGTGCTCATGATAGAGTGCATTGGTTTGCAGATGCATCTTTGCCACTCTCATGAGAGTCGATTCAGCGGCGCGACAGCCTCATCGCGCGCGGACCATCGCCAGCTTTGGTGATACGCAATGCCGTCCAAGCGGAAGCCTGTCACAGCCAGCGGCGCGCCCGAGGCTGACAACGCAGCGTCGCTCAGCCCGGCACAGAGCGCAAATGCCTCAATGGCATCCACGACAAAGCGCCAGAGGGTGTCCAGGGCTTGCGATCAGTGCCGCGCGGCGAGAGAAAAGTGCGATGGCATCCAGCCACTCTGCTTTCCCTGCGTGTCGCAGAATCGTGCTTGCACCTACAAGAAGAGCCCCAAGAAGAGAGGTGTCCAGACGGGTTATATCCGCACTCTGGAGATCTCGTTGGCTTGGCTCTTTGACCGTGTGCCCGGCACGGAAGAGACTCTCAGCGCGTTCATTGCGCGGGAGGGAGGCGAAGGGCAGATGCTCCTGACGGGACAGGCCGCCGAGGGCACCGACCGATTACAGAAGCGCTGGGATACGAGCAGAGTGCACAAAGCCATCGACCGAGTCCTGTCTGGAGATGCTGGACCTATACAGGGTGATGACCAACGTCTACAGTCGGCAGAGGGAAGCGGAGCCGAGGAGGAGGCGAAGACAAATGAAGTTGAACATCGGCCGGCCGTCGGCCTCGATCAATTTGGCAGCACGCCGACGTCACTAGACACGGTCAGTCCCCAGGGCATGTGGCATCATCACGCTTCTTCGACTTTCAAGATTGGCCACCTTGACTCTGCCCCGGTCTCACAGCCTGAACAACAACCCATACGGCTGAGACTGCCGCCAAATCACTGGCGCCTCCTCGATGTCTACTTCTCCTACACCCACTCCTGGCTCCCGCTGCTGGAGAAGAAAGACGTCTTCCAGGCCTGCTACCTCTATTCCGAGGACGAACTTGTTATTGATCCACGCGACCCGGCAAATGCAGTCCATGCGGAGATCTGGAGTGCGCTGGCCTTGGGGTCTCTCCAAGACGCCGCCAGCTCGAAGCCGAGCTGGCCGAAGACCCCTGATACGGGCTCCACATCGCCCAACCAGATTTACGCCGTTGCCAGATCTCTGATTCCTGGCGAAGATGGTCCCTTCCGCTTACAGCACGCCAGGGCAGTGCTCCTCCTTACGCTTGTGAACATTGGGCGAGAAAACATGACCGCAGCGTGGATACTGGTTGGACTTGCAGTGCGCGTCTTCATCGAGGTCGGTTGGCACAAGGAGTCTCGTGGGGAGTCGGATCGGAAACAGCAAGCCGCCTTGATGGCATGCTTCATCCTAGATACATTTGTTTCGGTGCGATACGGCAGGCCGCCGCACCTCAGGACCGAGTACCTCACGACTCTGATCCCTGCGTTAGACGATGACCTTGACGAGTGGGAACCGTGGGCCCCTTGCGATGGCTTCGGCTCGAGCGACCAACAGTCAAGGCTGGCGCGTAATCCGGCATTTGGGGCGAGCACTTTTAGCCAGCTCTACAAGATCTTCAAGGTCATTAACAAGAGCATCGTCTCCGGTAAGCAAGACGAGGCTGGCTCAAATCGACCGGCCGATCTCTTTAAAGAGCTGGAGCAGTCCATCGATGCTGCATCGCCTCTGGCCAGATTCATCAATACGCCTTCCATGGATAGACAGTCCGTTGCTGCCGCGCCCTCATTATACATCCTGAGGATACTTTATCTGTGGGCAAAAACAGTTCTCGGGTGCCCCGATACATCCCCGGTGCGGCTTCTATTGGAGACTCTCGGAGCCTTCCAGGCGCGCTTTGGCGTCTGCGGCAGTCCTCCTCTCATTACCGCGTGTCTATCTTCACTCTTGTCCATGGAAGAATGCGTCAATATAAAGGAAGTAGATATGGAACGTCTGCAAACCCTGCGAATACTGTTCTCATCGACTTGGAGGAGCCCCGACCATGCTACAGAGCATTTGTCCGATATACCTCCATATCCTCCGCGACTAGCCCTGCCGAACCCGAGGACCCATTCACATTTTGTAACTACTTCCAGCTCTTCATTACTGGACACATCAATACCCTTTCCGACACCAACTTCCTCACTATACGACAGTTCTATGGTCTCGCTACAGCCGCACCAGGCTTCCTCTGGGGATCAATCTGTGCAGCACGGCCATTATCTATTTCGGCAGTACCCGAACTCGGCAGTGAACCTTGACCCGGCCATCTCGAACATGCCCCCGGTTCTGCAGACTGACGAGGGCATGCGCGCGTCTTTGTCTGGTGCTCCCATTGAGCCTCCATCCCGACACCTACCTACATCATTTGGTTTCGAAGAGGGCGCCAGTCTAGACTATGATGCTATCCTCGACGATCTTGCCTTTATCGATACCACGGACGACCTGGATGTTGATCCCTTGTTTATGGCCAATCTTGGTTTTGGCCCTGGATGTGATATTACCGATGTTATGAGCTAGTGTGAGGATCATGGAAGCACTGTACCACTTTTGGAGCTCATAAGCTAGCTCTTCTTTATGTACCTTTGTACCTTGTGATACCACTGCGCTGCCAAGGCAGAGTCCGTCGATAGACTCAAAACGACCAACATCAGGGGCATACTCATTGTGTGCGCTGCTCTATTTCTGAAAACCCCTCCATGCACTGCAGCCTGGAACCCGCCCTGCAACAGCCATCCAATTCCATGGACTTCCGATTTCAGGTCAAAATCCCCCATATGTTTGCACTTGGGATTCGAAGGATACCTTCCCTCAACAGATTCAACTGCCACGCCGTCAGGAAACAGTAGACCGTCTCGGCAAAATCTCTAATTTCGCTTTTCTACGTGCTACTTCGAATTGCAATAAAATTAGCCCCTTTAATCTCTGGTAAGCTAGATTTAATAGCATTGCATCAGAGAGTATTTACCAGGTTCAAAATTTCACTACACAACTATTAAACACCATGCCAACATAGAAACTACGAAGTACACACAGTGATCTCTTCAGTGTCTTCTATTGAACCTCATGAGCTATCTGCTATCTGGAAAGGTCGCCCGAGTTGAAACAGATCATCAGAAGCCAACACGCAGTGTTTCGTCTGTCCAGGCTTTCGCTCAAATCCAGAAAACTGTCATTATGACTATGTCTTGATAAACAGATCATAGAGGCTTGGAGGCCCAACCGAGAGTTGGGGGCGAGCCGCCATTGAAGACGACAAAGGCGGCCTTGAGAGCAACGTCGCCAAAGATATTGATGCCGACACCGGAGCTGGACTGCATGCCGCCGAAGCAGGTCGAGCTGCCCGTCTGCACCGGGCCGTAGTTGATGAAGGTACCAGGGATGGTGATCCTGGCGGAGCCGACGCCAAAGGTGAAGCTGGGCACGGTTGCGCTGCAGGGGAAGACATAGCCGCCGTAGGTGTTGCTGTTAGAAGAGCCTCTGATCTTGGCGTAGTAGGCGCGCACGATGCTGGTGGGCAGGTACAGCAGGGTGGTGCCTGTGTCAGCGATGCCGCTGATGCTGGAGCTGGAAAAGGATCCCGTGCCGATGGCGTAGCCGGACGAGGTGAAGGTCCAATAGCCCGGGTTGGTGTTGACGCTGGTGTAAGTAATGTCGCCAGTGTATGCAGAGCTGTCAATGTAACCAAAGTTGTATGTGCCGGCTAGAGTTGCATCTCAGTCTCAGTCGCCAGATTACTTACACAACAGAAACAAAAACTTACGAGCATGGTACTTGAGATCAGCAGTGAAGAGGGGCGCGTCAAGAGAGGGCTTGATGCTATCAAACCAGGTAGGCTGCTTCTGGGGAGAAACAGTGTTCAGGCTGTCGAAGCCGAGGCCGAGAAGCCCGTCAATGGCGCTCTGGCTAGTGAAGGATGAGGAGACCTGCTGGGCGGACTCAACCGCCTGCTGGGCAACGGTCAGGCCACCGACGGTCACCTGATCTTGGTACACATCGCCGTTGGATGAGCTGCCATCGCCATACGAGATGGACCAGGTGTAGCCAGACATTTGGTTTGCGGTGCTGCTGCTGCCAGGGTCATAGATGTTCTGGCCATTTCTCTCCGAGCTTGGGGTCTCGCTGCTAAAGACCCAGAGGTCAGATGAGCCAGTGTCAAAGTCCAGGTTCAAGGTCTGCGGAGGGGTGCCGATAGAGACGGGCGTGATGTACGCGTTGTCAAACGAGTCGATGGGCGTCGTCGTGGCGCTGCCGGTGTCTCGGCGAGACAGGGTGAAGTTGGCAACGGCGTCCTTCAGATACTGCGGGATCGGAGCGTTGTACTTCAGATATGTCTTGTAGACTGACAGTGCTCCGTTGAACGCATGGTTAGGGTTGCGGATCTGCGTCAACGAAGCACGGCCTGAAGTACCCTCATCCCGGTTCAGGACCGTGGTACCGACCTTGGCGTTGGGGGGCAGGGCTGAGCCAAGAGCGCCAGTACCGGCCAGAATGGCAGTCAAGATAAGAGGGCTGGACGAGATCATCTTGGCAATGGTGCGCTCTGCAGGTACAGGGTGATATTGGAGAAGCTGCGAGGAACTCGACTAGGCCAGACTAGGAAGATACTGAAGCACGAGAGAAGACAAGCTTCCTTGGCGTCTTGGAACTGGGAAAACCCATGAGATGCGGTCGCACTCTTATATCGGCTTCAACCTCGAGTCTCGAAGTAATTCGAACCACGTCCGAATCAGCACGGCTTCACCCAAACAGGAAGGAAGACTGTCGCGCTCCATGTCTGGCCACAAGACCGCACCGCCTGGCCAGGGCTTGAGTGCCTCGGCGCATTGCACCATGCCCCTTAAGATGCTACCTTCCATGCCCTCAGGCAAGTTGTGTGCGTGCGCGTCCGGCTGCCCGTGGAATGCCCGCTCTTGCACTCGTCCTTCTCGCTATTCGTGCTCCGTGAGACGGTTCGGCACGCGCGCGCGACATGCGCTGGCGTCGGATATTGACTGCGAAAACAGGCAAGATCACCATAACTAGCTGCCAAGAACAGATTGTCAGAGAGCCGTTGAACGGGGTGCCGGGCATCGCAGACCTGGTCGGCAAATGGGCATCCGACCTCCCTTATCGGTGCTAGCCGGTGCGGCAGTCCGCCAGTCTTCTGCAGCCGCTGATTCGCCGATCGCGGTGGGCTGGGGTTGCATCCAGGCCTTTGTCCCATCTAGATAACGAATTCCGTCAGTTCCCAGGGCCATTTGCCGGGTTTGGCAGGAAGCTATCCCTGCCATACAAGATGGTTGCATAGCTGCAGAGGCACTATGAACTAATGCCCCTGCAAGTCGAACTTGTGCGGACGAAATCGCCCCTCTCGCACCAGGATTGGCCCCGGACGCAAGCCATCATCACCCTGGTATTGGGCCGAGGCATGCGACGCAAGACATCAGGGGCCTATCAATTGCAGCTGAACTTCCCTTGGAGCGGAACAGAGCCGGTCGGTTACTTACCATGTTCTCGTGCCTTGATTCGACTCCTGCACATTCAGCGTACAAGCCATCGCTGTGGGGGCCGCGTCTTGTCTTGAAAGCGCAAAGCCTCGTGTCCGTGGCAGACATCTTTGGAAAAGAGAAACTTGCGAACTGGGGGGCTTGATCCTAGTACTAATACGGAATGTCGCCACGACACCGTTGCTATCCCGTTCATGGAAGGTATCCTCCACCATTCAGCTAATGGCTTGCCAGAGTGTTGCAATTGGGCAAGTGCATAAGGCCTCTTTGATGACATTATCGTCAAGTATCACGAGAAATGGGTTCAAAGTTGTCTCCGTCAGCCTTTTGCATCTAGCACTCTTCAGGCTTCAGGACGCGCAACGGGAGATTCTGCGTTGCATCAGTCGCGTAGCCACCTCTACCGTAGCTGGCGGTGATGTTCTATGGGGTAGAGAAAGTACCGCGACTCCTGATTATATGTCATTGGGATTCCAAGCTGATCTACACTTTGTTGATCTGGGTTAGGATGTTTCGCGCGGGGGGGGGGGGGGGGGTTCACTTCCACCCATCGTCGCTCGGGAGGATCGTCCTCCTGCCCTTAACCCACGGTCGTGAAACGGACACAGCAATATCTCCTTCCATATCCGCCCTTTTCTCGGTATATAGAACTTATTCTTCTTTTGTGCCTTAGTCAAACCCTTACCCCTCCGCAGTTTGTACAATTACGACTGAGAGATCTATGATATATTATCAATACTTGTGAAGCAAGGGTGGCTACCCAAGAACAGGCCTGAGATCAAAGGAGACCACTAGTCTTCTACTCCGCTCAACCCGTGAACAAAAACAATCATCTTGTCTCCGCCCAATTTTCTGCTGTTGCAGGAGCTATGAGTTGAGGTGATGAGGATGCAACGGCAATCCAAGAAGGCTGCCGTGTGCGATTCAATTGCAGATTTCTACTTGGTAGCAGGGCATACAGCTCGACTTAAGCATTGAACTTTCGCATAATATTGTTCAAAGCTCTTTAATAGGCCAGACTATCGGGGGCCCACCACAGCCTTTATCGTACATGTCTCCCTTCACAAAGGTCGGTTTCGGGTTGTTCTCATATGCCAAACGGACCAAAGTATCCTCGTGCGCAACGTACTTAGGCCAACCAAACTTCTCTGTCAGAGCATTCTCCGGATCTTTGGCAAATTCGACCCACACTGACTGCATGTACTCGCTAATAGCTGTTTGCTGAGGGGTGTTGGGTTCGTATGTGTCTGCGGTGCCGAAAACCATGGCGATATCACCTAACGTTGACTGCATTAGTACCAACCCCCGGCATACAAGCAAGTCGATAGAGAGACTTACTTCCGTGATAAGCGTGCAGCCAGGGTAGTGGGTTCGAGTTGGGCCATTCACCAAAGTAGCGATACCGCCATATCGGACTGCCGAATTCTTGACGGGCCCTAAGGGATGCGTTGGCCCACGTAACCTAACGGAGAACTAGACCAAGACACATACCTTGCGGCTTTTGCAGCAGGACAGATAAACATGCCGTCAGAAAGGCGATCAAGGACTTGCTGGTCGGCGCCGTCTTTGTTGAACGGCGTGATGAGAGATGCAAATTCGTTGTTGCAATTGCCGATGATTTGCGGCTGTGTAGAGATTATCATCAAATAAGCCCAGAGCCATAATGGAAGGAAGAAGGAATGCGGTGCCAACTCACTACTGTTGCATAGAGACCCCTGGCTTGAAGGTCGGTGTAGTTGGAGAAGCTCGTCTCGTTATCCGCCTGAGGCTGAAAGATGAGCACGTTGCCGTCATTCCTTTTGGAGTCATAAGTGTTCAAGACGTGAGCAATCTCCTTTGCGCCAACTTGCTGCATGCATGTGAATTGCTTGTTCTTGTCGCCTATACAGCCCAACTTATCGGCGACGTAGTCAAAGTTGGAATGGTCGTTGGGGTCGGCCGACAGCTCGCCTTGTCCGGACATCATGATGCCGCCCTTGATGATCGGATCGTGCGCCCAGGCGTGGATGTACTTGTCCACGCACGAGCTTCCCGCAGAGTCTCCGAATATGATCATCTGGGTCGGACTACCCCCAAAGTAATGAATATTTTGGTAGACCCATTCTACAGCCATGCGCACGTCCAAGAAGCCCGGGTTGAGCTTGCGCCCGTCAAGTGCTGCCGCTCCAGGAAAGCCAAAGATATTGACTCGGTAGCTGGAACCTGTGTCAGCTGTAAAGGGTTACCTAAAGGTGATAAAGACCTGCGTACTTGATGGAGACCACTACTGCATCTTGGTGAGCCTCAACCATCTTCGAACCCCTCGTGTAAGGGGGCGAGCTATCTCCAGTCATCAGAGCCCCTCCGTGTATCCAGATGAGGACAGCCTTGTCTCCCACGGGCGTTCTAGCCTGCTGCTGACCATCGTCACCACACCCCTTCCTTGGAGCCCAGATGTCCAAAGTCAGGCAGTCCTCTGATTCCACCTGCCCCGCCACAAATTGGTGGCCGGGAAAGTAATCCGAGAAGATGGCCGAGCGAGCAGGAGTGTGCTGGAAACAATATGGCCCATACTTAGTTGCGTCGACTATCTCATTGGTTGCCACCTTGGTCACAGGGGGACGGAATCGCAATCGGCCAATGGGCGGCTGAGCGAAGGGGATACCTAAGAACTGCCGGACCTTGGGCGTCTCCGGAGAGACTGCTCCCTGGACGGTGAAGAGCGTCGTCTTGACGAGCAGGTCGCTGTCGTGTGTGCAATTGCCTGCGGAGTTGGACGCGTCTGCATAAACCAATACGCTCTGTTGGCCTGGGAAGCCGGGCTCGTCTGGCAGAGGGATCTGGCCCAAACCAGCATCGGGCTTTTCCGTGGCATCCGCGGTGTGCGCTAGCTGGAGGCTTGCAATTGCGCCAGCCAGGAGCAAGAAGCTGCTGCGAGTCATCTTGGTGCCGCGCGTCTCGTATTCCTTACTCGGGCGAGCGCCTGCTCGCACTCCATCAGGTTGAGGCCAGACCAGACCGATAGTCTTTATTTAACATCAATCTTGCGAACATGGCACCTGGCGCCGAGTAATCTTTTCCAGGCTCCAAGTTGGAATTCCGGAAGCACTGGAGCTATCAGGGCGATATAGGTGCTAGCATGACAAGCTTTCCTGGTTTGGCCAGCCTATACCGATATGGGGATGACGCGTCTTGGCTACTGAATCAGCGACGGGGTCCTGTAGGGGAGGGGTCTGAATCATCTGGCGATTTCATTCGTTGGGATGGGCCGGTTCGAGCTTGGTGACAAGCTTTCTCGCGGAGTTCGTGCGGGGGCGAGTCTGGGGTATGCGACCCCTGGCATCAAGCCATGCCGCTGTGGCGGCGCTGAGCTTTGGCGGAAGAGTTACCCGTGCTAGGATCAGAGCCTCGAGAGTGACTCATGTCCACGTGGACAAAACCCCCGCAGGCGCGAACCTGGGGTTGATATAAACTCGTTGCCAAGCCCTCTCTACATCTTTCATGGCCGCTGTGAGCCCTGCATCGTGAACCTTGGCAGCTCTTGGCGCTCCCCAAGCTTTTCGTCCACATCCCATCCGAGACCCGCTGTCTCTGGTCGCTCACATGGCTGATTCAGACACCACCGCTCCTCGCCAGCAGGAGAAACCAGCAGTCGATGCGCATGAAGGACTCCACACGACTGTGTCGGACCAAACAGAACAAGATGTGGAAGCTCCCGAGGCTCGGGGTCTCGACCTAGACGAGATCCCGTCCGAATATTGGCGGTCCTTTCGGTTTCTCGGTTCTGCCACCAGCATTATCCTCCTTGCAGTGTGTCTATACATTGGCTTCTCCTTGCCTGTACGTCTCGGTCATGTCGTGTGCCTCACAAACAATAGCATCGGACTAACAGCTTGTTGCAGGCGAGCTGTCTCCAAGTCATCAATGCCGACCTTGGTAAGTGCAGCCCGCAGGGTGGAAATCCTCGCTGTGAAATTGACAGCAGGCTGACATTGAACAGGCCCTTCGCCCATTTATATCTTCATCACCACTGCTGGCTCCTTGGTGACTGGTGTCGGTGTTCTGCTCGTCGGCCGCTTGGGCGATATCATCGGCCGTCGGTGGTTCCTAATTGGCGGTCAACTTCTTGGACTCGTGTCCGCCGTGATCTCGGCCAAGGCCACATCGATCAACATGCTCATCGTCGGCTCAGTCATCCAAGGCTTCTCCGGCACCGTTCAGCTGACCTTCCCCTACGTCATCCAAGAGCTAGTGCCCAACAAGCATCGTGGCTACGCCCAAGCCGCCATGATCACCGCAGTTATCCCCTTTGCCGGCTTTGGTCCAGTCATTGCCCGAACTCTGATCGAGAACACAGAGGCGGGATGGAGGTACGTCTTCACTAATAAAACATGTTCGGGTACCGCTTGCTGAATCTGAGATTGTGCAGATGGTGCTACTGGCTGCTCGCCATCTTCTGCGGCGCGTCGCTGATCCTGTTGGTGCTGTGCTACTTCCCTCCAACCATGCATCAGCTTCACTCCAAGTTGACCTGGCAGAAAGAACTACTGGAGCTCGACTATGGTGGTATCGTGCTATACGGCGCGGGCCAATTGCTGCTCCTTCTTGGTCTTGCCTGGGGCGGCGCCGCCTACTCCTGGACCAGCGCACACGTCCTTGCCACATTGATCATCGGGATTGTGCTTCTCATTCTTTTCGGGCTGTACGGTACGTAGTCACATACTCAAGTCACAGAGCTTACCTTCAGAGGTCATGGGCTCGGCTGACAGGAGTCACAGAGGCATACGTTCCTTTGAAACAACCTCTCCTGCCCATCAAGATTCTGAAGAACCGGAACTACATCGCCATAGTTATCGCCGGCTCGGTAGGACAGATGGTCTTCTTCGCCTTGTCTATTCTATGGCCACAGCAGATCGCCGCGTTGTACAGCACCGACAACGTTACTATAGGCTGGATCTCGGTAAGGGGCGAGAACATGACCAAGCCTCAAGAGCAGCTTTACTGATCTTGTATCGCACAGTGTACCTCTGGCCTTGCACTCGCCATCGGCGAGATAGTCATGGGTCCGCTTTTGAAACCTATAGGCCATTCGAAGTATCAGCTCATCGTCGCTGCTTGTGGGCTTACAGCGTTTATGGGCGCCATGGCGGCCACCAATGCCTCTTCCCGTGGAATGGCTATCGCAGTGAGTGTGCTTGTCAGAATAACAGGATCCTCCAATTCAGCTAACAGATCTTTTCCAGTTTACGGTACTGGCTGGCTGGTTCGTCGGTTGGCTAGAGCTTATCGTTCTCGTTGCCAACGGTCTGGTCAACCTTCCGCAAGACCTCGGTCTAGCCAATGGTTTCCTAGGATCCGTTCGCAATACAGCCGGTACCGTGTCAAGTGAGTACTTCGAAAGCTTCATAACGTAACATCTCTCGTATTAGTCACTGACGATGTCACTGCAGTCAGCATCTACGTTGCTATCCTCGAGCGGCGCCTGGCTGCCAACCTGCCCAACGACGTATCAGCTGCTGCGATTGGGGCCGGCCTTCCTAAGAGCTCGGTGCCAGCTGTACTTGGAGCTGTCGCCAACGGAACCGCCGCAGCCATGGATGCAGTGCCCGGGATTACTCCTGCGATCGCAGCTGCTGTCGGCGACGGTGTTAAGCTGGCTTACACGCACAGCTTTAGCACAGTCTACTTGGCGTCGATTGCATTCGGAGGCTTGGCCATCATCGCCACCCTATTCACGAGTGACATTGACCATTTCCTTACAAACTACGTTAGTCGGCGCATCAACGGCACGGTTGCGACGGAAGCTAGCGTAGGGCAACCGCAGACACAGCGGAAGGGCGAGGACGACGTTTGAGAGTCGAGTTGGCACATGTCGACATTTGACATTTTCGTGTCGTGTAATTCTATAGGCTTCTCGCAGGACCCTTCCAGGTGATTTAGTCATATCAATCTGTATTTAGCAGGGTTGACAATCTAGTGTGTGTGACTTCATACTAGGTAAGCTGACAGAAATCGCAAGCATGGTCATTACTCATCATAGCCCATCTAGTTCAGTCTAGAGTTGTCAATAAGCTTCTTATTGAGCCAAGCTGTCTAGCCTGACAATTCTAATTCGCTGTTTTTGACCCAATTACTCAGCGTTCTTGGTGGCTTGCATACGAGTGACCTCGTGTTAGTAGAGACTTGGCTCTGAATCACGAAACCGCCCCCAAGAGATGACAACAGGATTGCTTATACGATAGTATATGCGGGCATGAAATTCAAACAACACACTGAAAATGTGGGAATGGGGCAAGTCGTACCAGGGCAGTGGTATGTTGCTGGTCATGGTATATAATGGGGCCGATTGTGCACGCTGCGGACCGAATTGTCCCTAATCTATTGGCATCTCAGTTAATAACCCTTCACTCAACCTGTCAAAGAATCAACAATATGAAATTCGCGCCGGTTTCGGCTCTTACGATGGCAGTCCTGCCGACTGCTTTCGCCGCTCCCGTGGCGGCGCCGTCCCTTGAGCAGTCTCCCAACGTGAATGCTCTGACTGAGCGACAGGTCCAGATTTGGGTCTGGGCCTGCGACACCGAGTAAGCATACCCACGCACACACCCAGGTTCACGACCTGTTTTTTTCCCTGTTTATGCCAGTATTCCGAGGGCGGTGCCGCGGCTCTGACTATGGTCTCTGAAGCAACTTTACTGGCAACTGCGGCGCCGTGCAAAACATCAACTTGAACCAATGCTACAGTTGGTCCTCTCTCTTTCCAGGAATTGGCAATGGGTCCTTCAAGACGAACGGTAAGCTTGAAAAGAATGTCATGATTGACGCATGTAATTTCTTGCTGAACAGGCTGTTCAATATTCCAGGAAACGTCTTGTTCTATGATGGCGGGGGCTGCTCGGGCACCCATTCCAACCGCGTGTGCAACACAGAAATCAGCCGCCATGACTACTGGTACGACCACACCCAGTCCATCAGCTCGTTCTCCACCATGGCTGCCTGCGATCATTAGATGCTGCTGCAATACGGTCCGGACTGGCCGGGGATGCGAGGCGGAAAATTGTGTGCAACTGTTCCAGGACGGACCGTTTTTCATCCTGTCACTCGTTCCATAGTCTGGTCTATCGAGAGGTTCTATTCCAGTGATCTCGGTAGCAGCACTCAAATACAAAATAACCTGATATTCTCTTGGAGCTAATGCTGGCAATGTTGTGCGTGTGTTTGTGTGTGGGTGTGAAGCCAGGCCATTCATGATGCTTTTCCAGTTCCTATCCGGGGGCGATACATCTGTTTAACATCCCGGGCATTTCGTCTTGGTGTTGGGTGTCGCCGGGTACAGATCTTGCCCGTATGTAGAGTTCAGCACCACGTTACCCACGACATTACCACTCTCAAGCCGAATCCACGTGTCGACGAGTCCATGGCTCAGGCCATCCTTGGTTACCAGAACCTGCCTTGCGCCCCTCTCCCAGTTTCCGTAGCCACCATAGCCGCTGTGCTGGCCAAAGCACAAGTTCTTCCCGGTGCCCTTGACCTGGACGCCGGGAAGACCGCCATCCCACTTGTAGCACCAGGTATCGCCGTGGTCGTGACCGGAGAAGGTGGCGAGGAGACCGTCTGTGTCGGCGAGAGCCTGCATGAAGGGCACGTCCTGGCCGCCGTACCTGCAGTTCGAATTGCTGGTGCCGTCGGGGCACCACCCTTGAGCCTGAGGCGCCAAGGGGACGTCGTCGTTGATTCCGGGCTGGCGGTTCTTGTCGATCCCGACATTCTGGGCGGCGAGCGAGGCGTAGACAGGGATGTGGAAGAAGGCCAGGGAGGGGATGGTCTTGTTGTGGCGGGCTACCAGCTCGGCGTTGGTCTCGCGGAACCACTTGACAACACGCTCGTCGACCCAGTCTGGGATGGGAGTAGAGCCGTGCTGGAAGGCGTGGCCACCGCGCGAGTCAAAGAACCAAAGCAGCAGCTCCGGGGTGCAGTGGCAGGAGCGGCAGCTGCTGTCGAACACGGGCAGGTAGTAGTTGGAGACGCCGACGTCAACGGCAGAGTCCTGGACCATGGAGCGGGTGCGCGAGTTTGGGTAGCTGTGCTCGCGCTCGAAGATGCCCTGGGCCGTGATATTGACGTCCCTGTCGTGGTTGCCGTAGGTCGAGGCCCAGGTCAGGTCGCGGGCGACGAGGGGCCCAACGATCTGGTCGACATAGGTAGTGCTGTTCTCCAAGAAGGTGTTCTCGCCGGTGATGAGATCGCCGTTCAGGACAACGAGACCGGGCGATTCCTTGTCGAGCACATTGTTTATCACCTGGACGGAAGCTCGGTCCTGGGCCGGCCCCCAGTCGTCCCATGCATCTGCCAACAAAGCGCTATTAGTGCCCGTTCTTCTGCAACTGTGCAAGAGCTGAAATGATGTGTCGCCAGGGTCAGTGAGCATGACACCGAGAAGGGGAGACGCGTACTCTCTCCAAAATGCAGATCGGAAAAGACGGAGATCTGGAAAGTCCCGTCGGCGTTGAACCTCAGCGGTTGTCTCCGCGTGGCGGCTTCGGCTCTGCGCAGCGTGCGGCTCTGCAGCGACAGAGCGGCGAACGACAAGCCGACTAGGAAATGAGAAAGCATCTTGACACGCAGGGAAGATGACACGGCGAATCAACTCCCACAAGTCTTGGCAGCAGTGGCACTGGCGGGAGGTCTAGAAGAGCTGGACCCCTGGCCTCCGATGCAGCCATTTTATACATTCCAAACCCTTGGGTCGTGCCGTTATACGACACAGCCTGGCCGCAGCGCGATGAACCTGGCCGAGAAGCCCTGCCGGCCTACAAGTAGTTATTCCACGTGGGCAGGTGGAGCCGGTGCCGACTTGGGTGCAGATGGTTCAATTCGGGGAGAGATGTCGAGATGGGTGAATGGCAGCGAAGAGACCAGTCGGGAGAATGCAAATGATAACGTGGCTGCAAGCATCAGGGGTGCAGTGCAATTAGGGCTCTCGTGCCGCGCCAAAGGGGGCCAGGGGCATGTTTTGGGCGCCGACTTTTACTGGCTGACCGCTAGATTGAGGGCCCCAGGAAAAGCAATAGTGCCTGGGAAGATATTAGGTAGTGCCCGCCAGAGCCGATTAGAGCACGAGTGCTCCATCATCACGCACCCGGGACTTCATGAGAAGTGAGAGTGAAGACCTATCATCATCATCATAATCGCACACCAGTTTGGAGATCTGAATCTTCAGGATGTGAAACAGGTGATCCCAATGGAGAAACCCCACACGAACATCTTGCTGTGAAATCGCACCAATCAACTCACTCAAGGCAGCTCTCGATTTGACATGTCATATCATTCTCAACTAACAAGCCTCATGCCTTTGCGTACGCAAACTCAAAGGGGATATCAAACATTCCCGTCTCGGCATAGTATCGCTCCCAGTGCTCCAACATCTCCTTCATGAGCTCCGGCTGCTCCTGGGACAGGTCCTTGCTCTCGGCCGGATCTTTGGACAGATCAAACAGCTCCCACTCGCCTGTACCTCGAGGCGGGTGCATCCATACGGCCTTCCAGTTGCCCCTACGTATAGCCCGCAGGTTCACCAGCTCCCAACCGTGCACGTGGTAGTTCTCGTCGTGCACCTCGGTGCTCTCGTAGTCCTTGGACGCGAGATGCGCCCTCCACGACTTGCCACGCACTGGTACGACCTCACGCTCGTGGAAGGTGGCGCCAGGCAGCGGGACGCCCGCCAGCTCGAGGAAGGTCGGGAGCAGGTCCATGACCGTCGTGAACTTGTGGCTGATGGCCGCAGGCGCGTTGCCAAAGGGCGGGTACCGCACGATGCAGGGGCAGCGGATGCCGCCCTCAGTCGGCCTGCACTTGAAGCCCCGCGAGGGCGCCGTCGCGGCGCAGGCCCAGCGCGGGCCGTAGTACACAAACGAGTCGCGGTTGCCGATGTTGTCGAGCGAGTTGTCGTAGAACTCCTCGATGATGCGCGCCATGGTCGACTCACCACCCATGACAGGCAATGCCTCCATATTAACACCTTCAGCGCCATTGTCAGAGATGAAGCAGACGAAAGTGTTGTCGAGCTCGCCAGTGGACTCAAGGTAGTCGACCACCTGACCAACGCCTTCATCAATGAGCTCCACCATTGCGGCATAGGTCTCCATCTTGCGCGCCGAGAGGGCGCGTTCCTCGTCCGAGAGCTCGTCCCACTCGGCCTCGAGGGTACCCTCAGGTTTGGCGGGGACGACGTCAGCGGGAACGAGGCCGAGCTCGATGAGCTTTTTGATCCTCCGCTCACTGAGCTTGCTCGGCCCATCGGCATACTTGCCTAGATACTTGTCCCTCGTCTCTTTCGGGGCCTGGAGAGGCCAGTGTGGGGCCAAGTAGCAGAGGTAGCCGAAGAAGGGCTGCTTCTTTTCCTCCTCGGTCCGGCCCTTGAGGAAGCCGAGCATCCGCTCCGTGGTGTACGAAGTCGAGTAGAAGTTCTCGGGGATCTCGGTCTTACGGTCCATGTACCTGTCGCCGTCCATCCACAGCTTGTTCTTGCCCGGCAGCTGAAACTTGTACTTGTCGCTGTCGAACTGCGGCTCCCAGTTATAGTGGTTGCCAGAGCCGGCAAGGAAGGAGAAGACCTTGTCGAACCCACGCGCCGAGGGCGAGTGCTCCTGCTTCATGCCCAGGTGCCACTTGCCGGACATGATGTTGAGGTAGCCCGCATCGCGTAGAATCTCTGGCAGCGCGGCGACACGAAAGTTGAGGTAACCCTCGTAACCCGGGCGGCCCTCAAACACGCTCGGGTCCTTGCTGCGCTCCATCATCTCGGCCAGCTGGCCCAGGCCGGCGATGTGGTGGTCTGTGCCCGACAGCAGCATGGACCGTGTTGGTGAGCATGCCGGCGCGGTGTGGAAGTTGGTCAGGCGGATACCTTCGTCTGAGAGCTTCTGCAGGGCTGGCGTGCTGATCTCGGAGCCGTACGGCGACGTATCACTGAAGCCGAGATCATCGGCCACGACCATGAGAAAGTTGGGGCGCTTTGCTTCTGCCATTGTCGCGGTCCCACACAGATTCCTGGGGCTGAATAATTGCCGTCTTTGGGAGGGAAAACTCGTGATCCTGGAAGATGGCTTCCCCCTTGTAGTTCATATACGTAGACAAAGAGTGAAACTCCCCGGCCAAGACGGCCTGCATGCCCTTGCAGGGTGGCCGCCCAAAAGACCTTCCCCGAAAGTCTGGGGAATGTCCAACTCCCCGGGCGAATCACGTTGGCGATAGATGAAGGGTGGGGTTGAGGCGACCGAGAGCCTCGCCAATCAGAGTACCCTGGCTTCGGACATCGGTGCGGAGCCGACTACCGAGGCTCAATGTCTCGAGACCGTCACAGACGCACAGAAAACAGCCATCATACTGAAGAACAATAAAGATCTTGAAAGGAGAGCTGCATCATACAGTAGGTACATACATCTTGGGCAGTCGGTTTTGGTGGCTGTTGTCTTGACTCTTATCCCACCACAATGAATACCTAGTCAGCACGTACCCAGACAAGTGATGGTCAGATCTGACGGGCTCTTGGCGGAAGGGCTTGACTATTCATGATGCCCAATCCTTTGAGGTAGTAGAATATGTACCCTTTCCGAGTTTTGTATCAATTGCGGATGCTTGTTAACATTGAGGTATCTCTTAACTTCTGTCAACTATTCTTACACAGGCTTTCTAGACTAAGCGGTTGCAATATCACATAGGAAAAAGATAGTAATCAGACATAAATGGACCGAATCAAAAGACAAAACATGTGTGGGAAGCAAATATCCTCAAGTGCGATTGTCATTATATTTGTGTTGATACAGTGAAGTCTCACAGTGGAGCTAATGTTCAGGAGTTCCGAGGCTCATCCATCATCATTGTCCTCTCCTATCTGAAAGAAAGAGCCGGATTTAAAAGTCATCCTCATCATCAAAGTCAGCCCACGACGAGGAACCCGGGTAGTACTGCATGTCTGCAAGGTACTTTGTCTCACCCTCAGGTGTGGTGAGGATGATCTCTGGGACGGTCGAGTCTGCCTTTCGGAACGGGTCGGGGCTGTCGAGGATTGTCCAGGTGCAGGTCCAGCCCAAGGGTTGGCCAAATTCGTGTCGCTCGCGGCGGTCCAGGCAGGTCATCTTCGCCAAGCGGAGATCGAAGAGGTGGGTGCCCCAGCTGTCATCCATGTAGCGCCAGAGGTACGAGCGGATCTCGAAGTCCTCCTCCGCTGCTTGCCGGAGCTCCTCGCGGTTCATGTCGCACAGTGAGGGACGGTAGTAGTACCCCTCACTCTCTCCCTCCTGCTCCGACTCGCATTCCGGCTCTTGTTTGACCTCCTCCAGCTGCTGTATCATCGCCTCCAGCTCCTGGTTGGCTTGCTTTGGTGCCTCTAGAACAGGGGAAGGCCTGTATTCATCCTCTTCGTCGAGATCAGCCCACGAAACACTCCCCACGTAGTAGTGCGGGTCCCGGAGCCACTTGTTCTCTCCCTCTGGAGTGGTCAGTCTCAGCTCCGGGCAGTCCCCGGAGGCGACGGCGAAGGGGTCAAGCTGGTCCAAAACCTCCCAGTCGCACACATTTCCGAAAGGAGTGCCGTACCAGTATTCATGGCACTTTACACGGCACTCCCAGTGCACAGCCCTGATGTCGAATAGATGCGAGTCGTGGTGAGAGTCTAGGAAGGGCTCAAGACCATTATCGAGTGCAAACTCCTCACAAGTTCGAGCGTGGAGTTCTGCCTTGTTCATGTCGGCTGAAGAGATCCATCCATAGCACTCATCGCCATCTTCTTCTTCTTCATCATCTCCTTCTTCATCATCTCCTTCTTCAGACTCTTCATTCCAAGAGTTCCGACAGGGGTCGGTGTCCACTCTCACTCTGTTGTCGAGGGCGTTGACTGTCTGGCCAGTGTGGAAAGCAGGAGCGGCAGAAGTGGTGAGCTCTTCGTCGTCCTCACCACTATCATCTGCGATAAAAGAAGCTCCGGGAAGCGGTATCGGGAGAATATCTGAGTCGTTGTCGTCATCCTCTACGTCGATCAAGGAGAAGAGGGCTGGAGACCGGTTTCCAATGGTGCTCACAGGAGAGAGAAGCTCGATAACCTCGGTGTCTGTCTCGACCGGCGAGACAGTGCAGCTAGGCTGCTCGCAAGCGCACTGATCCGTAAAATCGGAACCAGATGTCGTCGACTCGATGGAGGACCGTCGAGCAGGGAAGGAAAATGTCGAGTCTGAGGGCGAGACGGGGCTGGCACGGGGGGAGCTATCATGGGCCTCTGTTTTATACTGGAAGTCTGTGGTGTCGGTGGGAGGAAATTCGTTGTCGATGGTTGAGGAGACTTGATGATCTTTTGGATCATCAATGGAGAAAGTGTTGTAGAAGCCCAACTCTTGGTAAATGCCTAGAGCGGCATGGCGATCCTTGATGGTCGCAGCGAAATCAAAGAAAGAAAGCTCTTTGCAAAGCTGAGAAGCCGCGCGGTGTTCAATCCGGCCCTTCAAGTCGAAGTTGGTCTCGACAGTGTAGTTGCTCAACTCTTTGAAGATGAGAGTTGCGGCTCGGCGCCGTTCGTGATGCTTGGCCGAGTCGCCACAGCCGGTGTTGGTGTTGTACGAGGCGAGTTCGTCAAGAATTGCGATATCGCATTCGGCATTCTTGGCAGGTTTAGTGCAGTTCTTGGTACTGTAACCAAACAAACTTTTCCAGAAGCTCTTCTTGATGAGTTGAAGGACGGCGCATTTCCTCTTCGGCTTGAGGAGGTTGTTCGACATGGTGGGAGTCGACATCTTGATGATGAGGCCGCCCCTAATCGCTTCGCTTGTCAAGACAGGCTTCAAAACGTTGATGTTCTTGAGAATCAAAGAGCTTTTGATGAAGAGACCGGCCGGGGGGGTGGTAGAGAAGTTCGCGAAGGTGGGCATCGTGAAAGGGAGAAGGGGCTGGGAAATCGGAACGCAGAGAGGGATGGCTTTTGAAGATCGAATGTCGAGATGAGAGTTGAGAGTGATCAATACAACTGTAGAGACAATTATCGATGAGAGGACTGCGCAAGAATAAAGACTTGGGTTGCAGGAACAGGCAAGAAGATCGCTGTTGTTGACCAAGGCTGTTCTTGAAAGCAGAAGTTGGGAAGAGAAAGAAAATGTGGGACAGGAGAGATCATGGATGGGTAGTAAAGTAGGTATTGTGGAGGGGCACACGGCAGCCTAGACTAGAAATTAACTTGAATTTGGCGAGATGATAGTAAGGTGAATGCGAGAATGTGTGTGTCGAGGCGACAGTGAAGTGAAAGTGAGAAGTTGGCGAACAGGCTGGAGCTGCGAGCAATCGGAACCGCAGGGGAACTACCCGCAAACTGCCCAATGAGGAGATCTTACCAAAAAATTACAAGGAGCACAAGTAGCTTCTTGCGTGGCCTCTATCTCCTTGAACAAAGGCATATTCCCCGTCAGGACTGATGATCGAGAACAGTTGGCTTGAACGTGCTTTTGTTGTGCAACTAGTGAGCATGCCGCTGGCATTGAGGGATAAGGTAGCTACAGCGAAGGGACTCAGTAGAAACTTGGTACCTAGAATCCTTGGTTTGATGAATAGCATTGAAGTTGCGTTTTCGCTGTTTGCAACATCCCATTTAATGAGTTGAAGGTTTGCCTAGTGGTCTGGTATATATATGTGTCGCGTGAATCAGGCAACAAAGAAAATCGGTGTTTTTGACCGAAGATATGATCGTTTTCGTTAGTGGTTACGAGTATTTGCTTGCTTGAAAGTCATTGCTTAGGGTTGACAGTTGTCACTAAGTGATTTAACAGATACGCTGCCCACCGGGCGAAGTTTTATTCGAGGCTTCTGACCTCTGGCGATGAGAATAATCACCATTCCCGAAGTTCGCCTCCTGGACCAGTAAAACCTGGGCTGACCCATGGCTTGCAATCCTTCGCGAAACGCCTAACCTGCTCCTCGTCTACCTCGATGCCCAGGCCAGGGCCCTTGAGCATATCGATGTAACCGTCAGTCACCTTCCATACGTCCGGGTTATGCGTGTAGCTCGTCAGATCCTGCTGTCCTCCGCTAGCTGTGTTGTAGTGAATGCCGAGACTCATTTCCTGAATGGCAAAGTTGGCACTACACGCATCAACCTGAACGTTCGCCGCCAGCGCAATGGGGCCCAGAGGGCAGTGAGGCGCCAAAGCGACGTCGTACGCCTCCGCCATTGCAGCAATTCGTCGCATTTCAGAGATGCCGCCGACATGAGAGATGTCGGGTTGCAGAATATCGACGCACCCGGCCTCGAGGAAGGGCCGTACGTCCCATCGGCTGTGGAGACGTTCGCCTAGAGCAATCGGGCAGGTGATGGTTGCTCGGAGGTCCTTAATACCTCCGATGTGCTCGGAAAGGAGCGGTTCCTCGAGGAACATGGGGCGGTGAGGCTGCAGTGCTGCCGCGAGCTGCTTGGCCATAGGTTTGTGGACGCGACCGTGGAAATCGAGGCCTGCGTCCATTGACAGGGCCTTGACGATCTTGAGTCTCTCAACGCAGTCGTCAAGAGCCGACGGCGAGTCGAGCCAGCCGAGGTCCTCTGTGGCATTCATTTTGACGGCATTGAACCCCTGAGCCTTTCGTGCAAGGCTGTTCATTTTCATTTGTCAGTAGCTCTATTGAGAGAACAAGGAAGGCTGCCCAGAACAATGGCTTTGTCTACCTTACGCGCCATGGGACTGCAACTCACGCTTGTTTCTCAACGTCTCCAGGGCGATCGCCTCCAATCCATGCATAGACCTTGATCTTGTCCCGCAACTTCCCACCCAGAAGCTGGTGGACTGGGACACCGAGTTTCCGCGCTGCACTCAGAATGTCAATCATCCATACGCTTCAGCCCATCCAAAGAGTGGACGCACCTTTCATATCCCACAGGGCGATATCGATTCCAGATAGGGCACTCATGAAGACCGGCCCGCCGCGGTAGAAGCCGGCGCGGTACGACTTCTGCCAGATCTGCTCGATGTCGTCGGCCTCGGCACCTAGGTGCTGCTCGAAATAGGCATCGAGGCAACCCTCTACGGCCTGTGTGTGGCCCTCGAGGGACGCTTCTCCCCAACCAACGTTGCCCGCCTCATCCGTAATTTTCACAAACAGCCATCGAGGCGGCACCCGAAAGTACTCCATGGTGGCGATTTTGCCCATCTTGCAGTGTGTCTCGTCGAGATGGAGACCGGAGGTTGCGATAACACGGACGCTTCTCTGGTTTGACGATGCGTTTGGAACGCTGTAGCCGGGCAACAAAGTAGTGCGAGTGGCTTCCGCAGAATGCATGCGATTAAAGAAGCCGTTGGAGTTGGTGGACACTGGACAGCACAGTGACGAAAGCCCGGGACATCTACACCCCGAGATCGGATCCACAAACATGTAAGCGACTTCCCCGCATTCAAATGTTTCGGCCTTCGACCAGAAATCCCGGCGCCGGGCCAGTCAACGGAAAAGCCCCCGGATCACGGAAAAGATCCTGTTGTCGCAAGTGGCCAATCATGACAACAACATGAATAAATTTACGCCTGGGGATGTTGGCCAGTTTCTGGATCGAAAGGATCAAAAGATGAAACCTCCCAGCATAATCAAGCCCCAAAAAGTTACCGATCACAAGGGTACTTTGTTCGTGCCGCCTGTTGATTTTTTGGATGATCCCACCCTTTGGAGTAGTCCAAAGGTTCCCTTTAGAACACAATGATATGTGTGGGTGGAAGTGTGGATTTTTGGCTCTCATTCAGTTCTACATCGGATGCCCATTCATTTTTCTGTCTTGCCAATAAGCAAATGTCCCCAACAATTTTTCCTGGAATTATTTGCCACCAGTCGGAATCTTGAACAGCACCGCCTTACCGCCAGGACCCTTGCCAGCGGCCTTGTCTATCCTGTAGTAGCCCTTGCGCTCGAGCTGCAGGAAGTCGCCATCCTTGAGTGAGGCCAGGTTGGCGTCGCAGAGGGCCTCAGTCATGCTCGATGTGTTCTCCGCCAGGAAGTCCTCAAGCTCGTCGTCTTTCTCAAGCACATCCTTGGTGATCAGGTACCCAAACTCCCACAGCTCAGCCTCAACCAGGTTGCCCTCGTTGGCAGCGAGCCAGGTCACCTTCTTCTCGGTCGTCTTGAAGTCACCCTCGAGGTGCAGCTCAAACTCGGACTCGGTGACGACATCACCGGTCTTCTTTTGGTCCCTCACAATAGCGTTGCCCCAGCCCATGAGGGTAATCTCCTCTTTGTCCTTGAAAGACGCGCAATCGGCCTGGTCCAGAATGAGCTTGTTGCTGAACCTAACAGTCCTCGTGCCGAGGGACGGGTTCTTGGGGTGCCTAGGCTTCTCTTCAGAGTAGGGGGTCTCAGGACCGCCCTTCAAAGTGACAGTAACCACATCCTTCTTCTCAACGGCAACGTGTCTCGGGACGATAGGATCCAGCATGCGCTTGTTGATGGCCCAGATGGTGGTCCAGTCCATGGTGACGACGTTGCGGCTTGGGCCCTGCTTCAACATGAACTCTCTAAGCGCGGGCACGGTCAATCCACGACGTAGGATACCGCGAACGGTCGGCAAGCGCGGGTCATCCCAGCCAGAAACTCGACCAGTGTCGACGACCCTGGTGAGCTTCCGCTTGGACAGGAATGTCCTAATGAAGTTGATACGGGCAAAGTCCCAGAGATGGACTTGCCGCATGCTCAACGCCTCGATGAACCAGTGGTATTGCTCGTTGCGGTCGGCATACTCGGTCGTGCGCAGCGCATGGGTGACTCCCTCGATGCTGTCGACCAGGGGGCAGGCGAAGTCGTAGGTAGGGTAGATGTTCCAGGTCCAGCCGGTGCGGTGGTGTGGTGCAGGATCAGCGCCCTTCCAGTTGGGGAAGCGGTAGATGACGGGGTCGCGCATGGCCCCATTGTTGGAGTCGTACTGGATCCGTGCCCTGATGCAGTGCCCCTTGCCGGCGTCGGTGCCTGCCTTCATCTCGCGGAAAATCGCTAGACTCTCGGCCGCGGGACGGTCGCGTCGCTTACTCGGGAGGCGCTTCATTCGGTCGGCAGATTGTTGCTCGGGGTCGGTATCATCGGCATAGGCCTTGCCCAGATTGATCATCTTCTCGCAGAGATCGTACAGCTCCTGGAAGTAGTCGCTAGTGTGGGTCTGTAGGTCAACCTTGATGTTCATCAGGTGCAGGTCCTCGACGATGGCATCTTGGAATGAAGCCTTCTCCTTCTGGGGGTTGGTCTGACGAGACATGCTACGTTAGCGATTGCAATCGGAGTGGGCTGGGGTCACTCTACTCACATCGTCGAAGCGGACAATGAGCTTGCCATCGAAGGCCTCGTGCGCAAAGTAGTCGTTCAGCAGGGCAGCCTTGGCATGGCCAATGTGCAGGTACCCAGAAGGCTCGGGAGGGAAACGAGTAACTACCCCATTCTGGGTGCCCTTGAGACCAATGTTGTAGTTTGCGCCCTGTTTCTTGCCAGAGGCGGCGCTCTTGGCCTTGGCGGCGGCGGTGATGTCGTTCCTGACCTCGGGGTGGACGGCCTCGATGTAGTTGTACCAGCGGCTGACATTGGCAAAGGCGCCCTTGCGGACGAGTCCCAGGCCGACCTTGTTGCTATAGAGGGAGGCCCAGACTTCTTTGTCGGCCGCGGAAAGGGAGTATCCTCCGAGGAAGGTCCGCAGGGTCAGGAATTTCTCGAGCTGGAGGAGGAGGGGCTCGATGCTCTTGAAGTCGGCCGTGGCCAGCTGGGGAGCCAGGCTCTCGGGCTTGAGGGTTGTCATGGCGATGGAATGCGCGAGTGCAATCGCTCCTGTGGCGGCGGTCTCAGGGTGAGCGTATTGTTTTCTGTTAATGGGAAGAGAAGGAAGAATCGATCTTGAGACAGCACGCGCACACATACACACACACAATAATGACACCTTCAATCTTCCAAGGTGGGGTGAAATATTTTGGAGGGGTCAAAATTTGGTAGCCAGTGGCCACAGTCGCGTGTGCGGGATTGAGTCAGCGATAAGATAAGGCGGAGCTCATTGACCAGAACCGCCACCACCACCACGTGATCCCTCCTCTGGATGACATGAAGACAGCACTCCTGTTTGGTCAACATCGCCGCAACAATCCACGAGCTTCCATCTGCTGCCGATGCCGGCGATGACTTGCTTGGCTGGATTGCAATGTTGCTACTGTGTCTCTGCTATGTCTAATATGTGTAACATACGCATCAGTCATGCAGCATCTGTGACTGTGCATTCAGCATGTACGTCTCGCTTCTCTCCATCAGCTCTGCGTGCCGCCCCTTGTCGACCACCTCTCCGCCCTCAATGACGAAGATGACATCTGCCTGCTGGACCGTGTGCAGACGATGTGTGATGGCCAGCACGGTCACCCCGCGGGCCGCTCTCTCTAATCCCTCCTGAAGCGCCCGTTCGCTCTCAGCATCCAGTGCGCTCGTGCTTTCGTCCAGCAGCAAGAGCCGGGGCTTTCGCACCAAAGCACGTGCAATGGCCAGGCGCTGCCGCTGGCCACCGGAAAGGCGCGATGCCCCTGGGCCGAGTTCAGTGTCGTAACCCTGCGGCAGCTCCATGATCACGTCGTGGATGTTGGCTAGGCGGCAAGCCTCCTCAATCTCGGCCAGAGTGGCGTCGTGACCAGGCCGTGCGCCGAGGCCGACGTTGAAACGTGCACTTCCGTCGAAAAGGGCACTGTCCTGCGGAACAATGGCGATCTCGTCACGGAGAGCACTGGCGGTCGCGTCACTGTCGTTGCGGCGAGACACGTCGATGCCGTCGATCCGCACGATGCCTGTTGTCGGGTGGTATAGCTGCTGCACCAAGCTCATGACCGTTGATTTGCCCGCACCTGACGGGCCGACTAAGCCGCAGAACTGCCCAGGATGAACGGTGAAGCTCATATCGTGGAGAATGTGATTATCTGGACGAGCAGGGTAAGAGAAAGACACATGGTCAAACGTGATGGACACTCCCCTGTTCTCGCCATCCACCCTGGGCTTTGACTCAACTGTAGCCTCGGGGTCCTTCTCCTTGGGCTCGCTCGGCTTATCGGAGCGCATGACATCTGGTGGCAGATCTTTTGACGAGCCGATGCTCAGGATCGCAGAGATGCGACCCGCTGCCGTCCTGGCGCGCGAGAATTCTGGTGCCAGTGAGAACATTTGACCCCAGAGCTGCGCACTGACGAGCATCGCCACGAGAACAATGAAGAACTGCTTCTGCGTCGCCTCGCTCTTCATGATCTGCTGCGAGCCCCACCAGTAGGCGAACGCGTAGATCAGGAAGCCCGTGCTGTTGGAGATGGCCAGCCAGATGTTGGTGTAGGCGCTGGCGAAGAGCATCTCCTTGCGTGGTGCCTTGAGTGCCCGCGAGAACTTGCCCATGATCTCGCTCTCGAGCGACAGAGCCGAAACGGTCTTCATGGAGCCGACAGCCTCAACCGCAATGCCAATAGCCTGCGAGTATGCGTCATTGTGGCGCTCTTCAAACTTGGCCAGGGCTCGCAACTGCATGATACCAGACCCGAGAAGGATAGGGACCGTGACAAGGCATACGATGGCAATCTTCCATGCGATGATATGTGACAAGACAATGGCCACTAGGAAATTGACAACAATGGAAAACACGGTCCCGATAACCGAACCGCTGAAGCCACCGATGGCAGCGCTGTCCTTGGTGATGATCGAGAGTAGCTTGGAGGGGTCCCTGTTGGCCGACTGGTGCCATTCAACGCCCTGTTCCATGAGCGAGCGGAACGACAGGACGCGCACGGCATAGAGCAGCCGCTCGGCCACGACGCCGAACGACGTCCACGCAAAGAAGTTGGCGAAGAATTCGATGCCGGCCAGCATGAAGAGCATGCCACCAAAGAACTTGCCCAGCCTGAGTACGCGATCGACAGTGTTGTTACAGGGATTGAGCTCGCCGACAGTGAAGCCGAAGATGATGCCGGAGGCGGAGAACGTGCAGCCAACAATGAAGGCGGCAATCATGGCGAGGGTGAGCCAGAGTAGCGCTGGACGGACGAGGCGACACATGAGCTTGAGGGCTTTGCCGACCGGGTCCTGCGACTCCTCTGTGTCTTTTGCGGCTTCGGTATCCGAGCCAGGTGACTGCTCCGTTGCTGCCTGCGGCTCATCGGCGCCACGCTGCTCTTTCACGCCAGTCGCCGCGGGTCCGCCCTTCTCAGATGTGATCCCATCGATGGAGTCATTGTCAATGGTCGAGCCCAGGGACATGGTGTCATCCTTGGCGCCAGCATTAACCTTTTGCAAGTTGGCCATGCGAGCGAACGCTCCGTCCAGCGCCATGAGTTCAGCATAGGTGCCCTGCTCGACCACCTGGCCTGACTCCATGACCACAATGTTGTCTGCATTCTTGATTGTTGAGAGACGGTGAGCAATCGAGATGACGGTCCGGTTGACAGCTACACGTTCAATGGCAGCTTGGATGCGTCGCTCACTAGCGGAGTCGAGGGAAGCTGTGGCTTCGTCGAGCACGAGGATCTTGGGATCACGGACGAGCGCCCGGGCCAGGGCGACACGTTGACGCTGACCGCCGCTGACGAGAGCGCCACCGGATCCGGCAGAGGTACCGTAGCCATTCTCGAGCCTGTCGATGAAGCTCGATACATCTGCCAAATCGGCTGCCTGACGCACTGCTTCCACGATGGGCTGCAATTCAGGGCTCTTGTTAGCGGCTGCCGATGGGATATTTCTGCCTTCCGCAGCAAGTTTAGACAACTCCGAGCTCTCCAGGACCTTTTTGAATCCGGCATGGGCTGGTTGGGGTGAGCTGACGAGACCTAGCGCGATGTTCTCTAGGATTGAGCGATCCAGGAGGGAAGGTTCCTGCTGGACAAGACTGATGAAGCTCCGAAGATTCTTCACGTTGAGCTCCTTGATGTCGTGACCATCCAATGTCACGCTGCCGTCAGTCGGATCTTGGAGACGGGCGACAAGGGCTGCAATCGTGGACTTTCCGCTGCCGGACAGCCCGACGATGGCGGTGTGCTTGCCTGCGGGGAAGGTAAGATTGATGTTGCGAAGGACGAGGTGGTTGGGTCTCGAAGGGTAAGCAAAGGAGACATTGTTGAAGGCGACGGAGCCAGGGGTGTCGAAGGGCAAGTTTTCGCCAGCCTCGGAAGTGCCGTCGATCACAGAGCGGTGCTCGATGTCTTTGAGCAGTCGCTGGAAAGCCGACGATGCACCGCCAAAGAGCGGCAGGAGCGGTGCGACAGATCCGAGAACGATGCATGCTGTCAAGTATTCCGTCAGTGTCTCGAATATTCTCGCGCAGACCTGTGTACGTACCATCAACAAGGATGAAGACAACAGTGTAGATCCGTCCAATGCTCGCGCCATCGTTTCTGCCTTCCATCAGAGCCGCAACTTTGCGACTACCCTGCCAGAAAGCAAGCGAATTAGCCGAGTAGGCGATGAAATACAGTCCGCCAGCCTGCACAGCTGCAGCAATAGCCTTTTTGATACCCGCAGCACGGGCGATGCGCATGTGACCCGCAAACTTGGCCTCCAGGCGCGGCGCCGCCCCAAACGCCTGCACGATGCCGACATGCGACAGGGCCTCGGAGGCGATGGACGAGGCCGCGGCCGTGGCGTCGGACATGACACCCGAGAACTTTTGGATAAAGGCGGCGCCGATCATAGCCATGATCATAAAGGCCGGGACGAGGGAGACGAGCATGCCGGCCAGACTGGCCTCCTTGATGAAGGCGGCGACGTAGGCGGTGACGAAGAAGGAGACGCTGGCGATAAGAATGCCGACCTTCTCAGAGGTGCCCGACTGCACGGCCTGGATGTCGCCGTGCAGGCGGCTCGAGACCTCGCCCGCACGGCGGTCGTCGAAGAAGGCCGGCTCCTGGCGCAGCAGGCTGCGGAAGTAGGCGTCGCGCAGGCGGGCGGCGAGGCGCTGGCTCACGAGGCTCCAACATAGGACGTAGGTGTAGATGAGGACGAGGGCGCCGACGGCGATGTAGACGAGCTTGAGGACCTTGTCGTTGATCTGGGGTTCATAGGCGAACGGGTCGGGCCGCGACGACGCGGACGACTGGGCGTCGCAGGTGGCGCCGTTCATGTCGTCGACCAGCTCACCGAAGAGGATGCCCATGAGGGGGAAGGGGACGCCCGAGGCGGCGGCGGCGACGGTGCCGACGGCAACGAGAGCGATGTCGAGCCATGTCGGGCTGGCGAAGAAGAGGAGGCGGAAGTAGGTGCCGAGCGCCTTGCCGAGCTGAGGAGATCTGCGTGTAAGATGAGATCGCCCTTTTTACGCTTAGGATGGGCTGTCTCGATAACTTACGGGAACCGGAGGCTCTTGAGGAGGCTTCGCATCTTTGCTCTTCTCGGGCGTCGTGTCTGCTCCTGTGGACAGTGCAGCTTCAGGGCTGGCCTCGGCCTCGGCCCCAACCTTGCCCTTCTTGCCAAAGCCAAAGACCATGGCTGTTGTATTCCACCGCGACTAATTGCAGCAGAACACTGTGATGTTCTGAGTGTGTTGGCCTCTGAAGAGACTGGGAAGGGATATCACAGCTCCATCTATGACTGATCGGTGCAACAGGGACTCAACAGGAGGTACAAGTCACGACGGGCCTCAATGTGTGGTGGTAGCTTTGCACGTGTCCAAGATTCTTCACAGAGTCTCAGCCCACAGACCGGAACAACTCGACTGGAGTGTTGGTACTTGGCGCACGTTGGCCAGCAACATCTCTGTCCGTGGTATTGGGTACGTCCACAATGGTATCTTTGACTCTCACAGACAGACGCTCAATACCCAAGCGAGTCCGCTCTTGGCTTCAAGCCTAGCCCATTTTCGGCACTGGGCGGATTTCGCGGCAAGAAGACAGGCCGATGACGGCGGACCGAACCCTTGTTTGTGAGTTTGTAAGAGAAGCTGCGGATCAGATAAGATGGCTGATGTGTGATGTGCCCAGGTGGAAATGAAGGGAGCGGATCAGATTATTTTAGCGGGCTCGGTGGGCCCCTACGTGCTGTAGCCAGAGCTAACAACCCCCACTCGAGCCCACTGGCCACCCGCAACTCTGCGTTTCCTGTGCTGTTTATGTCCACTGCGCGAAAATATTTTTCTCTCAGCTCCTAGTTGAGTAGAGTGATGACCGGGAATGATTCTTCTTTGGGAATAGCAAGGGCTTGTCTTTTGTGAGCTGAGGAGATGGAGAGTGTACTTGTACTTTATCCCAGGCTCTGCTTCTGTTGAACTGTGAGTCTGGAACCACCTGTATCCGTGGATACCACTTTGCCGCTCCTCGTGCTCGTGATTTAGACGAGAAGATTCTGCCATCGCTCCGGAGCTCTCTGGTATTGATGGTCTCCGTCCATGGTAGCAATAAGTGGCAGAAGGCTTGTCAAAGCCAGGAAAGGAATCCATGGCGGACAGGGATCTGAGTGCCGGAGGCGTGCCACAATCGCGCAGCTCGCCACCATCAAATCTTATCAGATCAGATGGGACATCAAGGTCCGATTCACCGGGATCGCTGTCTTGGTTCCATCCGAGGCTGAAGAGGAGTAGAATGCCACAGATCTGGACCAAAGTCTTACCTACTACCTACCTATCTTACCTAGGGATGCTGAAGGGATACGGATAATTACATCCATCCATGTTAAGTACCTTGTGGATTGGCCCGAGATCCCCAAAGAGTGTCCGGCCGGAGCACACCTGTTGAAGCTGGAGGCATTTGGGTGTGTAATGCACTGAATAGATGCAGTAAAACCAAACCCACAGGGCAACTACAAGTACTGTAATATTCCGACGGCCCACTGGACAGCCCTGACCCCGCTGTGCATGTACCCGATTTGATCCATCCATCTTATCCGATAATCTGATAAAGAACATGGTCCGGTCGAATGCCAAAGAAGAATGTCTCTCGTCCCAACTCCAGTCACCATCCCTGCCTCCACCCTCTTCTCTCTCCAGAGTCGTTAGCCGACGCTCCGTCCCATCTCCATCTTGTCCAGGACGCCAATCCCTTTCTAGCTCTGCATTGAGCCTAGTCGCTGTGGCCTGATGACTTGTCGTCTCTGGTCCCCAAATCCCGGATTCGTTGTACCTTGACCTCACACTTGAAGCTCCTCCCGGTACAGTACCTCAGCCATCGCCCTGAACCCCTATTCGTCCTTTCCAAGATGCCAAGCTCTCATGTGCTCCCAGCTGAGCGAGCGGCCTTCATCCTCTCTGCCTCGGACCCAGACAGTGTCCGGATCCTCTCACAAAAGACAGCCCGGATGAATCGAGCAGATGGCCGGCCCTCTTTCAATACCAAGTGGGTCTGTATCCCGATTGTTTCCATGCTCCAGAGATGGGTCCTTCGTGATTCATCAGCTACTGGTCTCAGACCCTAGGTTGTTGAGACTCGGAGACAGCTCTCGATCTTGTCCTCTGCCTCCGGCCCTCGGTAGCGCCATGTAACTCTCCCACGCCAGCACCGTCTCTGTTGTAGCGCCTGCTGAATCACAGTCTGTCTTGGAGGGCCATGCATTTGGCACATGCTTGTCTGCGTTGCAGACCCGACACAATGGTGTCTGGACCAAGTAACTACCTATCCTCCTCTTCTTGCCCCTTCGGAGTCTAGGCTGGAAAAGTTGGTAGGCCGCAAACACTCGACGGTTGACCATTTGAGTGCCATAGGCTCGCTCATCTTCGAAAGTGACTTTCCTTCCCGTGGAACCTGTTCATCCATCTCGCTGCCAACAAATGCAGTCGTGAGCATCACATCACCAGAGCGTACTTATGGGTGCTGTGTTGAGCTTTTGATTCTTTGCCTTTCCTCCCGCCTGCTGCCTTTATCCGTCCACTCGTTCACCCGGCGGCAGCGTCAATACCAGCAGCCAGGTTCTCTGCCGTGCCACACACCACCGCTGTTCCTGTCTTTCTGATTTCCAAGCTCAAGCTCCAGCTGGGCCGCGTTGTCTCGGTTCGGATTGCAGCAATGCATCTCGTTCCCGCCATGCAGCACCTAGTCGGCGAGCCTAATGGTCACATTCTCCCCAATGGCAACGGGCCCGACTCCAATAACACCGACAGCGTCGAGTCGTTTGTGGTCTCTGCCACAGTGCAGGCTCCAGCGGGACTTGAGCTCTCCCCCGCTTCAGAGGCGACCTTGATACTTGCTTGGACTCTTCTTCTGCCCCGTTACAGCCGTGACGGCTCCGACCTTGAAGACTCGACCTGGGGTTACACATTCACAACCGATGATGCGAAGACTGTCTCTTGCAAAGTGCCCCAGCTGATTCTCGACAAGAGCACAAGCATCTCCCAGGCCCTAGACTTCGTCTCCGAGGCAATCACCCGTCAGGATCCGCAACGAGCAGCATCATCTCCCGTTTACAACAGCGTATTCTTCTACAATGGCACCGCCTCCGCGACGGTAGACGCCAAGATCAGTCCCTCACCCCCATGGACTGTCCGGCTAGACATCACCGCCCTGGGCGAGCTGTTCCAGATCCAGGCCCAAGGGCATGGCAATACCATGAACCGTCCCCGCGTCGAGCAGGGACTTAACGCCTTCATCGACATTCTCACAATTCTCATCGAGCAGCCGAATGTCCTCTTCAGGGAAGCGCTTGGGCCGTTGCAACAGGACCTTGACCGGATCTGGACGTGGAACGCAGTCGTGCCCCCGACCATTGAAAGGTGTATCCATGACATGGTCTCTGCGCGGGCGGCGCAACAGCCCGAGGCCCTTGCCGTCGCTGCCTGGGATGGACAGTTTCTCTACAGTGAGATCGATGCGTTGTCCACCAGACTCGCGCAGGACCTCATCGTGGCTGGGGTTCAGTTGGGCGTGCCTGTCCCACTTTGTTTCGAGAAGACGAGATGGACCGTTGTCGCCGTGCTGGCAGTCATGAAGGCGGGTGGCACATTCGTTCTGACCGACCCTAGCCAGCCCGAGGCGAGACTGCGCACCATCGTCGAGCAGACTGGTGCCAAGATCCTCCTCTCCTCCAAGTCGCAGTTCGATCTCACGACCAGAATCGCGCCCTCCGACGCCCAGATCATCGCTGTCTCAAACGACCTCTTGGGTAGGCAGCAGAGTCTCCCGGATGTCGCACTTCCCGTGGTCCCCGCCGACTCTCCCATGTATATCATCTTCACTTCTGGCAGTACTGGCAAACCGAAGGGTGTTGTTCTTTCCCATGCCAACTTTACCAGCGGCGCCATTCCCCGTGCCGAAGCTGTAGGATACCGTCCGCATTCGCGATGCTTCGAATTCGCGTCGTACGCCTTCGATGTCAGCATCGACTGCCTGCTATGTACTCTTACCAATGGTGGCTGTATCTGCACCCCCTCCGACGAGATGCGCATGAACGACCTGTCCGGCGCCATCAGGAACTCCAAGGCCAACATGGCCCACATGACACCGTCGGTCGCGCGCGTGCTCGACGCCGACATCATGCCGTCGCTGGAGATCCTCGGCCTCGGCGGCGAGTCTATCTCGGCTGGCGACGCGCGAGCGTGGAGCCAGAAGACTAGGCTGGTCATCGCGTATGGCCCATCCGAGTGCACTGTCGGCTGTACGATTAACAGTAACGCCGGTGCTGCCAAGGCATATACCAACATTGGCACTGGCAAGGGTGGGTTGATGTGGATCACCGACCCAGACGACCACAATAGACTTATGCCGGTCGGCAGCGTCGGCGAGCTGCTGGTAGAGGGTCCAGTCGTCGGCATCGGCTACCTGGATGAGCCTGAAAAGACGGCCGAGGTCTTCATCGAAGACCCTACCTGGCTCACTGCTGGTCACGGCGACATCCCAGGGCGACAAGGTCGGCTATACAAGACCGGTGACCTGGTGCGGTACGACCCCGACGGGTCTGGTGCTATCGTCTTTGTTGGCCGGAAGGACCAGCAGGTGAAGCTGCGAGGCCAGCGCGTCGAGCTGGTCGAAATCGAATACCACCTCCAGAACAAGCTTCCCGCTGGAGTCAAGATTGCCGCAGAGGTGATCAAGCCCCAGGGCGGCGAGCCAACCCTTGTTGTGTTCCTCGCCGAGGATGGCGTGAAGTGCGGTAGCAACGACGCCAAAATCTCAGATGAGCTCTACAAAGCTCTTTCCACAGTCGACGACGCGCTCGGCGCGGAGCTGCCGCGGTACATGGTGCCTGCAGCATACATCCCTCTGCCAAAGATCCCCGCCCTCGCCTCCGCCAAGACGGACCGGAAGAGGCTGCGGGAATTGGGTGCCGCGATGACTCGTGAGCAGGTAGCGAGCCTGCGCATTGTCGCCGACAAGACGGAGCCCGAAACCGAGAATGAGCGGGTGCTTTTCGGCGTCTGGAAGCAGCTTCTTGGCGATGAATTGGTCGTCTCCGTCAAGGACAGCTTTTTCGCACTTGGAGGTGACTCTCTGCGGGCCATGAAGCTTGTTGCCGCCGCCCGATCGCAAGGAGTTTCTCTCACCGTGGCAGACGTGTTTAGTCATCCCTCACTGAGAGATATGGCTGCCGTCGCGGAAAAGATCGATCCGGGAACTCGCAAGGAGGTACAGGCATTCTCAATTCTTGGAGAGGGTTGGTCGCCGGATGAAGCGAAGGCTACAGCTGCCCAGCTCTGTGGTGTGGACGAAACACTCATCGAAGACATCTATCCCTGCTCCCCACTCCAGGAGGCTCTCATGGCACTGTCCGCCAAGGTGAAAGAGGCTTATGTCGCACAGAGGGTTCTCAAGATGGATAGCGCCGAGATGACGAAGAATCTCAAGAGTGCGTTTGAGCAGGCCTCGGACACCTGTTCCATTCTCCGCACCCGCATCATCCAGGTGCCTGGTCGCGGCCTCGTCCAAGTTGTCATCAGGGAGTCTATTTCCTGGCGCACTGCTGCCACTGTCGAAGAGTATCTTGAGAATGACAGGGAGGAGTCCATGGACTTGGGCAAGCCCCTGGTGCGATACGCCATTGTCTCAGACGAGCAGACCGGTACATCTGACCTCGTCTTGACAATGCACCACTGCTTATACGACGGCTGGTCAATGCCGCTCGTCGTGGAGCGTATCAACCGTGCCTACCAGGGACTGGCCACGGCTCGGGCCGCCGAGTTTAGGGACTTCATCCATTTCCTCGAGACAACTGTTGACAGCAAGGCTTGTGAGGCATACTGGAAGGAGCAGCTTCGCGGCGCGACAGATCCGCAGTTCCCGGCGCTGCCTTGGGAAGGGTATCAGACGCAGGCAGACTCGCTCCTTGAGGTGTACGTGCCGATGCCAAAGCTGTCCTCCAACACCACTGTCGCGACCATTATTCGAGGAGCCTGGGCGTTAGTAGCGTCGCAGTACGCGGGAACCAACGATGTGCTCTTTGGCGAAACGCTCACGGGCCGCAACGCACCGATCGCTGGCGTGGAGGAAATTGAAGGACCCATGATCACTACTGTGCCCGTACGCGTGCAGATCGACCAGAATAACACTGTATCAGACTATCTTCAGGCCATCTACAACCAGATGATTACACAGATGCCGTATGAGCACACCGGTTTACAGCACATCCGGCGACTGAGTCCTGACGCCCTACAGGCATGCGAGCTCCGCACTGGTCTGGTCCTCCACCCATCCACGGCCGAGGATCCCGACGCGGCTCACGTTACCGAAAACGCGCCCGCCACCGCCCTCGTACCTGCCGGTGATGCGGAAGCCGCGCAGGAGGCACTCAAGTTCAACACGTACGCGCTCATGCTTGTGTGCTCACTCGACCCCAAGGGCTTCCTTATCATGGCTAGTTTCGACTCCAAAACCGTTGACAAACCCACCATGGAGAAGGTGCTGGCGCAGCTTACACAGGTATGCCAGCAGCTTAGTTCGGAGGCGGAGAAGCGCATTGGTCAGATTGACTGCCTCACGGAGGCGGACCGCGAGACCGTTTGGGATCTAAGCAAGGACCTCAAGACTCTCGACGCCTTGACAAAAGAGTACGCGACTGCTACATCAGCTTGGATTGTCGACACGCAAGACGCAGAGAGGCTCAGGCCTCAGGGCTCGGTAGGAGAGCTACTCGTGGAGATGGAAGATATTACCATGTTGCCGAGCACGAGCAGTCCGCGATGGCTGGTCCGGGGCACGGCTACACACAAGGGCCGCGAGGCGACACTGTTCCACACAGGCAAACTGGCCAAGTTTACGAGCAAGAGCCAGTTGGTCATCACGGGCATCAAGGATGAGTCACCGGGTCGAGGCAAGAAGGATGCTACCAACATGAAGCCAAAGGCCAAAGCCGTCTCGGCCACCTCGACCAAGCAGCGCATCCTGCGGACACTGTGGAGTCGCGTCCTGCGCCTTGACGAGAAAGACATCGGTCTGGGAGACAGCTTCTTCCGGCTCGGTGGTGACTCCATCGCGGCTATGAAGCTGGTGTCAGAGGCTCGGTTGGAGCGCCTGGAATTGACAGTGGCACAGGTCTTTGCCAATAGATCACTGTACGATATGGCCGGCGTGCTACAGGGCTCACCTGAAGAGAAGAGCACGAGCGTTGCAGTCAGCCCTTATTCATCGCTCGATGTAGCCAATGCGGAGGAGTTTGTGTCTACGGGCGTTCTTCCGGCCCTGGCTGACGCCTCGTGGAAGGTCGTCGACGTGTATCCCGCCCGACCGCTGCAGGAGATCGCCGTCAAGGGCACCACTCAGCTGCCGCGTTACTCGATGCGGTATGAGGTGCTCTACTTTGATGCCGCTGTCAATAAGCAGCGCCTGTTTCGTAGCTGCCAAGAGCTCGTCACACGCAACGAGGTCCTCCGCACCGTCTTCATCCGAGCAGACGGTGGCTGCTATGGCGTCGTGCTCGAGGACATGCGCACGCCCGTGGCCGAATTTGAAGTCGACGGCGACGTCGAGGTCTTTACGCGTAAGCTCTGCGACCTGGACGTGCAGATGCGCGCACCCCTGGGCGCCTCCTTTGTGAAGTGGTTCTTCGTACAGGGCACCGCCCTTGGACAGCCCTCGGCCCTCGTGTTGCGCATCTCACACGCGCAGTACGACGAGATCTGCCTGCCCATCTTCCTCGACCAGCTCTCGGCGATGTACGAAGGGCGCGAGGTCCCGTGGTCGTACCCCTTCTCGCACTTTGTGCACCACGTCGTGCACGAAAACCTGGCTCCGAGTCTGGACTACTGGCGCGAACTGCTCGCGGGCTCGCAGATGACGTTGCTCAGGCCGGAGCCGGCTGTCCCCGTGACCAGGACGAACCACTACGCTATCAGCAAGCCCGTCGACATCTCGGCCCGCCCGCGCGACTTCACCGTCGCCACCCTGCCGGCTGCCGCGTGGGCGCTGTGTCTGGCGCGGCGGACGGGCAAGTCGGACGTCGTGTTTGGCGAGGTCGTCAGCGGGCGCAACACGGGCGTCGCGCACGGCGACGCCACGACGGGTCCCTGCTGGCAGTACGTGCCTGTGCGGGTGACGCTTGAGCGAGGCGTCACGACGGGCGCGGATCTGCTCGAGGCCGTCCAGCACCAGCACGTCAGCAGTTCGCGATTCGAGGGGGCCGGGCTGAGCGAGATCATCGAGCACGCCACGGACTGGGACCCGGCCAAGGTGGGCTGGTTCGACAGCGTGGTACACCAAGACGTGGCGCACGTCGAGGCGCTGGGCTTCGGAGACGGCGAGCGGCGGGCCCGGCTTGAGACGGTGTACCCGCACGAGGAGCCTCTACGGGAGTGGAAGGTGCAGGCCTTCCACCACGAGGGCGGGGATGAGGTGACGCTCGAGATTGTCACTGTCGAGTCGTGGCGGGAGTACGCTGGTGGCTTGCTGGATGAGCTTTGCGGTGTGCTGGAGGGTCTTGTGAGGAGGCCCTGGGATGTCGTTCTGCAGTGAGTGGTGTTGAGGTTAGTATCATCGTGAGCTCATTTTGACCCTTTGATATCCATAATATTCATTCATCTCTGCAACTACGATATTTGAACTTGAGGCTATTCGCAATGCCGATACACGTCCCCAGCACTTCATGTGACTTCGAACATTCAGTAAATGCACAAAACTGAGCCTCGTCAAGCATCTCGGCGCAGTCAAGGCCCACCGCCGCATGTTCGAGACCATCGGGAGGGCCAGGACACTGGCTGCGTCATGCATTCAACCGAGGCCTCGTCTGGCCTCTTTTCATCCTCGACTGTACCACTACACCGGGAGGAGGTACCGGTACGGACATGAATGAAATCCCACGCTGATGCTACCTACCCCTGTCTATTAGCGAGTGGGAAACCCACTCTTGCAAGCTATGGTCCTTGGCGCGAGGGCCCGGTCCTTCGTCTAACAACCCGGTCCGCATTAGCTCGATCAGATAACTCTACAAGTACAAGTAAGAGCCCACAACAAGTTAGCGAGGGGTCGTCTTGGGTGTCCGCGCTTCTCCCGTGAGAATTTCACTCGGTTGCCAGGTTTTCTCTCTTGCTGCGTTGCTGTATGGGCAGCGCGGACACAATGGGCCTCGGCACAAGACCTCAGGAAGCCAGAAGCAGGTGATTAGGAAGAGAACTCAAAGGTTTGGAGAGGATGGAATCCCTTTCCTGGGCTGGGGAGCAAAACTGGTGCTCCCAACGTGCTGGACGGGAAGATCAGGAGAATTCTTGAACTCGCCGGGCCAAGAGAAATCCTCAGTCCTGGGCCCAACTCTCCACCCACTTACTTGTAGATTCATGGCTGAACGCCATCTTGCCTCTAGAGTGTACAGCGCCTGGTTCTTGCCCAGTCCACCGTCGACGACCCTCTTGGTGACGGGTAAGGACGGGTTAGCCGCACCACTCCGTGTCTCCTAGACTGTTTCTCTTTCTCCTTCGTTCACTACTCCGGCTTTTGCTAGACCGAATACCAATTCTCGCCATTCTCGCCAACACGAGACCCATACCTGATTAGCTCCAAAGAGGTAGGTTCCCTCTCTTGGTCCTGGTTCTCTAAAGCAGCTCGGCACTGCAAGCTCAAACCGCTACCCACCCGTGAGCTAAAACCCGGTTGGTAGGGTTAAGTAAGTCGTAAATACTTTCCAACACCTCTTCTTTGGGGTGTGCCTTGCAGCTCTTTCTTGTATTTCCACTCGACACGTCTGCAGTCTTATTATTTTCACTCGGACACGACTTTCCTTTCGGTTTCCTGAGGAAAGCCCTACTCTTCCGATCTTTCTTGAATTGTTTTCCGTGCATTTCCTTGGATTAGTTTACTCGTCAAGGACTACGTCGTCTACACACATTGTCCACGCCTCCCAAAGCCCCGGCCATTGCCTAGGAAAGCAGGGGACCATCCGCAGCCATGAGTGTCGCCGTACTTCCCGCCCTGATCCCCGACATCAGGCAGATCTACGACATCTACTTCCGGTCTTTTGGCAACGACAAGATGGGCCAGATCATGATTCAGATTTTGTTCCCGCAGGGCACCGACTCGGAGGAGTTCCGCCAGGCCCACGCGGCCGGCACGCTGGCCTACTGGCAGACCAACACGACGCAGTACACGCAAAAGGTGGTCGACATGGCGACGGGGGACATCATCGGCATGTGTCTGGGCGACGTGTACCTAAAAGAGCGCAGCCCCGAGGAGCGCAAGAATGAGGGCGTGCCGTGGCTCGAGGGCGCGCAGCGCGAGCGCGCCGAGGCGGTGCTGAACCCGCTGTGGGAGATGCGGGAGAAGCTGTTTGGGGGCAGGCGGTACCTTTGTGAGTACCTTGTCTCGACTTGTTGTCTTGTTCATCATGCCTACAAAGATGGAGAAAGCTAATGATAAACTCTACGCTGCCAGACTCGCACGTCATCGCCGTCGACCCCAAACACCAGGGCCGCAAGGTCGGCGCCGCCCTCGTCAAGTGGGGTGCCGAGCAGTGCGAGATGACGGGCCTGCCGTGCTACTTTGAGTCGTCGCCGACGACGGCGGGGCTCTACCTCAAGATGGGCTGGGAGCTGCTCCCGGAGCAGATCGTGCACAAGAAGGAGGTGCTCGGCACCGACGAGGACATTGTCGTGCCCCTCATGGTGCGCATGCCCTCGTGGGCGGGCATGACCTTTGCCGAGTGGAGGGCCCGGGGTTACCCAGACTACATCAGCAACAAGGCGCCGACGCTCCAGCCGGGTGCCGTTGCCGCCGCCGGTAAGGCGCCTGTGTCCGTCGCCGCTGTTGCCGCTGTTGCCGCCTCGACTGACCCGGCGCCCGTGCCAGTGCCTGCACCTTTGGGTGCGTAGAGTGTTCCCGCAAGCGATTGAACTGGTGAATCGGCGAGGAGAGGCGTAGAAGGACCAAAAAGAGAACCAGACAGACAACAGGCTCACCTTCCTTGGGTGGTGGATGAGGGGTCAACACTGCAGCAGCAAGCTCAGAGGGTTCCAGCACAAGTGAGCTTGTGTGCAAGGTGTGGATGCCAGGGTCCCCGTTCTTTCTGTCGCAATGTCGTAATTTCATTTAGCTTAACATATTCCATTAGCATGTACAAGTACATGATTCTTCGAGATGGGCCTCTCGGTCGATTCGGCTGTCCGATATCCCTGTTCCTTGGCTGGTACGAACGAGTGAGGGTGGGCCGTCGTCGTAAGATCCATGGATGGCGGCGGTGATGGCGAGACCGATACCGGTGCCGGGAAAAGATTAGATTATCAGATCCTGAGATAATTCTAGGGCGTGCATTAGCGGTGCCTTGGCGCACCAGACCATTTGTGCTGGGCGTTTTCCTTTTTTTGGGGCTCGCTCCGCTTGCCGATGGACTGACGACTCTCCCTGTTGCTCTCAACGACCAGTGACCCTCGGGCGGGTTCCAAGGTTCTTTTCTCGTTTCCTCGGGGCTCCTCGGTGCACATGGGCCAGGCCATTGAAGATGCCGCCAAGACTGGTCGAGAGTGTGTCCCCACGTAGCAGCATCGAAATTCGCTACTTTGTAGTGACAATGTCTTCGCGTGGGCTGATCGGGAGCCTCCCGTCCCGATCCACCGCTTTCACGACATGACAATTCTGCCAGTCATTTTTGGGCCGTTGTGGTGATCATCAGGAACCTCCAAAGTTTTGAAGCCCTGCCAGCTGTCTTTGGTGCCTTGGGTTAACTCTGCATGACGCACGCATCCGGAACCAAGGCTGCTGCAGCTCCCTCACATCACTTCGGCGCAAACATGGAGAGCTTGCAAAGAGGTCTCATGTACACGCGGCTCGTCGCTTACGGCGTCAGCCTCTACCTCTCCATCCTCCGTCGTAGTCTGTCCGCCCGTATCTCTGGCCGCGCTGCTCCTCCGCCTCTCCCCGAAGGCGCATCTCCCTCCGAGCCTCGAAACATCGTCATCGTCGGCGCTGCATTCGCTGGCTACCACGCCGCCCGTCTCCTTACTTCCACCCTGCCCAAAGACAGTCCGTATCGTGTCGTGGTCGTCGAGCCCAACAGCCACTTCAACTTCACGTGGGTGCTGCCCCGGTTCTGCGTTGTCGACGGCCACGAGCACAAGGCCTTCATCCCGTATGGCGGCGGGCTGCCTGGTGCGGGAGGCAAAAGCGATATAGGGAAGCCGGTCAAGTGGATCCGAGACCGGGTCGTGTCGGTTGGCAAGAAGACGGTCAAGTTGAGAGACTCTGGGGAGGAGTTGCCGTACGAGTTTCTCATCATCGCGACTGGATCGAGCGTCAAGGATGGATTGCCATCCCGTGTGGGCAGCGAGGACAAGGCAAGCGGCGTCGAGCTACTCAGAGGCATGCAGAGAAAAATCAGGGATGCGAAAAAGGTTGTCGTCGTGGGAGGCGGTGCGGCGGGTGTGGAGCTGGCGACGGATGCGGCAGACAAGTACCCGGACAAGAAGATCGTGCTGGTGCATTCGAGACATGCCGTGATGCAAAGGTTTGGAGCTGGGCTGCAGAAGGGCGCGGCCGAGAACCTGAAACGGTTAGGTGTCGAGGTTATTCTGGAGGACAGGGTCGTGTCTGAGGACGAGGCATCCCGCACTGTTACTCTCCGATCGGGCAAGGAGATCGACTGCGACTGCTTTGTAGGTTTGACTTTCGTCCTAGACAAGATGGGAAATCTTGTGCTGACGCTCGGCGCAGATCAACTGTACTGGTCAGAAGCCGTCCTCGGAGATCCTAGCGGAGATCTCACCCTCCTCCATCCTCCCCGACGGCCACATCAAGGTCAAGCCGACACTGCAGGTGGCCGACGATGCCCTCCCCAACGTCTATGCCTGCGGTGACGTCGCCGAGACGAAGACGCCGAACCCGAATTCACGGGCGGCCATGCGCCAGGCCGAGGTGGCAGCAGACAACGTCATCTCCGCCACGCGCAACAAGACGCCGCGCTTCACGTACACGCCGGAATGGGCAAACGGCGTGATCAAGCTGACTCTGGGACTGGTGGGTGCCGTTTTGTCGCGCTGCACATTCTAAAAGACGACCTCTGCTGACTTGACCCTTTCAATAGGACCGATCCATCACACACTGGGGCGACGGCAAGACAGAACTGCTGATGCCCGGAGAGGAGAAAGACCTGGCGCTCATGTGCGATGGCTCGTGGACAGCGCTGGGCGCAAAGCCCTTTGAAGACACGGGCGCGATGGCGACGACGAGCAAGGCTGGCGCGCACGCCGTCGAACCGGCCAAGATGCAGGATGCTCCCGCCCATCCCGAGGCGCCCAGGTTGGAGACTACTGTGGCTGCTTGAGCCAGAGCGTGGCCATGCAAGAGTCTTCTTGGGAAAAAAAGCGATAGATATCATCATGTACACAAAAGTTCCGGCGGACTGGCCCCTGAATAAACGGTCCCTGATTCGAGCAGTGGCAGTTTGATTGACTTGGCCTACAAAATTTTGCTTTTCCCTTTTATTTCCCCTGGAAGCACATTCATGTGAAAGTGTTGCGATGTCAGTTGTGCCTGCCCAAGTCCGTCCGTGTAGGTAGTGTCGGGCAGGAAGTCACTCCAAATGGTCCTTCCCTCCTGGACTTGAAGATGGGTCGATCGAAGGGCATCAGATAATTCTATCTCCCCCTCTTCTCTTTTCCAAACCAACACCTACATCACCTTTTCAATTTGTGGGCGTTTATATCCCCTCGCTCATTCTGTCAATATCCAGAGCAAGATGTATGAACCTGTGGCTGGCTCCCCTATGCCGCCGCCCTCGACGATATCGAGATCTTCAGCAGCACCGTCCACATCGTCCTACTTCACTACTTCAGGAACTCGCACATCGACTCCTCGTATTGCCGACTCCCGTAGTGGCCGCAGCCGGTCGCAATGGACACCGAGTTTTACGTCTCGCAGCCGCACCACCCAACCCCCAAGTATGACACGCAGCCGCTCCCATGCCGCCTCGACCATCGGAGCCAGTGAGAGCCGCAACATGATCTGCGCCGTCAGCGAAGCCCGTGGAGTGACCCCTTCAGTCGGGGTCGCCTTTGTCGATACCACCAATGGGCAAGCGGTGCTCAGTCAGATCAGTGATACACAGTTCTACATCAAGACGATCCACAAGATCCAGGTTAACGAGCCATCCAAGGTCCTTATCGTCAGCACTGCCTGTCCGCCCAACCAGAAGTCTCCCCTCTGTGAGATCATCGAGGAAGAGCTTTCCGAGGTGACCATAGTGCCGCTTGGTCGAAAATACTGGTCAGAAGCCGTCGGTTTGGATCTCATCGAAACTCTGTCATTTAGAGAAGAGGTCGAGACAATCAAGTTTGCCTGCGAGGGCAATTTCTATGCAGTTTGCTCCTTTGCCGCCGTATGCCGGAATTCCAATGTGCTTTGTTTCGTGAGTCTACTGACCGCAATACGGTGTCAGGTAATGAAATATCTCGAGCACCAATCCTCCATCCGCATCGCCGCCCACTCGCTACGTATCACCTACCAGCCCTGCGAAGATACCATGATGATCAATCTTTCCACCATCCAGTCTTTAGAGCTGATCCAGAGCTTGCACAATGTCAAGTCCAAGCAGTGCCTCTTCGGCCTTCTCAATGAGACAGTTACCCCGATGGGAGCCCGCATGCTCCGGAGCGCCATCCTCCAGCCTTCCACAGTCAAGGAGCACACACTGATTCCTCGTTACGATGCGGTCGCCGAGCTCATGGCAAACGAGGACATGTTTTTTGGTCTTCGAACATGTGAGGAAGGGAACTCGGCTCTGTTGGCCACAGCTTGCTAATGGAACCCAGCACTCAAAGCATTCGGAGACGTTGAGAAGCTTCTTACCAAGGTAAAAGCTACCAGTGTTAGTACGTTGCAGATCCGCAATCTGACAATAATCTCTAGCTCATTCTCGTGCCCGCCCGTGAGGACCTCTATGAGGCAGAGCAAGCAATCAATAACGTCCTCAAGATCAAAAGATTTGTGACAGCAATCCCTGCAGTCTTTGATGCCCTGACGAACGCGTCCTGCGCTTTGCTGCAGAAGGTCAAGAACACCTGTCACCCTGAGCTGACGGATCAGGTCATGGCCCTGATCTCTCAGGTAATCAATGACGATGCCACTTTTGCAGACTCGCCTCTCGAGCTGCGCCACCAGAGAACCTGGGCAGTCAAGGTATGCTTCGCAGTATGTTTCGATGCTTTCATGCTCATTGGCGGTAGGCGGATCCGCATAGCCTTCTTGATGTCGGTCGCAAGTTATACAAAGAAACAACCAATGAGTTGCATCAACATATCCAAGAGCTGAATGGTGAGTAACTTGAACATCCAGGACAGCATGACACTGACGCCATCACGTAGCTGAGAGCAATCTAGCTGTTGACCTTCGCTACGAGAATAGGCGCAAGTACTTCTTGCGTTTTCGAGCAGATGATATCCAGGATCGTCAACTTCCGGACATTTTTATCAACCGCGTCAATGTCAAAGACTACGTCGAGTGCCAAACTATAACGCTGCTTCAGTTCAACCGGAGTATCTCGGATGCCGTCAATGAGGTTGTCGCCCAGAGCAACAGAGTCGTTAAGGAGCTTCTCGAGAAGCTACGGCAGAAGATCTCTGCAATGTTTAGAGTATGTGAGGGCATTGCGCTTGTCGACATGCTGGCAGGCCTCGGTCACTTGGCATTCAAATCCGGCTATGTCCGTCCAAATCTGTCAGGGGCACTTTTGCTCAAAGCCGCTCGGCATCCCATCATGGAAGTAGTAAGCGACGGTGTCTCCATCATATCAACACCGCTGACAGGCTTGTAGCCGAAACCAGACAAATTTATCCCCAACGACTACTATGTAACTGAGCAGTACCGTTTCCAAATCATCACTGGCTGCAACATGAGTGGAAAGAGCACATATATTCGAACAGTCGCGCTAGTCCAAATCATGGCCCAGATCGGATCCTTCGTGCCCGCAGAGTTCGCTGAACTGCCAGTGATTGATCAGTTGTTCTCGCGTCTCTCGACAGATGACAGCATCGAAGCGAATATGTCGTCCTTCTCGATCGAGATGAGAGAGATGGCCTTCATATTGAGGTGAATGGTACTTCAAAATACATCTACCAGCATGCTAATCATTATATCACAGAAACATGACCGAGAGCAGCTTGGTCATCATCGACGAGCTAGGGCGCGGTACAAGCACGCGTGATGGACTCGCCATAGCCACCGCCATCGCCGAAGACCTTATCAAGAGAAAGGCAGTCGTCTTCTTTACCACCCACTTCAACGAGCTAGGTACCAACCCGTCTCTACACACGTATACACTTTCAGACTGACTCCCGGCCGTCGTAGCCAGGGTTTTCGCCGAGCGCCCCGGTTTTCTCAGTGTCCATCTCGCATCTGAAACTACCGAGACGGAAGACGAGCTGCCCCGCATGACCATGCTGTATAAGGTCTCGGACGGCCCGCTTGAGCCGCACGACTATGGTATCAAGCTCGCACGGGCGATCGGATTCCCGGAGCGATTCATTGCCACGGCTGAGCGAGCGACGACCGCACTAAAGGCCCAGGCCGAGGCGAGGAAACTGAACTCGGAGGAGCGGCGCAAGGCGCAGCGCCGGAGGCTTCTGCTGAATCTGCGAGAGGCCCTGATGCAAAGCGAGAGGTCGAGCATGGACAACGCCGCGCTGGCGAGATACTTGAGGCAGCTGCAGATGGAGTCGATGTACAAGTTGCAGGGGCTTGAGAATGCGGGCCGAGAGTTGTCGGTAGAAGAGGTCGATGACGAAGATGAAGATGACGACTATGAGCATCCGGTCCACGATCCGGTCGAACCATCGTCCGACGAGGTTTTGCTGATCCGTAGCATCGAGCAGGACGACATGGTCGACGACAATGAGAACGAGGTCATTAAGGGATGAAGCAGTGCTGCGCTACCTAAACTAAACAGTGATTTCGCCGACTTGAGATGTATGTGGTGGCAGGTGGGTTTGTCAGACGGGCCAGATACAAGGATCATCGAGATGCCAATTGCTTGTGCTACCATCCAGTGCAGTCTATACGATGATGTTGCTTCTCATCAAGTATCAAACAGGAATGAAAGGAAATGTTATTATTGTTGCTGCTGCTGACTGCAGACCTGGCCTTGCTGTGTATCAACCCGCTATTTCAGTCCTCGCTCCTCCATATGTGGGTATCACCTAAGCTCACCGAGCTTGTATTACTCCTGCCGGTATCCGACGCCTCCTGCGCGTTATCCTCATCGTCTTGGTATCTCTCCCCTTGGAACCCTGGTTCGTCGGCAAAGACCCCCAGAGCGGCCTCTTCGTCACTCTCCTGCGGCACCAGCGGCGGCGGGTCGTGGTAGATCCACGGTCCTTCCAGCCTGCATATGGGTCATTCGTTAGTGGGAAAGAAGGCAAGGGAAAACGCAACATATGGAAAGAATGGTCAGAAAAAAGAGACTTACGGTACCACCAAGCTGGGGTTCACAAACGACAGCCCCTTCTCCCTGTCCTCGTCGACCGTGCTGCCCCTCCTCCTGACCCCTTGCACCCTGTCGTCCCCGGCACCTTCCTCGACCGCCACATCTCCCCTCACTTCGTCATCGTCGACGTAGCGATCACCCCGGGCCCGGCCGCGGTGTATGCTGCGCAGGGCGATGAACTGCGTCAGCGGCTCGAAGCGCTGGCGGAAATAGTAGCTGTACCACAGGGTGAAGATGAGCAAGGGGGCGACGAGCAGGGCCTGGACAAAGGCCTTGTTGAGGCCGAGGTAGCCCGACATGGTGAGCTGGAAGACGACGAGGCCGAGGATGATGCGGTAGCAGATGATGCGCCAGGCGCCGCCCGTGGCGTGCTGGGGTTGGTCCATGGCGTAGAGCAGCTGGTACTTGTAGGTGAAGTAGCCGAGGGTGAAGTAGACGATGCCGAGGAGCAGGACGAGGTAGCCCCTGGGCAGGACGCTGTAGACGAGGCACAGGATGAAGACGAGCAGGGCGGTGGGCAGGTAGAAGCCGTAGCTGAAGACGGGCGGGTCCATGATCTGCCTGAAGTCGCGCGGCGTCTTGGCGCCCATGCGGTAGATGGGGTAGAGCGCGACGGAGCCGAACTCGAGCAGACGGAAGGGGAAGAGGCCGACGCCCTGGAGCATGATGAAGTTGATGTAGAAGAAGTTGAGGCGCTGGATCTCGTTGGCGAGCGAGTAGGCCACCTTGGTCGTGTCGCGCAGGCTGTCCTTGACGATGGACCAGTAGTTGTTGGTCGCCGTGCCAAAGACGGTGAAGACGAGGAAAATGTTGAAGAAGGTGAAGAAGAAGTTCTTCGAGATGACCGAGAGCTCGACGTCACCCTGGCCGATCATGCCTTGCAGGTTGGACAGCCAGTCGTAGAGGTAAGGCACCGCGACGTTGAGCAGCGAGACTACGGCCGTGGGGAGACCGGTCTGCACGAGCGCCTTTGTGATCTCGTGTCTTTCCAGGCTATCGGCGAGATCTTTGGAGATGGTGCGGATAGTGCACAAGCTGAGCAGCGTCGCGAGCGAGGCGACTGGGGCCAACCAGACGATGGACAGAACGGTGATGCAGACGGTGATCAGCCATGACCGCAGACGCCGCGTCATACGCGGCGCGTAGGTGTTGCGCCAGACTACATCGGTTGGAGAGGGGGCAAGCTTGGTCAGGAGCTGGCCGGGCCGCGGGTCGACAAGGGCCTGGATGGCCATTTGACAGGACGCGATCGAGTCCATGGTGACGAATGCAAAACCTACCGCCTTGTAGTCTTTCTTCCTGGCGGCTCGGATCTTGTCATCGAGCTGGCGCAATCTCTCCTCGTAGTAGTCGATGCCGTCCACTTTGCGGCCGCCAATGCCGAGAAATCCACCAACTCGGACCCGTGGCCGGTCGCGCTCCACGAACTGGTGCGCACCGACCTCGCCGGGAAGCAAGCGACCGTTCTCGCCCGCCTCCTCGTCAACATCTACATCGGTGCCGAGGCGCGGACTGGAGCCCTGTGGGGGCGACTGGACGGGCTTCTGCGCCAAATAGACGCTCCAGGTCTCCTCGAGCTTGTGCAGGACGGCGCCGCGCTCCGCAACGAGGTCATCCAGCTCCTTCCAGTCCCTGCACAAGGTGACCCGATCCACGTGCCCGATCTCGAGCTTTTCGACCAGATCCTTGATTTTCTCTTCGGATCGCAGTTCCTTGGGGATGCCTGACAACCGAAAAGTCCTGTCTGTGATTGTCGACTGCGTGCCGAGATAATGCTGTCTAGTCTTGATGATCTTGAAAGTCTCAGAGTTGGTGAACCACATGGTCAGAAGAGTAAAGAAGTAGACAAAAACCAAGTACGCCCAGAAGTATCCCTTCCAGCTGTTGTCTTCGTCGGTGGGTTGGGTGTAGACGGGGAACTCGTTCGGGTAGATGTAGGGCGCCGGCTCCGGGAGGCTAAAGATGTTGGAAAGGTAGGATGCGTCTTTGTGTTTCGGTTTGCGCTTGTCGGGGTTGTAATGCTCGTTGACGGGTTCTAGAACGACGGCGGCGAACAGGAACATGACGGCGAAGAGGCGGATAGCCATCTTGAAGAAGGAAAGGAACTTGACACAAAGAGGACTGTCAGCGCGAACCGTTGCAGGGTTTCGACGGAGCAGCGGGAGTTGAACTCACCACAAAGGCATCCAGGCCGGCTGCCGAGAGGACCTGCTCCTCGGTGATCTTGTAAAGTGCGGGCATCCATCCGAAGAACGAGTCTGGCAGGTGCGGCAAGGTGTTGGTCGAGTCTAGCTGACGCCTGCGGGCGGCATAGAGCGACTTCCATCGCGGCCGGAGGATCTGTCGCGAACAGAGTTGGAGAGTCAGCAGACCAGGTCGGGACCAGCGTCTCACGAGGGCAGCGACTTACACAAAAGATGACAAAGGCAGATATCCCCAAGGCGAGAGAGATGACGAGCTGTACTTGGATGTCCTTGGTGCCTGGCTGAACATACTCGGAGCCGTTGCAACGCTTGTGGTCGTCATCGTCCAGGAGCTCGAAGGGGATGTCCATGGCGGGAGGAGCGGCTGCGCAGAGCTAGCTCTGCATCGGCGAGAAGCGCTCAGTGCTCTTTGTCGCGAAGGTGCGCCGCGTGGATATCGAGCTGCGACCCGAGAGCGTTGCCGATGTATGGTTCCCTGCGTGGGTGGCGGTGGTTGTGTGTGTGCGAATTGAAGCAGCAAGCAGGCTGAGATGCGTAGCCTCCTCCTTAGCTAGGATGGATAGCTAGGCTCAGGCTCTCTCACCCGTTCTAACGAGGATCCACAAGCCGGCCTGCCCGGTGACGTGATGCTTTTCTTTATCTTTCTTTAGCGCACGTGCCAGCACAGGTTACAGGGGGTTTTGATTCTGCCTTATCGCGATAAAGCGCCACTGGTGGTTCTCTGAGGCAACTTAGAAGTACCTAAATTCAACTCCCAGGCTTAGCTCTATTAAGCCCGACAACCTCGACTCTGATTGATGTCTTTGCGCCACTATTCTTTGAAGACGACCCGACTCCCACTTCAGATACCTAAGTCTACAGGTTAAAGTCCTTGTCCATGTCCTTCCCGCCTTCATGGTTGGGGTTTCTCGAGCCGTGGTATGCATAGAGCGCATCCGGTGCAGGGAGCTGCGCCACTCCATCTGGCTTCTTCATGACCTCGACGTACTTGTCCATGTCTATTGTGTTCTCCCGCCGCCATTCCGTCAGCTTCTCAAAATCGATGCACTTTCGGTTCACCGACCTGCGAGTGGTTTTTTAGTATTTCTATCCCTTGACCGTGTCCGCTTCGTGCCTGTGGCACCGAGAGAGAGAGAGAGAGAGAGAGAGAGAGAGAGAGAGAGTTGGGACGAGGCTTACATGTCGGGAAACGGATACACCTGCGTTTCAACCCAGTGCATCGTGATCAGGTTGACGTTCCCGCTGCACTGCAGCGCTTGAGCCAGCATGTCGACGCAGTGGTTGATGTGGATCTCGGTCATGGACGCGCGGGTCGCGTTGCCCATCTCCTCAGAATAGTATGCCCCGTAAGCGATGCGGCGCAGCGAATTCAGACAGTGAAGGTGGTGGTAGACATCCAGCACCGTCACGTAGGCATCATCGCCCAGGCCCCAAACACTGTCTTCGAGCTTGGCCACCGTGGACGGATCCTTGCCCATCCGTATGATGTCGGCACGAGAGACGGGCAGGACTCGCGTCAGTTCCAGCTCCTCCCAAATCTGATCGGCGGCTGCATTGGGCATCTGTCTGCCCAGGGATGGGTGCTTAGGAGGGAATAGTGTGCCGTTGAACTTCTTTATGCTACCACCAAGATCGACCATGTCGAGAATGGGGCCTGGGCAGTGTTAGTCTAGATGAATACAGAACAGTTACTCTGTTTGACTCACTGTAGCTTGATGTGCGGCGGATGTCGGCATTGCGGACGACATATCTCTCATGGAACCAGACGGAAAAGAAGACGCCCGTGAGGAAGAAGAAGACACCGTTAAGGATAGTCAGCGTGGTTAGCGTCTTGTGATTCTTCACAGCATAGTGCCGCACATAATTCCGGTGCAGGAAGCTGCGTGCCTCATCGTCATCCTCACTATGCTTAGTCTCCACGTATGACGGAACAGCTTTGGGGAGTGAGACATGCGCGCCGTTAGGCATGCTGCTTCTGTGATGTGTTGGGTGGTTGGCCCGAGGAGAGAACTTGGAAGAGAGTTCGATATTTTCGTTCTCTACTTTTTGTTCACTCCAACAGCGTCTTGTAGTTCTTGTGCTCCGAGATGTCCAACGCGAGGCCTTTGGTCACAAGACTATGACACGGCGGGAAGGTGTGATGAAGCCCAGAACCGAGAGGCACAGCTTATCTGCAGTGCTCGTTCTACGTGGAAGGCGAGAGACACATTGTTGATGAAGACTTGCGTAACCTTCTTGTTTGAGCTCTGAACTCGTAATCCTGCCGCAGACGATGTCACGTTGAGCAGAAGCCGACGGCCCGAGGTCGGCGAGTATCTCTCCTCCGGCTTTCTTACCTTCTCTTCAGAGTTTGGCGCCTTCGCTTGAGGTGGTGTACGAGTGTATGCACATGAACTCGTGGGCCAGAGTGATTGGTTTCAGGCTATCGTCCCGCAAGTGATGCAGAATGATTGTCCAAGTTGGTATTGAAGGGACTTCCATCCGAAAGCCTCAGCCCTGGTGCAGCTGTGCTTGGTGGCAACATAAAAGAACCTAAAACGACTCCTCATCGTGGTAGTTTGGGTCTTCAGTGCTCGCTATTCAGTCATTCTTCTCAACTTTGTATACGGACTTTCCGCAGAAGCTCTCGCCACACCCATACACCCACACAACATGCATACCTCCGTCATTTCCAATCTCATTGTGGCATTAGCTGCTCTGGAGGTTTCAGCTGCGCCAGCACAGGTCTGCCAATCTCTTCTCCCTACTCCAGTCTCGGATCGAATCGCTAATATACCTATCTTATGTAGCCCAAGCCCCGCGAAGGCGGCGTCGTAGAAGTCTACAGCCCCGCTACCGAGCTTCCCTATGGACCTACTGCTTTCAGAAAGATTGACGCTTCCGAGCTGGTGGCAGACGAGGCCACAGGACAGCTCTATGCACCAGTTTTCTACGCCATAGGATCCAGCCAGAAAAAAAGAATTAGGCGCCGGGCTGCTCAGCCAGTGGAAGACCAAGCCACAACAGGGCAGCTCTACTCGCCAGCTATCTATGTCTTAGAATCCACCCAGGGAAACAGGGAAACACCGTCTGTTTACAAACCGGATCTCTTCAAAAAGGTACAGCGCGCAGCGCCTGAGGCTTGACTTGTCTTGAGAGAAGGGGTGCTAGTGAATGCGTCGAGATTGATCTCACGAAGTTGATTTGGAGGTTGCTACATGTCTTTTCTTTTGGCTTTCCCTTTGTTTCAAGTCTTTACAGAGGCGACGTACACGCAATAAGGTCACTTCTGAGCAATAAAGTACCCCTACACATCTAGGCTTATCTGTATTGATTCCTTGATCATCCTGACGTGAATCTGGTGCAACGCAGTGGGCAATGTAAAACCCTCATTGCCGTTTTAAAGGCTGCTTCTACCACGAGGTGTGGCAGATACCGGCCCGCCATGGCTTCACTCAGTAGATATTGAGATCCTTGGGTCAATTGCCGAATACATTTTGACACCCCCCGAAGCAAGATTCTCCAAGAGAAAGCTTATGCGTCTATCTGTGACCTGTGATCAAGAATTGTAGTAAACCTGAAATTTTCATCAAGCACAAGCCCTTGCAATGTTGAACCATTTGGTCAGTAAATAAGGAATGAGAATCTTTGTCAATATTTTGAAAGCAAATATGGCCCTGGCTCAGTGAAAATAATAATATACACATGTTTAGTGTCATCTGTTGGTTCGGCATTTAAATCGGCCAGTGTCGACATCGCCAACCCTTTTAGTATGGCCTTTGGCCAACCCTGCATAGCTGTTAGAAACTTGTCCGAAACCGAAAGGATAGTAGTAACTAGTGCTCAACTTACATATTGCCCGCTGCTGCATACCTGGCGACGACCCAAATACCGCCCTTGCTATCCTTGTAGGCACCCATGCCTACCTTGGTCGTCGACTTCCACATGCATTGAGCTGTAATAGAAGTGCGGATTAGTAGGCGTATCACACGAGGCTCGCTGCCTGGGAGATATACTCGCAGAGCAGGGGAAAGCGGGCTTACTGTAATGACCGTAGGCGGCAAAGTTGCCCTGGGGGATAATCTCGTTGTGGTAGAGCGGCTTCTCGGCCATCCAGGCCTTGGCGGCGTCGGAGAAGGGAGCGCTCCCCCTCGACTCGTAGAACAGGTTCTCGCCGCCGACGCCAGAGTGCTGCAGCTTCTGGGTGCGCGCGAGGACCTTGGCGTAGGCGGCGGCGTCCTGGGCCAGCTTGGGGTCCCAGACAAGAGGCTTGAGCTTCTTGGAGGAGCGGCCCATGTTCTGGATGTTGAGCCCCCACCTCTGATCTGTGGTTAGAGGGACGACGCCAGCTTGGACAAAGGCGAAGTCGGTCACGAGAATGAGCAGTGCGCTCAGGAAAGCAATGAATGGAACCCGCATTGTGAGGTGATGGCAGGAAAAGAAAGGATTCGTTTCTGGAAAAGAGTGAGTGAAAGCCAAGGGAATGGAACAGTCCTCTGGTTGAAGGGGATATGAAGAAAGACCGAGTTCTGGTTTAGATCTAACAATATTTCGATGAGGTCCTCTTTCTCGTACTTGTCAGCGCCTTTCAAAAGGATCGACGTTGGCCTGTCTGAGCTGTCATTGCCGCAGTCCATCATCAAACATGCCGACCCTTTTTAAAGAAGAGGGCATTGTCAAGCATCAAAACAATGACTCGGATGGCGCGACTGGATTGTGGAGTTCCAGATCCCCATTCCTGGGAGACAAAGGGCTCTCACAAAGGCAGCGGCCCGGCGCCATGACAGCCGCTGGAATGAGACTCTAAGACCGATCCCCTTAGCGACCCCCGCCCATCAACACAAGCGCCGCGCTTTGGGCATTGGCCTGTTGGAATGTCTCAGTGCCGGAGCTCGATGGAGGACTGGACCCCGGAACGCCCTCCATTCCACGAGTCAGAGCACCGTATGCCGCTGACGTTGCGTGGGCGTTTACAGGGCATCTCCACTGCGAGCCACGCACTCTTGACCTCTTGGCTCTCTCGTGCGCGTTCCGCGAGTTGGCTGGGGCGCGTTTAGACTAGTCATGTGTGCAAGAATGATCTGGTTCCGGCCTGCGTTGCTTCTTTTTCTTCTTGAAGAAGGAAAGGGTCATACAGCTTATGTACAGCAAGCCTCTTGGCGAACAATATAGGCGGCTGACCTACCACGAACTGGCTAGACGTCAAACTCTCATTCGACGAGTGAAGCGACCGGTACGGAAGAATCTAAGACGAGTTGCCTTTTGATAGCTCGTTGACGTTGCGCAGCCTCCGCAATTTGTTTCAAGCCGTGCCGGCAAACCGCGGGCCACTGCTCCAATTACATCTTAAGCACTAGGATTTACGTATCAACAAATGAGGTCATTGATTTGATCTGGTCCCGTTTTCATCCACGAAGCCTGTTGGTATTCAAATGCAGTACCAGTACACTGAATGGAGAATGGTAAACAAGCAGAGACAACCTGGCCGAAAGAAAAGTCAACAAGATTTGACCGCAAATGCCTTGTAACTGAAATGAGCTTCTTTTCCTTTTTTCCCATCTCCCTTAGGTACATGTATCAAAGCACATGTCTCCCCAATTTGTAAATGTTCCCATGTCACCGCCCCCGGGACTTGCATAGCAGAGCTCTCAAGCTATCCGCACCTGCCTGGCATGACAAGAACCCAGGATCGCAGTTTTCGATGTCAGTAGAGGCGGCAATCTCATTTCAATCAAACTGTGGCTTTTTACTCTGCTCCACATGTGATGTTGCGTTCGTAGTGGCTTGATAAAGAGGATTCGTTTGGCACACACGAGTACGAAGAGTTTGAAGAAGGCAAATGACTCCAACGTGAGGAGCGCTGGTATTTTATACAAGAGTCAACTGGCTGGATAATCAACTCTAGGGATATTCTCTGGAGATTTGGATACAATTACCACGCAGCATCAATGGAGCTTCCACGCAGGGGCGCGGAGCCGTCCGTTCAACAGGGTTCACACCTGGCCCATCAGGGTACATGTCACCGCGACAGAAGCACGACATAGCAAAATACCTTGCAAACAGGTAATTCGATATTCAAGTACGGTGTTTAGACATAACATTTTAGTTGACAACAACTGCAGCCCAAAGCCGAAAGCTGTCATAGACCAACAAGGTTCTTCCACACAGTATCAATGTCAAGCCTCTTAAACCAGTGTGCACGCGACCCCAAAATACAACAGACGTTCCTATCGCTTTCCTTGCGATTCTGATGGGATCTCGGACGGCTACAGGAATATCTTGTGACACTTCGAGTAAAAAGATGACAGAGAATGGGTCGTCCCAGGAGGGACACATTCATGATGTGCTCATCATTGGCGCAGGGCCCGGTGGCCTCGCAGTCGCTGCCCGACTTCGTGAGCCACTTCCGGGAGCTCAATTTACCTCAGATGAACACCAGCGATACCATTGGATCCGAAAGCATGGCCGCCACGCTATGGCCATCAAGAATCGCCGATCTGGTGCAATCGAAGCACCATCCTCGCGCTCGTCAAGATCGAGCCAACGAGAGCACTTTCATGCAGACATCTATATGCTTGTTCTTGACGAGGAAGGCGACGAGTGGATGACCCGATGGAACCGATTGTTCAAAGCTTTCGGTATCCATACCCTTCGGAGCCCCATGTTCTTCCACGTAGACCCGGGAGATCGAGACGGCTTGTTGGCATACGCGTACATGCAGGGCAGAGAGGGGGAGCTGACGGAGATCGGGGGGGTTGTCGGGAAAGAACTAAGTAAACACCAGAGGAAGAAGAGAATGGGGAAGAGATCGTGTGTTCCCCTTTGCCGTATCATTGTATCCTTCAGCTAACTATTTCCAATTAAAAATTAGGATCTACGCGCCGAGCAATCCTGTCGTCGACGAACGCGAGCGCAACGACTACTTCCGACCCTCCACTCCTCTGTTTCACTCTCACTGCACCGACGTCAAAGATCGGTACCATCTGGGCAACAGTCTTGTCAATCAGGCTTCTGTACAGGATATCGTCTACGACTTCTCCCCGCTCCACCCCGAGTCTGATAAGATCTTCACCGTCACCTCGGATAAGGGTACGCAGTATGCTAGAATCGTCGTCCTCGCTGTAGGGCCGGCAAATAAGCCGTGCATCCCAGGTCTCAGTCCGGAGGACCGCATGGAAGGGGCGTGCCACACAATGCACATCCGATCCTTCCCTTCGTCTATTGTTAAAGACAGGATCAAAGCCCGCATTCCGACGAGCGTCCTGATCGTGGGTGGTGGATTGACGTCCGCCCAGATTGCGGAGAAGGCCGTGGCCTCTGGCATCTCAACGGTGTATTTGATTATGAGGGGACCAGTAAAAGGTGAGTTTGACTCGGTGGTGCCGGCTTTTGTGGCTAAAGCTGACATTCTCAGTGAAACATTTTGATATGGACCTTGACTGGGTTGGCAAGTTTCGCAACCAGAAGCAGGCAGCCTTTTGGAGTGCCGATTCTCATTCAGAGCGCCTCGACATGTACCTCCGAGCGCGAGATGGGGGTAGCATGAACCCTACCTACAAAAGGATTGTCGAGAAGCTCGGCGAAAGCGGGCGGCTCTCGCTCATGACCTTCACGACGATCGCGTCCAAAGTGTGGGACTCTTCCTCACAACAGTGGACAGTCACGGTCAGCACACGCATGCCGCGGCCAGAACCCAAGGCTGGTACCGTTCTAGACGGAGAACAGGAAATGAAACCTATCGAGGAAACTATGATGCTTCCACCGATCGACTATATCTACTTCGCGACTGGCGTTGAGACCAATTATACCACCCTTCCGTTCCTACAGAGCATGAATCGAAACTACCCGATCCCATCCGCCGGCGGCTACCCTTGCATCACGGATGACATGATGTGGAGGAAAGACGTTCCAATGTTCGTGACCGGCAGACTGGCAGCGCTGCAACTGGGACCAGGGGCCCCAAACCTCATTGGATGTAGGACGGGTGCCGAAAGAATTGCTTGGAATATTCTGGAGATCTTGAGTGGTGGGAAGACTGGCAGCGAGGATCGCCATGAGGTGGAGAGCAGAACTCGGCCGGGACGAGGTGATGAAGCCTATGCAGACCGCGAATTTAGCTATCGCACGGGCAGGGGCAACATGTTTGAGAGTCTAGAGCAGGGAGACAGTGATGAGTAGCGTTGGAAAGTATGGAAACATCTCAAAGTTGAGCTAAGTGGTGTCGGACTTGGGTCTCCGTCTCTGTTGGTATTATTAGCGTGCCAACCATCACACCGGTTGGCAGCACCACTCACGGACTAGCTGACCTTTCCTTGCTCATCTCCTGAAGCTCGGGGTGAAGCCGCTACTATTACGTTTTTTCGGTCATTTGGAATATTCACCTTCATTCTCCCGATGGCAGGCGGAGTTTGGTATCCGCCAGATACTTGTATCTCATATTGAGAGCCAAACATTATTACGGACTTGCTTTGCAAACGTTCAACAGCTCCACGGATGATTCCTAGACAAAATCCCACTTATAATAACTGTTTGGATATATAAGAAATCATGATCCTGGTTCGTTGGCATGATTGCTTCGTCCCGAAACATCACTCTCCAACACTTTATCAATACCCTGATCAAAATGTCAACCTCCTGTACCATGGCTCCCTGCAGTACCGAAGAACTCTCAACAGAGGCAGGGACAGCAGCAATGAAGATAAGCTCAAAAGAAGGGCCGATCTCGGAAAAGTTCGCAATGCTCCGCCGTCTAGTCCCTCTCGTTGCTAACGATAATATCACTCATCTAAACGCGGCATTTATGCCCCCTTTGAACTTGGTGATTCACCAACACATTCAGAGCTTCTGCTCCGGATGGCTTCACGATGTATCGCCCAAGTCAAGCTGGAAGGCCACACAAGAAGTGACAAGAGCACTGCTCGGCCGGTACCTCAACACGCAGCCGACTAACATCACGTTCACGCGGGACACCACGGAAGGAATGGGTTCATTCATGCAGAGCCTTCGACTACAGCCAGGAGACAACATCATCATTCTCGACTGCGAACATCCCAGCCAGGCTTACGGATGGCTTTCCCTCAGATCCAAGGGCATCGAGGTTCGACAGGTCGCGACACGCAGCGAGCTGAGCGGTTTCTCCACAATAGCTAGTGCTGCCACATTCGAGAAGTATGTCGATAACCGGACGAGGTGCATCGGCATCAGTTCCATCATGTTTCACAGCGGCCAGAGAAACGACGTTGCCGACATCTGTGCAAAGTATCGACCTAGAGGCGTCCATGTACTTGTGGATCTCACCCAGCATGTCGGCTTCGCCAACGTTGACGTTGAGGCTCTTGGTGTCTCTGCAGCAGCCTTCAGCCTCCACAAAGGGCTCGGCTGCCCGTTGGGTTTCGCTGCGCTCTACATCTCAAAGACTTTCATCGACTCTGAGGATCCCCAACCGCCCATCGTCGGGTTCGGGGCCGTGGGGGACCCGACCGAGGACTTTCTGGTATCGGATGGTCCTATCACTTTTCATGCATCGGCCCGCAGGTTCGAGCATGCCAATAGCAACTTTCTTGCAGCGATTGCCGCCCAAGCTGCTCTACAGCTCTACCTCGATGGCATGGGCCCAGATGATGTGGAACAGCATCTTTACAGTCTTGGCGATGCGTTGAGAGGGCGGTGCAAAGCCATTGGCGTTGAGCTCGCCGGACCATCACTTCGTGCACACCACGCACCGCACCTGTACCTCCTCAAGTTGTATGGCGACCAGTGGACGAATCACTTCAAGGTACACAATGTGGCCCTAACATCGTTCAGATGGGGCGTCCGGGTTTCGTTTGGGTTTTACAGCAGTCTGGAGGATGTGGAGCGACTCGTGGATGTCATTCAGCTGGGCCTCGAGAGTGGTCTTCCGAAGTAACTTGGAAAACAGCACACGACGCAGGGAAACAGTATGTAGACAAAACTACTTGACGGCTAATGATTGTGCGCTGAAATCAATGAAACTAAAGATCACTCAAGATCTCTGTCCCGGCAATGCTATCCTTTCCAACCTCTCTGACAATCTCGTCGCTAGACTCCTTGACTCCCTCTGTGATCGCCTGCAGATTCTGCCAATCATTCAATGTAGCTGGAAGGCTAAGAGTTGTAATCTCTCCATCAATCTCCTCAACCCGCTTGTCCAGTGTCTTGAAGAAGTCATCCATCTGCTTCTCTGCCAGTTCTCTAATCGCCTGGGAGCTTTCATTTGCAGTCTTCTCGAGAGATTGCTGTGCTCTCTCCTGCTCTTCCGGGCCGGCGCTCAGGGAAAGAGTGGCCGCCATGCGGAGACAGGGGTTGAGGTGCTCATCCGCAATCTGCTGGTACATGTGCGCGGAGTCCACGATGAAGCTGAAGTGGCCACGCAAGGTGATTACCGCCTCACGGATAATCTTTACATGGCCCTGGATGGAGGCGAGGGTAAACTTCTCATCGGGCCCGGTCATGCTGCCCCTGATCATGCCGAGATACTGTTGACCAGCACCTTTGCATTGAATGGATATGACGTTTGCCAGAATGCTGAAGAAGTTGGCCAGTCGCTGTACTAGTGCCTTCATCTCTGACAGGATGTCACTCGACTTCAGCAGAAGCTTCTTGGTATCCTCCAGCGTAGCCCGCTGAGCCCTAAGCTGCTTCATGGTCCGGGAGATCTCCACCAGCTTGGCTTGTGCTTCAAGTTGAAGCTCAGTAGTCCTTTCAAAGTTCTGGCGGGCCTCATTCATGGCTCTCCGCTTGATAAGAAGGGTTTGGTGTCGTTCGTGCAGAACTCTGGAATAGCTCGAGGCACCCGGAGCTTGACCGACAATTGGCATCTCCAGGGTTGTTCCGAAGCCTTGCCCTGGCTGGGAAGCTGCGAAGGCTCGAAGTCTGGTAGCCTTGGAACAAAGAGTCTTAAATGTGTTGTGCCAGGCATCTTTCTGCTCTTTACAGGGGCACCTGGTTTGGACTTCTCGCTAGTGTAGTATTTCGCCATGGCCGCTGTGATCTTGAGTGCCTCGTCCAGGACGTAGCTAGCATCACGAGTATGATTGCTCTCAAAGCCGCTCAGTCCGTCCCTCAGCGCTTCAAGCTTGTTGGTGTTGGCTTGCAGTACGGCGCCAGTGTTCTGACTGAGTGTGGATTCATTCTCAGTCAGCATTCGCTGGATCTCGCGCAACTGCGCTTCAATCGACTCAGCGGCGAGGAGAGCTGGATCAATTCCGACACTCCGACAAGTTTCCAGGCGACGTCTAGGAGGGGGGCTTTGTATATTGCCTTCATTGATCAACGAGTCACCGGGGTTGACTGGCGGCGCTGAGCCGAGTCCTCCGAAAGTCCCAATAGAACTCGCTGCCCTTGTCACCTCGATGACCATCAATGGCGCCGCCTTGAAGACGTTGATCGTTGCGTTAACGAGGCCACTGACACTTCTTCCAAAGCCATTGGCCGCAGCCGTAGCAAGAGCTGAACGTTCTACCAGCATATGCATGAGATATCAGCGGTGAGCTCGTCTCCTCGTCTCTGAACGGGATCTGTGGGGCTAGGGTGAATTGCAATTGAGATGGGTAGTTCAGAATGAAGATGAACGACTCACCTCCCTTATTAGATGTCTTCTGGTATTGAGCTCTTGCCTCGTTGAACTCCTCCTCCGCATCCTTGACTCTAGCCTTGTACACAGAGAGAGCATTATTCTGTATTTCCTGTTCTTCCTCGGCCTTCATTGCCTGGACAGTCATTCTATCCTTTTCCATCTCGGCACGTTCTGTCGGCGTGTTAGCCCTAGCCTGGAACGTCTGCGCACTACAGGATAAACTTGTGTCTTACCTGCCTCGTCTGCCATCGCCAGGTTGACCTCATCTGCACAATGCACAAGAACATCGAACTGCTCCTCGATCTGCTTTGCCCTGTCCGCACACGCCTGAATTTCCTTTTCAAGGCAGTCCATAGAGTTGATAAGGTTCGCTCGAGCCAACCTCGGATCTTGGAGACACATGAGGATCATTGCGACCTGTCCAGGGTTAGTTAGTGATGCTGCTCGTCTAAGAATGAGGAGATGGAACGGGGATAACTTACATGACCAGTCCTGCCAAACATGACATTGGCCTGCATTCTGTTGATGCGCAGGTTTTTCTCCGCGAGATCAAAAGCATTAGAGGCTTGCTGCACAATTTGGACCACGGCGCTTGAGAGGCTGCTTCGTCTGAGCAAGTATTAACACGTCTGGCCCGCCCAAAGCGCTCCCCAGATTGAAGAGATAGATGACCCTCACTGAAGGTGTTTAAATCCACCACGAGGCTCTGTTAGACGAATGCGGAGTGCGTGGTCCGAGAAGGCCAGCAGTCTGATCTGTCCGAGGAGGCTGATAGCTGTGGGAGCCGTCATGAGCATATTGGGAATGTTCTGGTTCTGGCCCAAGCTCAGCTTGAGGTCCTGCTGCAGCCGCTGGGCGGCCTCTTGTCGAGCGACAAGATCGTCTTCATGCTTGACAAGTTCGGTCATATTGAGTGTGGATTTGTTGTCAAAGTCTTTGAGCCGAAATGTAGCCCACTGGCATGCGAGACGGAAACGGGCAGGCACTCGAGGTAATGAAGGAACAGCCTCTCACTGTGGTAGAAAGACCAAATTGGACCATTGAACGGCACTAATTGCCGTCTGCAGTGTAACTTGCACGTGGCTGAGTGACTCTTTCTTCATTTCTTTGCCGCTCCCAACAGCTCTCAATCGCTGTTAACTGGATGCCTGATGTTGAATCTGCACTCTTCCATAGTATGTGTGTAAAGACGCTTGATGTTTGTGGCCGCACAACGTGAGACAGACGGGAAGGACTTTGTAGCCCAATGGGCACAGCCCCGATTGACATTTGATATGGTGAGGAATCATATCCCCAGGGTTCTCTTTTGTCCGTTTACACTAGTTCACCTGACACCTACCCACCACACGACGCGATGGAATCCCAGGCTCGAGTGCTGGAGCAAGTGTCTGCATTATCTTTGCAATGCACAGAGCATCTCCAAGAGGCCATCGTACTGAGAGCTGAAGCAAATCATCTCCAACAATTGTTAGATTCGCAAGTGAGTCGCTTGCAGCAGACGTTCCGCGAGCTTCTGCCCAGCGTTCTGGACCTGCTACTGACAGAAAAGATACCAGTCAGTCAATGTTGATTCATGATGTGCTAACTGGATTTTGCTAATCAACTGATCTCCCTCATCAGCGCCTCAGAAAAACCAGACCCTGGTCTAGGCTTCTCGTACGCTTGATCTTCCGACGCAGGCGACCTCGGCGATTGGACTTAAGCATCGTGGAAAATTTCATATCAGCTCTTCGTGCGGTCGAGAGCAATCTGCAAACCCTGAAGGCCAAGGCCAATCGTAAGGAGATTGACGCGGCTCACCTCGCTCACGAGGCCAAGCTGCTTAACGACCAATGCCATTCAATTCGCGAACTAGTCTTGGATGAGCAAACGGAAACGCAAGCTGCCTTGTTCGAAACGACTCGAGCTATCAGTCACAGCGCCCAAGAGCTCCAAGAAAACGAAAAGAACTCGTCCGAGGCTTTGGCTGAGGCAATGCGCCGCGAGGGTAAAGCCGAAGGCAACAGAAAGGTGTGCTTTGCAGTCTTTTGGAAGATTGCGCGCACGCATGCTGACTGTAGAGTGTGTTGCAGTTTCGCAAGGTGGCTGTCTGGATACCAGTCTTCAATATCTTTGCCGATACTACTGCTAAACTGCTGGAGAGGTAAGCCTTGTCTGTGCTCTTGTGGTCTGTCAAAAGGTACCTTTTTACGATTGTATTAGGAGGAACACAAAGAAGGCTGAAGGCTATCGAGCCCAAGTCGCGAGTCTCGAAATTGAGTTCCGAGAAAAGTCAAGGCACAAGGCTGCGCTACAATCAAGGTCGGCGCAACTTGATGACGTGCTTGGGGTTCTTGCTGTGGCTTGGATGAAGGCCGATGAAACGGCTAAGCAGTCCCAAGAGACAGAATCTGAGGCCATCCGTCTGGCCGACCAGTACTGTCAGATTGCCACAAGCATTAGGACCGTCTTGCATGAGGTCGGCAAATTGCCAAGCGGCAGAGTCGCGTCTCGAGACTGGCAACTGTTGCGATACGATGCACTTACAGCTCTAAGGGGGGTATTAGGAGTCCTTCTGCAGAGGAATACTGCTGGTGTGGAATGCCTCTTAGTCACTCAGGCAATTGAGAATGGTCTGAGTCGCGTGCGAGAGGAGGAGCTGGATTCGCATGCACAATCGTAGTCTCATCTATCACTTCTCAGTTCAATGTTCTTCACATCTGCCCGTAATCCCACTTGTAACACTTGCTCCCAATCGTGTCAAAGTTTTGAACGACTCCAGCTCACAGGCCGTAAATCTTCAAGTCATCGCTCATTCCCGGCTTGGTAAACACAGCTCCGAGAACGTTGCCAAACACTTTGAGCCTATGAAGCCCGCGGTCCACGAACCCAAGTCTCAAAAAGACGGCCTTTGATGCCTCGTAGTCAGGGCTGAACAGCCCCAGCACATCCTTGACGCCTTTTTCCGTCTCTACATACTGGAGCAGCGCTCTGGAGGCCTCGGTTGCGATCCCTCGCTTGGTATACTCGGGCAGCACGGCGAAACCTAGATCAGGCACCGAGTAGCAGTTCGGTGGTTGACCCCGCATGAGCGACACGGTGCCGACATGTACGCATGCCTCCAAAAGATCTGGAAAGCTGTTGTTCGCTGTTGTGTAAGTAGTCGGCTTCAGGCTGACAAGGTAGGTGCCGAATCCGTTCCGCTCGTGTTCGTCTACGAAGCGCCCCTCAAGGAGCTCACGCGCCGCCTCGACGGCGGTGATGGACGTTGGTTTGCCGCCTATGGAGGCAATGAATTCGGGAGTGTTGTACAGCCTGACCAGGAACTCACAATGAGAGTCCAAGTCTGGCTGGAAGTACGAGAGGTACAGTCTGTCGGACTCAATAAAGAAGTTCAAGTCGCTCATGGTGGACCATATCTGAGCATGTATGTTGGCCTTCGAAGCTGACCTATGCAACCGCGGGTTAGCTAAATAAAGTGGCATGCTGCATGACTAACTCCACCCCGAGTCAGCTGCAAGACAAGAGCCTAATTTGTCCAGCACGACAGCAGGAAAAATCTAAAGAGAGGCCATGAATAGGGGATACTTCATGAGATACTCAGCAACTGCTGGAGATATTCCCGATCAAATCTCGCTAAAGCGGTTCTGTTGCGTCTCAAAGATGACCCAACTACCTCTAGGAAAGCAGACAGCTTTATCCAAGATCTGTAGGAGTGACTGTCTTGCTGGGTTCCAGTTCGTCATTCAGTTTGGCTGGTTTTGATCTCTTATGTGATATTTGTCAGGTGTTGTCATTCACCTCTAGATAGAGAAAGCTACACTACGTGGTCGTTCATAAAATACATTCGGTTTAGACAGCGGGATAGCCCTTCCAAGTTCCTAAGCAAGGGCATGCATCGTTAGCATTGAAGTATCTCTTCAAGAACTTCCGTCCACTATCCTGACCCCCGCTTGCCAACAACTTGATAGCATCAGCCTTCACTGCCAACAAGCATAACACAGAGACATAAGGGACCAAACGGTCCGGATCAGTACAAAAGGGTCCCTGTTAAAACAACGCACGCACAGCTCGGCTGGGGCCGGTTACGAAACGAGCACGAGGAAGCAGGGATGATATTCCCGCGCCCCAATCACTATTCACCAAGCTCAAGTGATCGCATCAATCCCGGTACGTCAGTGCAACCTCAGACCACATTTCCCACATTCGCGCCAATTGGGCGGCTCGGCCAACGACATGGATAACGGGTTGGATGGTTGGCCCCCTCTTCCTGCACATGAATGCCACAGAACGGGTTGTCCGTGCTGGTAAACCTGGCACGGATCTTGAGGGTAGCGAGGACTCGTACTTTCCAACATACTTCGCAAGTCGTACCGCGAAGTTGCGGGTGCGTAATATTCCAGGCCAGAACGTACACTAGGCGATCAAGCACCACGAGGCTTTGAAGCATACTGCATACACACCTCCATACACCACATACCATACACCATGGGCGCAGACAGAGACACCACAGCCACGACGACGGACGCGCCCATCGCGGCGGCCACCGAGCCCGTGCTCGACGACGAGCTCGAGCTCGCCGAGACGGGCTCGAGCGCATCGACGTCCATCACCTCGAGCATCTACAAACACGCGTACGAGAACGGCCGCCGCTTCCACAGCTACAAGTACGGGCGGTACCCGCTGCCCAACGACGACGCCGAGCAGCAGCGCGAGGACATCAAGCACGCAATGATGCTCGAGGTCACGGACGGCAAGCTGTACTATGCACCCATCAGTTCCGACTCGCAGCGGATATTAGACGTAGGGACGGGCACGGGAATATGGGCCATTGAGAGTGGGTGATTGATTGATTTCCCCAGAGACATTCAGCATCTACTCGGCTAGGATCAAGATGTGCGTGGGCACGGCTGACCTGATCGCTGTGAACCAGTGGCGGACATGATGCCCAGCGCAGAAGTCCTCGGGATCGACCTGTCTCCCATACAGCCGCAGTGGGTGCCCCCCAACTGCAAGTTCATGGTCGATGACGCGGAGGAGGAGTGGCTCAACGGCGACGACTACGACATGGTCCACATGCGCACCATGGCGTCCACCCTGAAAGACGTACCCAAGACACTAGGCTACGCCTTCAAGTATGTATTGGCTTCAACCCTCAGATCTTACAAATCGCGGTCGGCTAATAGGTGGTGCTCTTGGGTAGGTCCCTAAAGCCCGGCGCATGGCTAGAGATGCAGGAGATCCACGGCTGGGCCAACTGCGACGACGGCACCATGCCCGAGGACGACCCGCTGTACAAGTTCTACGTCACGGCCGGCGACGCCTTCCGCTCCTTCGGCATGAACCTGGCGCTGGCCAAGGACCTGCGGCCGCTGATCGAGGAGGCCGGCTTCGTCAACATCCAGTGCATCGTGAAAAAGGTGCCCGTCGGACCCTGGCCCAAGGACCGGACCCTGCGCGTGGCCGGCCTGTACTGTCGACAGGCCATCCTGGAACTGATCCCCGCCATGGTGGGCAAGCCCTTCCAGGCCCTGGGGATGAGCAAGGCCGAGGCCGAGATGCTGGGTTTGGACGTCAGGAAGGCACTCAAGGACATGTCGAAGCATCGCTACCTGAATTTCTACTTCTGGATTGCGCAGAAGCCAGAATCTCCAACATCATGACGATTGCTTTAACCCATGATTTTGTTTCGGATCATCCCTAAATCATAGCGAGAGCGTCGTTGGAGATGGCTGCTTTGCGACTTGACAGGAGAGGTATTCTTCATGAAGAGCACGTACGCTAATTAGCAAAGCCTTTTACTCATCAACTAACGTCTCAAATCTAAAAAGAGTCATACTTCATGACACGGGTGCAGAGTACAAGATCATTAAGTCATTGTGTCATTGGAATTGTCATCACACGCGATGTCAGACAACAATCCTCCCCTCCAAACCTCTCCCTTCGCTCTCGAGCACCAGTGGCCCACCGCCGGGTCCGCTCGCATCCAAGCTCACCGTCACCCTCGCCCGGTCGGCGACCACCCTGACAGTCTCACCCAGGTTGCGATGATCCGTATCAGAGGCGTGTGCAAAGGTATGCTCGTCCAAACCTCCGCCCGTGGAATGTACCTCGCGAATATCCACCGTCGGGTAGGGCAAGTATCCCTCGCGGAGCGGGATCAGTAGCAAGGGTATGTCTGCCTCGGTGTCGGGCGTCGAGCTCATGCCCTCGCCGCCTTCTGCATTCTGTGGTGCGGGGATGACGAAGTGTCCCTTCCGCCTCCCGCTCAGCAGCCACGTATCAGCAGGGGCAGATACCTCGTAGCTGAACTCGAGGTCCGTCGAGTTGGGGGGCAGAACAACGCCCGTCTCAGACGACCCAGTATCCCAGATGCGTGTCCATTTGAGGTGGAGAGTAGCAGGAATGAGCTGGTTCACGCACACGGTTTCTGGTTCTAGTAGGTCCGTGTTGGTGCCATCGAGCAGAGATGGAACGCCTTCTTGCAGCCGTATGTCGGCAGTGTGGACTATGGTCAACGACGGGATGTCAACAGGTATCAGAATAGTCTGAAGCTCACTCTCGTCTGGGTCTGTTTCCAAGAGAGGAAGTTTCGGGTGCTTCCTCTGCCATTCTCTGATGAAGTCTGCCGCTGCCTGTGACAGATCCGAACCGTCCAGTGGAGAGCATCCCAGGCCTGTAAAATATCGTTCCCAATGAACGTTCGCCAGGAAAGCGGTGGAGAATTCACCGAGAAGTGTGACACGCTCAAGGTCATCTCCAGACCAGCCTTTCTGAATGTGTTGGACTACAGTACTGGTTAGAAGCCGCGATAGATCCGATAGGGGGGTGTCGCTGCTCAGTTCCTCGGAAAGAGATTTCTCGACAAGTGACGAGAGCTCCTCCTGAACCACACTGTAATAAAGCTTGAGATACATAGTCTTCTTCGCCTTTGACTTGATCTGGTCGTGTCTCCGCGTAACTTTGTAGAGTAGACCGGCAGGCTGTTTCGGAAAGATCGTTATTGGTCTATCAGGTGCGGTTCCAAAGTGTGATTCGAATATGTCTGAGTCCAGAAGCTCACTCCGGTAAAGCCTCAAAGGGCTCGCAGTGGCTGTGGACACCGTGAAGCGCTCGAAAAGCGCGGCGTGTTTGAACACGTCCTGGACGTTGACCCCCAGTGCGAGTCCCACGTTCACTGACGGTGTCTTGGAGAATGTGAAGCTTCCATGCTCGGTCGAGTATGTAACATCGACTCTCACAGACACACTGACAACATCCTGGTCAGTGGTGAAGGGGAACTGTATCTTCACAGATGTTCCGGCCGGGAGGGACTTGAAGTTGAATAGACTTCCCTCGGTGGGTTTGAGAGGCTTTCCTTCCCCGTTTTCGACTACCTTCGTCTCGCTTGTCAATAGACGCAGCCCGCCAGTAGCTGGCTTGACGCGCAGTTCACAGTTGGTAACCTCGTTCCAGCCACTCAGGAGTTCCAAGTCCAAGCAGTTGTTCTTGTCCAGTTGCATGTGTCTCGCGGAAGACATGCGAACGTCGAAAGCGCCAGATCGTTGGTACAGAGTAATGCGTGGATGTCGCAAGACATGGCTTGGGCTGAGCGTCGCTGTCTGCGTTGTATCCCGGTCGTGGACAAGACAGAGCTTGCCGCTGGACAAGCGCACCTGAGCAACCTCATAAATGCCAGGCACAATCACCTATGAATGTCAGAAATTAAAGGTCTTATCTGCACACGGGACAAACTCACATTGCTATGTAGCTGTATCTTGTTCTTGCCTGGTGACAACTTCAAAGGGCTCGTGCTCTCCACCCAGACCTCACGGGTCGCATTGCCCGCGTGGCCAACGAGGCGCACTTTTGCGTGGTCGACACCGAGCTCGTCCACAAGTAGGCTGTGCAGCTGGAGCGTGATCGAGAAGCTGTCTTGCCTATCCTGATAGACAGGAGCACCTTCGATGTCAATGTTGGTGAAAAGGGTGGTCAGAGGAATATATTCATCCTCTGGCAGCTCCTTCGATGCCTCGATAAGCTCGTCCAAAACTCCCCGAATGGCATCTTTGTCTGGATAGGTCGGCCTTACGGTACGGCCGATCCTCAGCGCTGTTTTGTCGTTGATGCGCTCCCGTTCGGCCATGGCAGCCTTGGTCAGAAGCTTCAGTGCAGCCCTGACAAAGTCAGGCTTGCGTTGCAGGCGCTGCAGGCATTTGGAATACATGACTAACATGGACAATTCCAGGAGAGTCCATCCACTCTCTCCAAAAAAGGGCGTGCTCTGGTAGAAGCACTCCCTTGCCCCCGAATAATCACCCAGGTGATATTTGAGCACGGCGAGATCAGCCATGTTTGCATTAACGGAATGAATATGGCCGGCAACGTTGTAGTGCCGCAGTGCCTTGTCCGTGAGTGTTTCGTAAAGTCTGTAGAAATCCTCCTTGTTGTCAAGAGCTGTGCGAAGCAGGCGGTTATCAAACCCAGCAACGGTGTGAAATGCATCTCTAGTCATAGGCATCGTCTCTTTGAGCTCAGAGGCGGCAGCCACCTCGTCGTCAAGGTTGATTTCGTCCATTTCTTCTACACCAGTCTCGCCGACAATGGGCACAGATACCCAGCCGTCACTCCAGCCTCGCTTCTTGCCGCATTCCTCGAGAATGTTGCGGGACAGCGCGTAGAGCTCCGCCCTCCTAGCGGCGAGGTCCTCCAGTCCGGCCTTAAGGAAATGCGAGGACGTCTTTTCGGGGCCTGGCACGGAGTTTCGACGGCCTGTGCCTCCGGGGAATACACCGGGGCTAGGAGGAGGTCTACTACCGGGCCTAACGTTTAGGGACGAGCTTCTAGCGGGATGCATCATGGTCTTGGGTTCCGGTATGGAGGCTTTAGGTTCGTGGGCGTCCTTGGGCGATGCAAGCGTCGATGGTGGGATGGGCAAAGCCTTTGTGGATGTCTGAGCAAGAACTTGTTGCGCAATAGAGAACGCATACGAGGTTACGATGTTGTCGACGACCTCTGCGAGCGCAGCTTCAGTCGGCACATCGGGACCAAGTTCCGCTGTGTGGAAGTCCTTATCAGCGATGGCGGCGAGGATGTCCTGGCGCATCAATTGAGAAAGGGCAGGAATGAACTCAAGCGTTCTCCTGCAGATCTCTGCCAGCATGGAGAGATTTTCTGTTTCGTCGGTCGCCTTCGGAAGGGGGACGTTGGAGGCGACGCCGCAAAGGACAGACTCTTGTTGCTCCTTAAGCTTGGCGAGTAGCTCTTCCCGAGATGACCAAGCGTTGCCTAGGCGCAGGAGGAGGGCGATCTGGCGCGAGAAGATGTAACAGCGAAAATCGAATACCGACACATTGTTTGCCAGGATCATCTCACGGTACTGCTTTTTGGTCGAGCTGATGGGGATGTCCTCCACATAGTCGGTAGACATCTTGTCTTTGGACTGTAAATCGACGGTCTCCTCGTCGCCTTCGTATTCGATGTTGCCATGCACAATGGAGGCCACAGCTTTCTGCGCCATCTTCTTCAAATCATCAGTGTAGTTCAGGAGCGAGCCCCCATGGGTTGTGGCCGAGCCCGCGACTGTTTGTTCTTGGACGATGGTATCTAGACCAACACTGAGCTCGTCGTATCCGACCAAGGCATCTTCGACCAGGCCCACGCTCTCGAACCCTCGAGCGAGGCCTTCTTTGAGGATGAAAAAAGTGCAGAAATTCCAGCCGGGGAGACTGCGCTGGGTGTCCTTCTCTCGGATATCCTCCTCGTATTGCCCGACACGCTTGTCGAAACTCGAGAGGATTAGGTCCTTCATCTTGTCGATCAGCTCAGTCCAGGCATTTTCAGCATCCTTCTCGTTCTCAGAATAACCAGTCGGTACTGCGGGGACTACGCGCGGCAACATATCGTACGGCACATCATTGACGCCAATACGAATCTGGGCAACTCGATCGACGGAGACCTTGCCGCTGCTGTTGAAATCGGCACGAAGCTTCTCGAGGAGCGTCGAGGAGCTCTTGCCCCATCGTGACGACGTTTTGGTCAGATCTGGGTTTGACGAACCATCCGGAGCCTTTCCACTAATTCGGGGTTGAGTGGCCGCCACTGTGTTCGGGATCACAACGTGTATGATCATCAGCTCGAAAGAATCATGGTTTGCTGCAGCGCCTGACTTCTTCAGGGCAGAGACTGATGATGTATTGCTCTTGATCCACTCTCGTATCTCGCCGCGGACTTGGGATTTGTAAGAGTCATTGTCGTCGCATCGTACCAGCAGCACCTTGAGATACGGAGTCCTCCTCAACCCTGGGATCTGGTGCCGTTGCTCTTTACCAACAGCAGCCTTGGTGGCAAGGGCAGGATTCGAACCGACCGTCTCAGTAGAGGCAGCGCGACCCCCTATGGACGCGGTCTGGAAGCCATCGTCGCGGCCGGATGCGCTGCCGGAGACACTTCCAGAGCGAGGCTGCGCGCCGGGGGTGACTGCAGGGGAGGTGACGGAAAAAGGATCGCTCTGTGCGGCAGTGAGCTCGACATGAAGAGTATCGATCGATCGTAGAGGTCCAGCATGTGATTGCCAATGGAGGTGCCTCAAGGGCAGTCGAGGAATGAGGCCCGGGGCGAGCAGTCGGTAGACATCGTGAGGATCGGAGTACTCGACTGATGGGACAAGCTGCGGTCAGTGTTTGGGTAGGAGCTGTAGAGACGGAGAGCTATGTCTCCAGGGTCAAGGAGGATCATACCCGTGACTTTTGAGGTCGAAAAGGGCTGTTCCATGGCGAAACAGCTAGGGCCAGCCTAACGCATCATCAGATGTGGTTTCAAGTGAAAAAAAGGAAAGCTTATCACTGGTTCGCGATCCTAGTTGACATTGTGGTGTTGGTGTCCATTCCCCAGAGACCAAAAGGCCAAGCTCCTGGCACGCGTATCGATTGTGGCGCACAGACCGCCTAAGGAGCAGGCCAAGTGGGGAGGGCCCCCTGAAGCAACGCCCGAAGCTAGCGACCGGTGCAAGGCGGTGAAAACCCACGGTGGGTGGTTGATTGGCCACCGCCTGCTGTAATTCCCCGACGGAGGGGTTGAAGGCCGGCAGAAAAGGGCCAAAATTTAGAGGGGCATCAAGCAATCCATCATCTGGGAATGGCGACATTCATCTCACATCCTCTCTTTGATCTGCGAGGATTCCGTTTGCGATTTTCTTCTACAGGATCGGTCTCTCTCTCTCTCTCTCTCTCTCTCTCTCTCTCTCCTATTTGCCTACTGAACCTCGCGCCCAATCTTCCCAAACTTTCTCGCAATGACGAGCTTGCAGGCCATCCGCTACTCGCGGGGCAAGCTCGAGGTCCTGGACCAGCTGAGGCTGCCGCATGAGCACCACTACGATGTCATCTCGACAAGCGAGGAGGCCTTTGACTGCATCAAGTCTATGCGCGTTCGAGGTAATTGACACGCTGAGCCCATAGCTACCAATGACAGCTACTAAACTGGTCAGGTGCACCCGCCATTGCCATTGTCGCAAGTCTGGCGCATGCCGTCGAGCTGGAGAATGGCAGCTACAGTAAGCAGAGACCCTGTCCGCCCGGGCGCGACTTGCACAGCTCTAACTCGTCGACACAGCCGCGACCACCGCCGACGAAATGATTGCATACATCGACTCCCGCCTCGACTTCCTCAAAGAGAGCCGCCCCACGGCCGTCGACCTCTCCAACGCCATCACCCTCCTCAAGCTGGCCGTGCGCGAGGCCCAGATCAAGAGCCTCGACCACCCCGAAGCCCGCGCCGCCATCACCAAGGCCTATATTGAGGCGGCCGAGAACATTCTAGAGAAGGATCTGCTCACAAATCTGTCCATCGGCGACTTTGGCGCAAACTGGCTCCAGGGCCAGCATCATGCCACCCCCGAGCGCAAGATTTCCGTCCTGACGCACTGCAACACCGGCTCCCTTGCGACGTCCGGCCACGGCACCGCTCTGGGAATCATCCGTTCCCTGCACGAGCGCAACCTACTTCTCCACGCCTACTGCACCGAAACTCGCCCATACAACCAGGGCAGCAGGCTTACCTCGTTCGAGCTCGTCTTTGAGGGCATTCCGAGCACGCTCATAACCGACTCGATGGCGGCCGCGCTCTTCGCCCTCCAGAAGGAGCAGATGAACATTGGAGCGGTCATTGTGGGCGCCGACAGAGTAGTGCGCAACGGAGACACGGCCAATAAGGTGGGCACTTATGCGCTGGCGGTCCTGGCGCGATACCACGGTATCAAGTTTGTTGTCGCAGCACCGACCACGAGCATCGACCTCGAGACCGAGAGCGGGCGGGGAATCAAGATTGAGGAGCGCAAGCGCGAGGAGCTTACGCAAATTGCCGGCGCCGTGGTCAATCCGGACGGCAGCGTCGACACACAGAAGACCGCCAAGGTAGCCATCGCGGACCAGCGAATCAACGTCTGGAACCCAGCCTTTGATGTGACGCCCTTTGAGTTGATTGACGCCATCGTCACCGAAAAGGGAACTGTGGTCAAGAGCAAGGACGGTGCTTTTGACTTCAGGGACGTGATGCCTGAGAGGTGGGCCAAGATGGTCGGTCAATGATGAATGAACGCTGGAAAAGATTAACATTATGCATGATCTAAATCTAATCTATCCGACTATAGCTCAACGCTTGACTTGCTGTCTCCCAGCACATGCTTGATAAGTTTCTTGTAGTCTTCAACGGCCTTCTCAATGCTGCCAACCTTGAGTGCCTCGTGATCCGAGTGGGCAACAAAGATGTTGCCAGGGCCGTAGAGATACTTCTTAAAGCCCTCACCGCCATCGAAGTTTGGCAGATCGGTGCCATAGTTGACGATGAGGGTCTCGAATCCTAGAAACGAGATGTCAGTCAAGAACAGACCTGTGACCGGGGCTTTGCCACACAAATCTTACCATCGACCTCACAGTCACAGTACACAGCACCGTATCCGTTCTCGCACTCGGCGCTCAGGGCCTCCGGGTCGACCCTCTTGAGGATCTCGTCCAGCTTGTCGATAATGGCCTTTTGCCCGCCGACCTGCGGGCCCGTGGCGATGCGGAACGCCAGCTTGGCCACGGCGTCCTGAGGCACCACGTTGGCCGCCACGCCGCCCTCGAGCACGCCAATGTTGACCGTCGTGTTGCCGAAGCGCTCGCTGCCGTCAAACTCGGTGCTCATGATCTCCATCATCGCCCTGACCAGCACCTCGTTGGCGCTCTTGCCGAGCCACGGATAGCCCGAGTGCGCGGCCTTGCCCCTGGCCCGGATGGTGCACGCCATGTGGCCCTTGTGCCCGCAGGCCAGCTTGTTGACGGTCGGCTCGCCAAAGATGCCGGCCTCGAGGCCGAGGGGAGGGTCCATGGCGGCAACAAGGTTGGAGAAGGCGCGCATGCCGTCGCCCGTCACCTCCTCGCCAACGACAAAGGCCAGCATCACGTCCTCGGCGTTGATCTCCTTGTTCCGCACCAGCTCCTCCACGGCGACAACCTGCGCGGCCAGGCTGCTCTTGTCATCGACGCTTCCGCGGCCCCGGATCTCCGTGTCGGAGGTGATCTCGCCATCGTCGATCGAGTACGGGATGTACGGCGGCACCGTGTCGATGTGCGACGACACGACGAGTCGGGGGTTCTTGGGCCGATGCTTGTCGCCGCCACGCCAGGCGACGACGTTGAAGCGCTCGAGGTTGTCGAAGCGTTCGGTGGGCGGGAGGGTCTGGTTGACGGCCGTGTAGCCGAGGTCGGTCAGGTAGTCGATCACGAACTCGCCGACCTGCTTCTCGTTGCCCGTGATGGAGTGTATGTCGACGAGGTCCTTGAGGAAGGAGAGCAGCTCGTCGCGGTAAGCCGGTGCATTCTCTTGGTGTGTCGCTGCAATTGCGCCGCCCAGAAGGCACGCAGACGCAAGGACGTGGCCGGACCGCATTGTGCAACCTTCCGCCCGAGACAAAAGGAATAACACCAGTGACAGCAGCTCGAGACAAAACAACCCGAAGTCGGACGAGCAGAAGCTGGGGCTTATCAATGCAGCCAGCCTAGAGAACTGACTGGAGCTTAAGCTGCCGCCCCCGCATCAGCCAAGAGGGCCAACTCCACTCCCTGTCGCAACAGGCTCGCATCAACTTGCCTGCGCTTCAACTTAGCGCTGACTAGCTAAAAGAGCTCCCCAAAGTGGCCCCCAGGTCCTTGTAGCTGCAGACGAGTTGCCAAAATAAGTCTGGTCTGCTACATGATCAGCGTAGATCGGTCAACTCAACTGCGTTTGTCACTTTCTGTGCGGTATCAAAGCTCGGGAATGAATTACGTGTGGAAATCGACCCGGGTGATAAAGGTGTTCATTGCGGAGTCAAGATCTTCAAGCTACCACTTGCTCTTTCATCTGAAGAGAATCTCGTACTCATCAAGGACAGTTGATATAGTTGTCATAAGTAACTGGCAACTTACACCAGGATATAATCCCCGAACATTTGTCGGGGCCATTCAGAACTAAATTAATCCTTAAAATAGCGAGGCAAGGAGGAATAGCTCATCGTCAAGGCTACCTCTCCATTAAAAAGACAAGTACAAACTGACCAGCCGAGTTATCGTCCTAAGGAGTCTTGTATTGTAACTCTCAAGTGTCTTGATTAATAGGGGAACGCCTCAAATCGTCCTATCAAACGTGAGGTGAAGTCGAACTGCGCCGCAGTCACACTCTGAAGCTCACCATTCTACCTTGATGATAACGCACCTTTTTCAAGAATGGTCGTACGAAGGTCTGGTCCGCCAACTAATTCTATTGTAGAGGTAGACTGGAAGTAATCGGTAGGCACATGAAGGTATGATGAGTCAAGAAGAGTGTCTAGTTGAATAGTTAAGATCAAATGACATTAGAGCAATTGATAATCAAGTTGACTACAAAGAGAACTTAACTTCCCTATACAGACACGAAGGATCATAAACACCACTCCCTCCCAAGACGATACGCACCCGCAGAGACCCATCAACGAACAGTGAGTTGCCCGTAGCCAAGCCAGTCCATGTCAGGATACCTCCAGGATCACCCAGTAAGTTCACACCAGGTTCGTTACCATGCTTGGTCAATTGTAGGTCTTTTTGTGTATCAATATGACTTTCGAAATTAACAATAGGAGATTATCATTACAACCGGGCAGAGTGCACGTATTTTGCCTAGGAGCAAGGAAATTTGCCGCTGTCGAGTATCGGCAGATTTCAACACACGCCTCGAGTTCGGCCGTTTTTTATGATCCGCCAGGGTATAGAACTACATAAGAAGCCTTTGCCTTAACGCAAACTCTACTAACGCTCCCCAGGAGAAGTAATCATTCTCCTAACTTCCAACTCGACCTGGCCCAGGGTACACCATGCGGCCTCCGACATCCGCCCTGGCTCTGGCAGCCTTCCTCTCGCCAGCGACCGTCACGGCGGCATGCAATCGCGACCTCCTCCAGCAGTCGGCTAATGAGTTCATCCAGGCCCTCTCCATGGGCATGGCCGACCACATGCAGAACATTGCCACGCAAGGGTTCACCTACCTCGAGAACAACAAGCCCACAGACATCAAAGCAGGCGTCGTCTCCAAGTCCCCACACGTAGCATTCAACCGCACCCTCGCCGACATGCAGGTCTGCGCGACGTTCACAGAGATGGTGGCCCCGGGCCCGGAGAAGCCGTACCTGATCCACGCGCAGATCCGGCACAACGCCAGCGAGGAGAGCAACGCGGTGTACCTGATCGACGCGATCGTCGCTACGACCGGGTCGTTCAAGGGGTTCAACGCCTCCGAGACCATGAGGCTAGCCGAGGAGGAAGACTGGGGCTTCGTCCCGCAGGACACGTGGGACACGCGCGCAACGCTCGTGGCGGCGGGGGCCATGTACCTCGATCTGGTCGAGACGCAGAACCCGTTTGGCCGCGTGGCCATGGGAGACCCGTGCCAGGTCCTTGATGGGTCGCAGTACGGGAATTGCACTTCGGTGGGTGCGACAGAGCTGACGTACTCGAGCCGCCGCAGTGTAGTTGACGAGTCGGTGGACGCCATCAACGTCTTCGCCCTTGGCGAGCGGAAGGATGGGAGCATGGCTATGGAAAGCGTCACCTTGCGTCTTGGGGTCGAGAGAGTTCGCTATGTACATAGTCTTTCCGTTCCAATTGAGGCGTCATGATGTACTCTGTCCGTGAACTGTCGAGGAGTGGGTTTGATAAAGGGGCTGGGACTTACATAGAGGCCACAACAGTTGAAAGTCAATGGAGTTAGTGTGTGAGTAGACGTGATTTGTTTCAGAAATTAATTATGAAAATATCTTAGTAAGTCTTGCAATCTGTCTGAGAAGAGAAGTACTCGAGAGAGTGTTTTTGTCATCAGCTATACACTCAGTCGAAAACCGGCAGTCAGGTTCTTTAAGCCGCAACCTGAACCTTCCTCGCCGCGTCCAACCGCCGGATCTCCTCCTGCTTCATCTCCTCCTTGGCCTTCCACATCTTGGGCGTGATCTTCTCCCGCGGGCCCGTCGCCTTCCACCCCTTGGTCTTGTCTTCCCCTCCCAGCGCGAGCATCGTCTTGCGCTCGACGAGGCTGAAGTCGCCGTCAGGTCTGTCAAAGCAGTGCGGCTGCTTGAGCGCGACGGGCGGGTTCGTGATGATACGGACATGGCGCAGCGTGTTGTTGGCGACAGCGTGCAACATGAGCGGATGCAGCAGGAACACATCGCCCACGTTGCCCGTCACCTCGACAAAGTGCTCGCACGTGCGCGCCAGCTGATCGAACCAGCTTACAGTCTGCCTGAAGTCGACGACGCCAAAGTGCGGGTTGTCGCGCGTGCGCATACTCGGGTCGACGCCCTCGGGGTGCTCGTACAGGTGCTTGGCCACCTTGGGGATTGCCTCTGGGCAGATGAGCGTTCCGCCGGCGTTGGGCACGATGTCGGTGAAGAGCGGGATGACGAGCAGGGCCTGCTCCGGGCTGTCAAGGTAGTGGATGAAGAAGTCGCCGTCGACGTGCCAGCCGTCGAGGTCGTGCGGCGGGACGATCTTGCCCTCGCCCTCGGGGCTGCCGAGGTTGACAATGTACGAGTCGCGCCACCGGCGGGAGAAGTCGGCGACGCGGTCCTCGCCGCCACAGAGCTCGCAGATGGCTGCCCAGGCCTTTGGGGCAAAGTCGTTACTGTTGTAGTCCCAGTGCATGGGCATGTTGACGCGCTTCTTGGTCCAGGTACTCTTGTCGTGGGGATCCATGCCGAGACGGGTCCAAACGTCTCTAGTCATGTGGTCGGCCTGCTCCTTGGTGAAGCAGTTGCTGAGCTTGATCCAGCCGTGCTCGAGAAAGTGTGCCTTTTCGGCCTCTGTGAGGGGTGCTGGGGGTGCTGTCATGCTGGATTTATCGAGATGGTAGGTAAGGGGAAAGAGGATGTAGCAGATGATGAAATATACCTGACTCTACTTTACAGAATCAGAGTTATGCGGATGTTGTGTATTCAGAAAGAATGACTCTCTGCGAAACAGCAACGACCTCACGTCAAGTATTTATGCACCTTTGCCTGACCCGATAATCGGACACGGTCTTCTGGCTGGAGACACCACCGACAGTGCTTGGTCACTCCGGCCGGAGCGGGTCTCCAAAGCAGGAATGAGGAATATGGTGGTAGATTCAGACACAATGACAGAAAGGGAGGGCTTCCTCTGCCCCTTATTGGGTCTTTCACCCAAGTTGCTGGCGGAAAAGCTGTCTGGGAAGCGTCATCTCGGACGACGTTGGCTTGAATCGGAGCCCGGGGTTGTGGCCTAATCCCCGCTTTTCGGCGTCGGACGTGGAGGATCATCTACTGTTGCTGAGGGGGAGCTTCTCCTCCCCCCCCCATCCTCT